TATCACAAATATATATAATACAAATTTAATACAAAGATATGTTAATAGACAACATCAGCGAATGATTTAATTAATTCATTTCATTTATCTCGCGGCGTGTCAACGCCACGTGTTCGGCTCTTGATTATTTGCTTGCTTGTCATTTAAAACATGATTCAGCAATAGTCCAACTTTATGGCGGCGATATGTAAATAATCGAGACCATACAATCCCCTGATCAACATGATGAGCATGCATCTTCTCAAATGATATACGATGACATGTGTCAACCAAGTCAGCGAGTCCGACCAACCGATCCCGTTAGTCGCCTCCAGGCATAGGTTGTTCATCTTCACGGGTCATCAGCCTACTACTTTACCAGGAAGTAGAGAGTGCGGATAATGAAGAGAGGGTGAGTGAGTTAGGTTTTACGCCCCTTTTAGCAATATTCCAGCAATATCACCAGAAAATGGCTTCACACATTGTACCCTTGTGGAGAATCGAACCCAAGCCTTCGGCGTGACGAGCGAACGCTACCCCACCGACCCGGGTATTGAAGAGCGTAGTAGGGTGGCTGATGAGCAGTTACGGGTACGAGAACGGCTTTATTGCTGGCGAACTAAGATTCGTAATCAGGATATATCTTGAATTCAAGCCATCGACCATAGGATTCTTGTTCATAAAAGAACGTAAATGTGCACACTGAGATGGGGCACTGGTTCATTCCTTACAATTACAAGACACAAACCTCTGTTTTAAACATGTGAGTGAGTGAGTTTAGTTTTACGCCACACTCAGCAATATTCCAGCTATATGGCGGCGGTCTGTAAATAATCGTGTCTGGACCAGACAATCCAGTGATCAACAGCATGAGCATCGATCTGCGCAATTGGAAACCGATGACATGTGTCAACCAAGTCAGGGATCCTGACCACCCGATCCTGTTAGTCGCCTCTTACTACAAGCATGGGTTACTGAAGATCAGTATTCTAACCCGGACCTTCACGGGTCACATGTTTTAAGAATCAATCCATCATTTAAGAATAACGTTATCTCACAGCAAGACGGATTCCTCTTTGATCATCATTTTCTACTCAACAACTCCTCAAGAAAACTATTTTCCATTGTGTCCGCTATTTCTCAGCAATATGTGATTAAAGTAAAGCTCAACGATATCAACTTTATATGACTTTTAATCCTAACATAATTGTCTATGTAATCAAATACAATAAATTGATAAAGATGCAGTATTTTCAGTCAACTTGTAAGACAACCGCAGTTTGAAAACGGCATAAATGAATCGGGTAATTTACAAACAGACTAATGTTATATATAGGTTGTATTCCTGGCCTTTCTGTTCACGCCTTACTTAAAGCCGAGATGTCTGTGTTGTAAGTGGCCCCGATTTACTGTTGTTATTGTTGTTTGAATTAGATGACGAGGTATATTTACTTGAACCTCTTTTCTTGGAGCACACAAGTCCTAACGTCTTTTTGTTTACGATGAATGCCAAAAATAGAAACACACCCTGGCCAGCAACCAGAATTGTGAATACATATGCCAAGACCCTAGTTTGTGTTAATTCATATAAGTACCCAAAGAGCCATGAAATTCCAGTAATTGTTGACAACTTGACACATGCTACCATGTTCAACTTTGAATTGGAACTTTTTTGAACAGGCTCGAACTTTCTCTTTAGTTTGCACATGGTGAATATGAAGAGGAAAATGTTCAACAAAGACACAACAGCAACGGGAACACCGAAACTGTATATTCGTCCTGAAACGGTGTTCAAGTAACATACCTTCCCACCATATCCGAACTCCCTGTCCAGAGAGTAGTGCACAGTTATGTTAATGCCGACAATGGCCACGGGTGTAAGGAAGCTAAACAAAGACCAAAACAGTAACGTTCTTTCCAGCGACTCACTGCGGCGCCATCGCAGCGGGAAGGACAGTTTGAGAAACATGTGGGTTGTACAGGCATTCATCCAACACAGAACGGACAGCCAGAAAAAGTGAATGAAAATGCCAATGATGACGCATACAGTTTCATTCTCGTTCTGTTCCATTCCAAACTCATACACACAGAGAGTAAGAAACAAGGTGACGATGAGGCACATGTTAATCACCCCTCCAGATGTTCTCAGAGTAGGATATGCACAATAAAACACGAAGGTAATGATGAGGAACAATAAAGATACACATGTACATACAACAGATGTCCGACCAAGAGGCCAGTCAATGTATTCAGGTGTTACTAAAGGGGCTCTTTTCACTAATTTCTGATAATCATCTAAACAAACAACAGCAGTGTCATTGTCACCCAGTAGAAACATTTCACTTTTAAAGATGCTGTCCGTACCGTTGATTCTCAATACATAAAACTCTTGCATATATGGATCAACCTTGTTCAAAGGTAAAGGACTGTGCAATGAAACGTTCGGAAACAGAACATTAGTGACATCTTGCTTGTCGCCATCCAGTTCCAGAAAGAACTCATGTTGTTGCAAGAGCACCTGTGGACATAGCGCTTGATTGTTCCAAGGTATATATTCTATCTGTGACGAAATGTAAGCAGCTGAGTTGGTGAGGCGTGCAGCGTTCATTCTTTTATCATGAACACCTTCATCGAAACAATTTAATGTTGGCAGGATCATTTGTGCACATTTCTGATTCAAAGTCAGCGATACGTTTCCATGTCCATATTTCTCATCTGAAATGTGTTTAGTTAAAATGTCTGGTAGAGAGGTCATCAAGTTCTCCAGGCTGGACGGTGTAGTGGAGAACATCTGTGTATATATGTGAACAATGAGGAAGCGGGGGTGGCTGTCGCAGTTCTGTAGATGATACAGCTGTTGTGATGTTCTCACCCACACGTAGTCATGAAGTTCGTTCTGAACACTATATAGCATCTTATCGATGGTGAACGTCAAATCGTCAACAGCTTCTCTTGAGACTAACCGTGATGGGACATCAACACGGACGTGCAGACATATCTCAAGGCCGTATATATTCGTAGCTTGAACAACATCATTGCATGCAGTTCCGTTGAAGATTTTCCCCTTGGAACACGTTACATTTCGGCACGCCGCCTGTGAAATAGAAGACATTATATTATTCATTGCTTGCATTCGGAGTGAGTGAGTTAAGATTTACATTCACATCGGCAATATTTCAGCCTTGTCGTGACTAAAACAAGTTTTAAATTCACCGTAATATGCATATAATTATATATGATGTACTTATTAAAAGCCTGTCAACGAAGGACAGTAAACAACTAGAATGGTGGTTTTAACAAACATTTTGAACGTCGACAAAAATTTCTTTCACAAGCTTTTTTTCTCAAATGGTTGTATTTAATTTCATTGTTACATTTTCAGCAGATATTCGAAAATGCGTCCCTTTTTGCAATTTCGCTATATTTCATTGACTCCTAAAGCCTACAAGATGTTTCAAAATAAACATAAAAATACAGTTGAAATTTCTATATGCGTTTCATTTTGGGGAGAGTATATATTCTTCAACGTTGGATTCTATAGAAGAAAGGAAATGATTCCAAAAACATTATGCTTTAGACTTTTGAATAAAAAAATATATATACCTGCAACCAAACATACCCTGTTATTTCACTTACAAAGAAATTTAAGGTAATATTTTTTAAATGTAAAACTTAAAAAGGTTTTTTTACTATTCAAAAGAGTAGGAGATATTCCAGTTTGGGGCAATATTATTTGGGAAACATGTATAACCGTATATGGATTCAGAAATTATAATTATTATTCCATTCACTTCTTTTTATTGAGCAAGAAGTCGGAACAAGAAAGACCAGTGTGACATGAGCTCTTATCGTTTCACAGTCAGGATATCGATACACAAATAACGTTGGTGACAAATGTCGACCTGGTCGACCAAGGGCGGAAACTGGTGCCTCTCAAATTGGAGATGAGTTTTCACATATCTACAGGTGATGGAATGAATGGACAAAGGATGCCCATAATGTCTACAGATGGAACTTTGGATTCTGGTTTACTTTGGACTTCCTTGACAAGAGATTATCGTAGATGGAATGATGTCGTTAACGTCAGACCAAACGATCAGGTGACTCGGTAATGGTGTGGGTGGTATCACAGTGACTAGCAGAACACCTTTACATGTTATTCACGCACGTCTCATTGGGCACGTCTCTTTGACTTCCTGGGGGCACATGTGGTGGCTTTTGGACGTTGACATGGACGTCGCATGTTGTTGCAGGAGAACAAGGCAAGAGCTGGTATTCCTACTGAGTGCCTCTAGTACAGACTTGTCACTCATGTTACATAGCTGGGATATACTTGGACAGTGCGTATGTCACCCTTAACAATCACAGACCACTGTCAGCGAACTTGGAGCTGCCCTTCAGGAAGACTGTTATAGAATGAACCAAGCTGACATTGGAGGTTTCATCTTGTCTCGTCGAATCCGGAACTGGCTTTAAAATAGATTCCGATTCAGGCCATATGATGAGTCTAATTGTTCATTAAGTGATGGACAGTAGGGCACTTTGAGTCTTATTAACGATGAATCTAAAATCGTTTTCTGGGCGTTGCAAGAAGCATTATTAGAAAAAGCTCAGCTGTTGTCTCCAGCGTCCGAGATAAACAATTTAGCCGGAAACTTCTTACTGTCTCTATAATAACGCCCAATAGGGACAAATTAAACGGAAACACGTAGAATTCAAAATATTGCGAACAAACGTTATATATATATATTGATCCAATCAATGAGATCAAATGACATCAATTGAATATATTTACGAAATGGTAACTTCTTAATGCATGGCATTATCATTCCCGGATAATATTATTACAGGCATTTTTCTGAAAACTATATATTGTAGAATATTTTAGAATTTCTCTGTTGATTATTATAATAGAAACTGCCAAAAGGTTTCCTCATCCATAAGAAATTTCTCCTTAAAGCAAAGTCGATTGTATAATTGTGACTATATCATGAGTATATAATTGTTTCTGCAGTGTTACAGCTACACGATGTTGTGTGTAAAACAATCGAGTCTGGAGCAGACAATCCAGTAATTGTCAACATGCGATACGACGACAGGGGATGTGTTTATGATATAGTGAAGATACCAGTTGTTCGCGAAAAGGTGAGCGTATCATGCCCCACCGATAGCATTCCTCATACAAATATGCTAGTCTAGCCGGGAAGTAATTCGGGAAGGTATGGTATAAGTCAAAATAAGAATTTCATCGGACATCATTTTGTCACCGAAGCATCAAGTTTGGAAAGTTCCTCCGCATGTCTGCCATAAAACATATTGAAAGCTTTGCTGATGCCTTGAATGTTGTAACCTTGTTCAAACAACTTCTTGGCAAGAATGGTATGACGCTCTTTGAAATCCTGATAAAAAGCACGTTGGTTGTACCTAAAAAGTTGTGAAATGTAAACACCAAAGGCTGGGGCTGTTGGAATATTGCATGAAAGAGAAGTTGACTACTGGAAAGTTGAAATCATTCCTCTATTCTTCGGTGTGACGAGAAACGCTTTAACCACTAGGCTACCCCACCGCACCTCATGGTACGTGGAAGAAATCAGTATACAAGTAGTATGCTTGGTATGCTTAGTTTGACGCTGAGTTCAGAAGAACAGAAGCCAGTCTAAAGGTAGTACATTGTACAAGATTTAAACTATTCTTTCATTGTTAAAATTATCAAGAGTAGGGTTTCGGGTTTAGCCAACAGGAGAATTAAATGCACAATTCCGTTGCAGAGACAGTGACTCTCACAAAGTAGAACACATTAACAGATTGAATACTTTGAGATATCTGACAATAAAAACATTGAGATATTTGAAAATGCTGATAATTAGGAACTGACATGTCAGTCAAATGTTTAGTAAAATAAAAAAAAATTCAAAATATTCAAAAGTAACATTCAGTTTTGTGGTAAGTTTATAGATAACCCATGTATGTTTCTTAAGACGTTTGTGGGTCAGACACCTGTTCCCAAGTTGAACACGGAGCAGTAAATCCCGTGAGCATTGGTATATAAGACATAATGTACAACTGATTACTTAGGTGCATTGTTACATATGTAAGTATTCAAACGCCATGTACTTACAATAACATTGTCATAAAACTGATTCCTTCCACACACATCTATCTTCAGCTCGACAATGCCCATCGGCTGTTTAACTGCATGATCCCCGAAGTCCAACAGTGAGGTAAGCCCCACACCGTCAACAACCCAGGGCAGCAACCCTTTTATGCAGGATTTCACACCAGTCCTCATGTGTATTGCAAACGTAACAAAACACATTGCGGTACTTTCCGGCGACAACATGGGTGAATCTCTCGCAGGCTTCCACTACTCTTCTGTCATAAACCTCCCATTGTCCTGTGACGTTGCATGAGGATATGAAACTTTCCTCACGATAGTTACAACTTCTTAAAACGCTTCCACCTGTAGGTAAAAACTTGACATCACACGCACTAGATTCTACAGCAATGTTGTAAATGTCTTCTGATGATTTAGCTTCCTTTAAAATGCTCGGATATATATCGCATTTCAATTTAACGTCCCAGTTATTAAAAACTGTCACATTGTTGCACAGTGCGCAGAATTTGTTCCTGTACAGATGTCCAGTCTTTGCGTCTTCAACTGGAACCTGATGCTCCCAGTCTTTAGAGTGTCGATCGAGGCACTCCTGTACAAGACCTGGAGTGGAGGTGACTGTGCACGATCTGATCATGTAATACCAATTCGTCGCGAATATGTCCATGTCTGGACTTGTATTTTCACAGCTATATGGAGCAGCCACAGAGGTCTGATTCCTGAGAATCAAGTAATCGGGACAACAGTCATCATACAGAACACATTCTTCGTCACATCGACATTTGTCACAGGTTAAGCGCACTGAAGTACGTATTTGTGGATACGTAAAGTTACACGTCTGCCCACAGTACTCAGATTCCGAAGCTACGACCTGGGACGGAAACTCACGAAAATAGTTGGAAGCTATGTCAAAGGCGTTTAGCTTTCTGACTTGAGGCGTCATAGGCGGTGGTGCAGTTAGGATAAAATGAAATGTAGCAGTTACGGTAGATGGTTCTTGCTGCTTGTTGGCCATAGTTGACGTTGTTCCCGAGTTTGTCTGTTGTGACGTTCCAATATCAGAACGGGGTATAAAGCCTGGGGCAATGACGGGCGTAGTGTCTGGTGTAACATCTGAGGTTTCATCGCCATCTAAATTGCTCGCTGTTACCCTTGTCATCGTCACTTTTGGTTGTGTAGGATATTTGAAACTAAATCCTGGTTTATTAGTTGTTGTTATCTCATCCTTGACGGGCTGAGTCAACTGTGCTGAAGTTGAACAACGAAGGCTCTTGTCCCACACCAACAGTACAAAGAGAGTCCAGACCAGCAGCATGATTCCACCACTGACCACGAGCACTGACCTCGAGCACTGACCACGAGCACTGACCTCGAGCACTGACCACGAGGACTGACTACGAGCACTGACCTCGGGCACTGACCACGAGGACTGACCAATGGACTACAACAGTTCTTCAGAAGCATGTATCTCAGTGACTTGTTGTTTTACAATGTGTGATAGCCAGTCTCACACTCCAACACCCGATACAATGTAGGGACCTATTTGCACCTTCAACAACTGACTCACTTGTATAGCCGGGTTTTTCACCACACGCTACGGGAATAGCGATACAATCAACCCTTCGGCAGAAGCACTCCCTGCTTATTGACGCACGAACTCAATTATAAATATTCGATTCATTCGTGTGCAATAACTGAGTGCTACGGATGTACAATTTCGCCAAGCTGTGTACATATCGGAAATTGCTAATTGTTAATTGTTTGACATTTCGGGAATGACTAATGGTTAACTGTTTGTTATATTACGTGCAATAAATCTTTTATCCATGGCACTGCAATGGGCGATAGGGAGCGGTGAAGGTTAAAATCACGCTCGTTACGCCAAACGGACCGGGCAACATTTAGTCTTTGAAACGATGTAATTTTGACAGAAACAACAGAATTGCATTTAAACTGAAAAAGAGCCCAAATGAGATGGAGGTTTGACTGTAAAATATAGATCTGTCTCATGTAGGGCTTCGTTATATAAAAAGGGTTGGTTGAAAGGGAATTGACATGGTTCAGGGACTGTGACACAAATTACCCACATGGGTTCCTCCTGACTCACGTCTCTCGTCATGAATTGCTGGACTATTGCTAAAGGCGGCTTGAAACAATATATAGTCAGTCAGGACGGCGCAATGTAGAGCCAGGTGTTTGGCATTAGTTTTTGTTGTTCTTTTATTCTTTCTTTTTTCACTTTACCCTCTTTTTGTCTCTTTTTTTCTCCACTTTTAATATTTTCTTTATTTCATTTTATTTATTATTATTTTTATTTTTTTTAAATTCATATTATTTACTTATTTATTTTTTATTTTCATTTTTTCTTTGGGGGCGGGGTGTGTGTGGGGGGGTTTCTATATTTACATTTCATCTTTTATTAGATAGACGCTAAACAATCTTTGTTGGTGCTGTTTTATCCTAGATATGATGTATACTACCTCAGGCAGGACTTAATGTGCCGGTTTATGCCTGAGGACAAAGTAAACACAGCTATGCATGAAGTGGGTGCAGCCTTTTCACAGGAAATATCTTGGGGCAATTTATATATTATAATATACATATATATAACATATGATTTGTTTTATAAAGATATTGTTTTTCTCCTGCATAGCGGGTAACAACGTAGCTTCGGGCTAACATCATGTATGGGTTCAAGTTGAACCCCGTTAAAATGACAGAATCAAATAATCGATCATGTATATTTCTTATATTAATCATAGATATATTTATTCATGTCACCTATTTACGTAGAATCTATTTGTTGGTACTATAGCTGCATGAACAGCCTCTTTTTCAGGGTTCGTGTCTTTGTGTCTTCTTCTAGAGTAAGGAATAGATGAATCAGTGTGCAAGGTTAAACAGGACAGTTTGAGATATCGAAATATATCATAGAGATCAATAACCGTTAACTATTTATCGATTGATTGTCGATAATTATCAGAGAAGTAACTTGGAGTAAAATTGCAAAAAAAGTCAATGAAATTAATATATTTCCCACCACATATTCCCACCGCTACTAACTCAACAGCGTCCTGACCATAATTAAAATGCAGCTCTTGATTAAAAACCTAACTTAGTGTATTGTGTGAGTCAATTAAAACCTTATCCCATCACAAACGTTTGTGTACGATGTTATCGATGACACCATTTTCATATCGATAATCAAGAATATTTTTTCGTATCGACGATATTTCCGATTATCGATCTTTTTAGCCAGCCCCAGTTTCGGATGAATAGTCAACTGAATTTCTTCGTTGCAACATCCAAGACCCTGAAAAGCGCTCATAAAGTGTGATAGTAGACAGACAGCGGAAGACGTTCCAAGTTTGACACACCAGTGAGAAATATGATGCAAGTTACTATTTCGACTTGGACCATACTCCTGGGTCTTGTCAGATGATTTCCCTGCCTTTGCCTGTGTTTGTTTCAGTTTGCTACGATGGGTCAGGATACCGTCAGGATATGCTCACCTTTTCGCGGTATTGAGCCACACACATGTTCACTATATAGTTGTAATCTATCAATCGACATTGCATTTATCAGATGTTTTAATGATTATGGAAATGTTTTTGTCGATGTCATATGCAATAATAACACCGAGCTTATGTCATACCTATATAAGTAAACCCTATTCATCACAAATGTATTCTAACAATTACTCTCTACAATACAGCAGATGTCCCTATGTTTGAGTTAGCACAGGAACTCGCAACCAATTAAAGTGAAACTATACATACGTTAGGAATATAAACAGAGCACAAATGAATAGCACCACAACAAAAGTTTGATAAATGTACACTTTGGCGACTGTACGCGAAATTAATGTTCCCGTGTTGTTGCAAATTTGATACATATTGAGTCATTTGTCGCTCTCAATACTCCCGGGACAGACAACAACTTTCATAAAATAATATTATGCAATTAAATACTGTTTTGGTGCCGTGATTGATCGAAGGGAATTGTGTAAAGGAATTAAAATAAAATTTCTAGAAAAACATTGTTTTGTTTGAAAGTAAAGGTAAAAACATATTATTCTCACCAGAAAATGAATCGTATAGGTGTATTTTCACGAATTCAAATATTTTAAAATGAGATAACATATACTTCTGGAATAACTCTGCATTATTTGATGTTGTGTCATTTTTAATGCAAAAAGATAACACCATTTGTGGTGTTTTCCTTAATCACTGTTTAACTGTTGACAGAATAATACCGAAATCTGTATGATTTGACACTCGTAAGACGCCCTTGAAGAGATGTGGTGGCAAAGGTCAGTTCACAAATTCAGTATCGTGTGTGTCCACCATTGGTGTTGATAAAGACTTGACAACGACGACGCATAGATGATGCTCAGCGATTAAAGAAAGCTTGGAGAATTTTGTTCCATGCCTGCACCAACGTCTGTCCCAACTCAGCTAACGCCAATACAGTACAGGAATGTTCTGCTGTCTCAGGAAATCTGTCACAACACAAGCGACATGTGCACGGGCATTATCTTGTTAAAGCGTGAAGTTACGTCTTGAATGAACGGCTGCACATGAGGCTCAATAATCTCATCCCTGTACTGCGAACCTGTCAGATTGCCAATGACAATGACAAGTTGTGTCCATGAGACTGTGAGATGTGATGTGTCTCCATACAATAACGCCTACGCCACCAAACTGTAGACGTTGAACAACTCCGTCTGTACACACTTGCCCTTCCATGAGAGCTGTCAACTCGTCAGTGAACAAAATCAACTCATGAGTGAACAAAATACCATCCCAATCTTGTCTCAATCCCAATACCATCCCAATCTTGTACCGTAGATGCTGTCTGCACCAGGCAAGACGTGCCTCTCGGTGACGTTGGAGCAATAAAGGACGTATCGCATGCCGTCAGGGCCAGATGTTGTGCTCCCTCAGTCGGTTCCATACAGTCCTGGAACTGTATTGGACGTAAGCCAGGAATGGTCCGAGTGGTCAAACTGCCAGTCTGAAATCGATTCCTTAGAATGGACACACACGCACGCACGCACGTACGCACACCTCTGGATCCGCCACTGGTCTCGACATGGACTGAATAAGTCTTTGAATTCGATCTTATGGAATTCTGGCCAACTCACGTACGCGTCAGTCGAGGTGATCCCACAAATGCTCGATGGGGTTGAGAAAGGACGATTTGGAAGGCCACGGAAGTACTTCAATGTTCTCATTCTGAAGATACTGAATAGTGCTGTGTGATGCCTGCTTTTTCTTGCTGGAACAACTCCCTCTGGCGGTCATTGATCGAAATCAAGTGAATCCTGGAGATTTCGTCTCTGTGCCAAATAGCAGTTAAATTGCCATGAAGGCACACAAAGTTATATTTCTGCGAGTATGATATTCTTCAATGAACCATACACGTTGGCCATTTCTCCAGATTCCAGAATCGAACGTTATTGCACCAGTGCAGAGCGAGACCAAAATCTGGCGCTGAGTCCAGCTTCTCGTAAACGATCACGAATGGTTTGCGCCTACACTCTCCCCAGAATAGGCACTGCACTTACAGTTGCAGAAACGGCCGACTGTGACAACCCAGCCTCAAGACTTCCAGTGGCAATGTTTCCATTTACAGCAGTAAGTCGCGCAATAACGAAATTCTTTTATTTAGCGTAAAAATGAAAATTACTGTCTAAAGCAAAACGGCCTTGTATAGGCAATGCCCCTGTGCACGCTACCTCAGAACTGCACGTGCATATCCATAACTTTTTCTCCATAACATTTTCATGCAAGTTGACACTTTCGAACGTAAACATGCATTAAAGTTTCCGAAAATTCGTTTTTGCGCTGTGCATTCGTTCCATAAACACAAACCAGCATTATAATGGCAAAATTATAACAAACAGAAATTTTAAAATTTATCTAAAATTTATTTCATAAATCAATATCACCTCTGCGTTTCGTTTTGGAGAGAGAGTATATGTCCAGAGAACAGGGACTGACCATACTTATCACGTGGTATGTTTAGATAACCGTCCTTGTTCCAATCATATAGTTTGTTGTTTAACGCCACACTCAGCTATATGGCGGTGGTCTCTTCATAATCCAATCTGGACCAGAATATCCAGTGATCAACAGCATGACATCGATCTACGCAAATGGAATACGATGACATGTGTCAACCAAGTCAGCAAGCCTGGGCACCCGATCCCGTTAGTCCCCTCTTACGACAAGCATGGGTTACTGAAGTATGATCCCAAATAAAACACATGTTGCATTTAACTCACTCTTCACTTATCACTCTCTCACTCATGGCCACCGTGTATTTATTATGCATGTATGGAAAGCTATACTTACAATAAAGTGGTCCAGGACCTGATCACGCCTGCAATGACCATTCGTTAGCTCTTCAACACGCTGCGTTCTTGGAACGGCATCGTGACTCTCAAAGTTCAGCAGTGTGGTCAGGGAAATGGCGTCGACAACGATACGGTTAAACCCATTCTCTCTAAGGATGAACTGCCAGCCGTAGTTGTTGTTGCACATAACAGAATACATTTCTGTATTTCCCATGCACAATGTGAGAAAACCTCTCGCAGGCTTCCACCACCCTTTGGTCGTAGAACACCCATTTCCCTGTAACGTTACATGACGATATGACACTTTCCTCACGATAGGTACATTTTCTCAAAGAAGTTGGATCCGAAGGTAGAAATTTGATATAACAAGAAGAATCCTCTAGAGCAGAGTTGTAAATTTCTTCTGAAGACCTGGCTTCCTTTAAACTGCTTGGATATGATTTGCATATTAATTGCGTCTCCCAGTTATTAAAAACTATCACATTGTTGCACAGTGCGCAGAATTTGTTCCTATAGAAATGTCCAGTCTTTGCGTCTTCAACTGGAACCTGATGCTCCCAGTCTTTAGAGTGTCGATCGAGGCACTCCTGTACAAGACCTGGACTGGAGGTGACTGTGCACGATCTGATCATGTAGTACCAACTTGAATCTGTTTTCTCAATGTCTGGACTTGTATTTTCACAGCTATATGGAGCAGCTACAGAGGTCTGATTCCTGAGAATAAAGTAATCGGGACAACAGTCATCATACAGAAAACATTCTTCATCACATCGACATATCTCACAGTTTCCGCGCTCAAAGAAACGTGTATGTTGATAGTCAAATTCACACGTCTTTCCACAGTACTCGGACTCCGTGGCTACGATCTGAGACGGGAACTCCGGGAAGATGTTTGCAGATCTATCAAACGGAGTCGGCAGTTGGAAAGGTTCTGGAGGATGACCAATATTAACCATGGACGTGACAGTTTCATGGATAAGGTGGGGAGGCGTAATGGCCGCCACTAACAGGGATTCAGTCATCAATATGAATGAGTCTTCCGGATGTTCCGTGTTAAATCTTTCTACGATTCCTGTAGGATTTCCGGCAGATTCTGTAGAATGCCCTATCCTTTGTGTAGGAGTTCCGGCAGATTCTGTAGAATGTCCTGCATTTCCGGCAGATTCCCTATCCTTTGACGCCCCTGTACCATCTGTGACGTTTCCGGCACATGTCCTGGAGAATGATCGTGATTCCGGCAGTTCCATCTGTGACGTTTTGTGTCACTGACCTTATTCAAAGGTCCTGTTCCGGATATTATTCCCTCGCGAAGAGTGGATTTCGTCGTTTCGGCAAGAACGCCAGCGGTTATGTTTCCTGCATCTTCCACAGACTCAGTTGACTGTGCAGCCGGACTGAGCATCAAAGTCTTTTCCATTACAAGTAGAGCCAAGAGTATTGGTAGACCAGTCATAGTGGTAACAACAGCGGGTGGTGCACAGAAGCAGCTAATATTGTCACATGTCAGTATCTAATGGTTGTTGGTTGTGAACATCCTTTTATATTGTCCGACAGTAATCATACTGTTTACTGACCATTCTGTGACCACAATGAGTGGGTTGACCTGGTCAGGTGCTTGTTGGTTGATCCGTGAGTGCTGAAAGTGACTCAAAGCGGTGAATGTGATTCACACGCTGACGACAACACACAATGAGTTACATGACATTGTACATAATTGATATATTGTCTCTATAGACACGGATGTTAATGGTCCCGTCGTTTCAGTGATGTGAACAGGTGGTTCGTACTAAATGATAAATGCATCCGTTACTTTCCTCTGACACTTTGCGACCATACAATAAATAAATATGATCAAGCTAATGTTCCCAGTGGACGGTATATTCACTGACTACTGTTCGTACTTCACGGTGATAGTCGGTGGTTAATGTGTATGACACTGTCGCCTCCAGCGTAGAGAGGTTGGTTATTTCCGGATAGATCGGAATGTTCCCAACTGTGCCTACAGTTCATTTTGATTACAGTCTATCAAAACAACTTTATGGTTTAGTGGTTTTGAAGTTTAACCTGGGTCACCCATCAACTGTAATGAACTAGCCCACTATGCTTGAGTGACTATGCTTTAATGAATCCGATACATAGAATAACAGGATTGGTGTTATATTTTTTTTCAGGGATGTTTGTAACATTAACAATTTAGATTTAATAAATATTAATGTTAAGCACATTCTTAAGAAGATTGACAATAAATTAAGAAACTGCCGAGAATTTAACACATTTCACAGAGAAATAAGCTTTTGACACAGTTTTTAGAGGGACGACGTGGGTTACTGGAGATCAATATTCTAACCCGGACCTTCACGGGTTTGATCTTCAGCAACCCGTGCTTGTCGTAAGAGGCGACTCACGGGATCGGATGGTCAGACTCCCTGACTTGGTTGACACATGTCATCGTATCCCAATTGCGTTTCTTGTTTCTAACCTGGAACATCACGGAATGGTGATAATGTTCAACAACAACCTAAGGTATTTCACATATGTAGGGCTGTACATCCGTGCACTCCACGTCAGTGTCGCTGCTGTCTTGGAACACCTGCAGACATGTCCCTTCGATCGTTGCCGCAACGCCGTTCTCCCACGTCCTCCCCAGACGTCCTCCACCAACGTCACTGACGTTACCAACATGGAACACCTTCGCTGCAAACAACAACCAGAACCATTCTCACATTGTTACCAAGAAAAATACATGTCATTTCTTTCTGAATGGCGTCGTTATGCATCTACTGTTAAAACCTTAATATGGCTGATTGTGGTGGAACTCTCACACAACGCTCACTTACTGTTATGTCCGCCATATAGCTGGAATATTGCTGAGTGCGGCGTAAAACTAAACTCACTAGTGTTATGTTCGTCATGCATTTCTTGACAGATCGGGCGAAGTAAATGATTGAATTGAAGAGAAAACGTGTCAACTCTGTGTTAACTCTTTGTGAACTGTATTTGGACAAATTGAGAATTGTGTTATCATAGACGATCCAGGATCTGCAAGTTGTAGATTGAATCCGAATTTCGCCCTGATTATGTTACTCTGGTTACGACCAAAAAGGTAGCCAAAGGACTTTCCACCAGCTCTGAGTTATCAACCCGTGATAACTGAAATATTGTTCTAAGGGGCGAAAATTCATCTCACTTAACAAACCGAAACATGAGTCTCATTAACCAATTCAGACAATAACCTATTATTCAGCCGATCCGAATTTTCTCATGTGAAAGTGAAAAGAGACACTACAAACAACTACGGTTGCACAGAATTCCAATTCCTTGTTTCATAAGGAAATTGTATTTACACATTAATTGTAATTATAAAGTTTAAAAAAATCGTATTTCTATATTTTAGGTCGAGGTTTAGGCAGCATGTCGTCAACTAAGACGTCACAGACTGCCCGTTTGAAGAGGTCGTACAATGATTCACAATTCATTTGGCTACCTGGTTACACCTGTTATGTGTTCTTTGCGCTTATTAAATGCATGTTTGCAACGTACAACGTGATTGATATAATATTAAGTTCGTACCAGACCGCCAAACTGTTCTAGCGGCCGAGCCTTGCTTTGAGATTTCCACGATTTCCAGATTTCCGTTTGTCAGAGCACGCTGCAGGACGTGTTTGTAAGGATTAGAAGGAGCGTAGTGTTGCAATATACAAGTGATTAGATGTATCAAATAATACTGATTAATATTTATATATCCAGCTGAATGAGTCGGTCTCAAAATTCTGGACTGGCTATTGTACTAAGTTGCGCAACAGGACGGAACCCAGTCAGCAGGAAACGAGACTGCTGTGTAATCAATGTTTTGACTTGACCACGAGAACAACTTCTAGAATGCCAATAAAACAACCACGTGAATGTGTCAATTAAATTAACATAATCATGGTCTGTAGTTTTGGGACAATATTATATATATGGATATTTGTTTTGTAATCGAGACTGCTATTGTCGATGTTCCTATTGACAACATTAAACAACATATATATATATTGCATAGATAAATAAGCCTTTTTCTCCAACATGTTTCGTTCTTTACTCTTCAGGAGATTGTACCGCTACAATCTCCTGAAGATAAAAGAACGAAACATGTTGGAAAAAAACATTCTATTTATATCTATAATATTATATATGAACACCTACTACTACATTTTGCGTACATATTATATATATATATATATATATATATACTCCTTCCGTGACACCTGGTGTCCGTCAGTCTATACTCACAGCCAGATGTGTATACTGTATCAATCAAGTCGCCCTCTGTGAAGATCATATAGAGTTGAACCAGTCTTCCTCCCTCGGCTCGACAAACCCTCTCTGCATTCTCCCAGCCGGTTGAGTTGTTCGTCACAATCTTGACGCACCGGTTTGACGTTCGTAGAAACGTATAGCCCGAGTGTCGACACGAACTTTTAACTGGAAATAGTAATTCAGGTGGAGACAGTGTCATTTTCCAAATTTTGTTTAAGATGAATGTGAGATAGGTTTAACGCCAACAGGCATTTGTCAGTTACATCTCGGTATGCCAACAAAATGTGGGAGGAAGCTCCGAAGTAACCATATCATTGACGTCCAGTAGTCGGCGGAATGTATGACCATGTATGATGTTTACAAACCAGTGATTATAACTCCAGGAATTAATCTATTATACATTTATTCATACTTCTTTCCTGAGGCAGGGGCAGCGGGTTAGCCAAGTAGTGAAAGCGTTCGCTCGTCACGCCAGAGACGATTCTCAACACGGGTACAAGGTGTGAAGCTGATTTTGATGAAATATTGCTAAAGGCGGTGAAGAACCATATTGACTCACTAATTCCTGAGTCTGAATACATTCCAGGGTGCCGTTGTACAAAGCGATCTTAGCGCTAAGGTGACCGTAACTCCCATACCTTAACATAGACTTAAGGTAGTCTTAGCGCTAAGGTTGTTTTGAACAACGGCACCCAGGACATCGGTCCCCTGTATCAATCTCTGTCCAATACAACGGTATAAGAATCCATACCGAAACGTTGCATCATATAAAATAAAAGAAGTTATTATCCATAAAGAACCTTACTTTCTTATAAACCAGGATTTGATGAATGGTCGAAATGGCGTCTACCACATGGTCTAACGCAAACTCTTACGCACGTGCGCACGGATACAACGTGAGGATAAACACCGAGAGACAAACCTGTGGTTAGCGAATAAACAGATCCTCCAGGATAATATTCAAATTCAATAGCGTCGCTTGTCTGGGTGAAACAGCACTCATTTACCGAGGGGATGAAGTCGAACATGATGCATGATGGATTACCATAGCAACTGTTTAAACAGTCCAGTCTGGATTCATGATATTCAATATCGCAGTGCACCAAGATCATGTCAGTAAGAAGCATCGAGGCCATTACATCAACTCCACACATATCCAACAGATTCACCTGATGATCTAGCGCGGCCATGTTTAGGTGGATGCTTCCAAAACGTATTACGTTTTGCCAATCTTTCACAAACACACTTATATACTACTTGTTTGTTGAACATATCTAGGGTTTTTAACCACATGAGCATTCGCTTAACACGTTTTGATCATGTGTTTGGTTACTTGGCTGGCTTTTTATAGACCATCACGGCACAGCTAATGTGTAATGCTTAAAACAAACGGGAAACAGTATATCTTCCTAAATGTTTAATTGATCTATTAATGTACATCCTTTCTGTTAGACGCTATTCTCTACAGAACATCAATTTGAATATTACAGAAGAAATACTTGGTAAACAGAAAGCACTTGGTCTGAAAGGCTTCCTGTGATGGGTGAGGATGTTTTTGTTTCTGGTTTGAACAGAACAGTTATAAAGATCAATGTTCTGCAAAACCAAATACACTGTGTATTATACAAATCCATGGCTGAGAGCACATTTTTCACAGGAGAGTGTTTGCAAGAGATGTAATTCCACCATGTGTAGTAAATCTTACCTCTTGTTTTCGTGAAACGTATTCAGGAAAGACATAGTACGTTCATGATTTTTGTGGCACCGACGAACTAGACACGTGTAGGTCCGGGTTAGAATGGATGATAAAGGCGTCCCGATCCACAAAGCCTTCATGACGTTACAACCTGTCTTTCTTTAGTCTTAGTGCTGAAGACTTTATCAGAGGTCAGCAACAAGAAAACCAACCTCCTGCCGGAGATACAACAGAATTTACAAACTCCACCGGTGCATGTTTAGAACAAGCCTTTATTGTCCATAGGAACATATGAAAACAGTTTTTGAACATCGCTTGTATAATACAACTGGTTTACAAACTGGCTTTAAGTTTGACACACATATGTACTTATAAACAAGTGGTAACACTTTACATCCACAATTCTGCTGCATCAGTTTTTTTACAAACATCACAAGATACACCCCACAGTCTTCACAACTGTTTGGTACTACAAACACTTACAGTATGTGCAATGCCAGTCTGTTAAAACCTACTTCAGGACTGAATAATACAAAATCTATAAACCAAAGTTAAAAAAACAAACAAATTGGATTCAAGGCTGGTATGGACAGCATCAATAGTCATGTAGAGGTGGGAGGAAAGCCTGATCCAGGTTGACATTTACAAGTGAAACCAACACAGGTAAGGTGCAATATATATAGGATCGGGGTGGAGTGAGTGAGTTTGGTTTAAACACTGGCTTGACAAATAATCCAACTGTATCATGTGTGTCTGCTTGATGTGGGAAGAAAGCCCAAATTGATGTAATTCTCAGACATTGACCACTTTGGTAGTGAGTGAGTGAGTGAGTTTAGTTTTGGGCACACTCAGCAATATTCCAGCTATATGGCGTGGTTATCACTTTGGTAAAATGAAGGAGAGGATATAATGCTGACAGATCTGGAAACATACTTAGGGCAAAATGGGATTCCTAACCATTATCATAATTATTTCCGATGCCAAAGTGACTCACTATGCACAGAGAAATGTGGTGTCTTAGACACATACTGCATGAGAACAAGAAGAACAGTGCTAGAAATGTTATTGAGTGGTCAAAGATTTGTTGCTGGAGTAGATTTTGCTAATTCAAATCCAGTTATGTGGCTAATTAAACTGACAATATATACTGTTACATGCAGTCACCACATAGGTCATATTATGTTGGGTAATGGCAGTAAGGTCAAATTAAACAGTAACCCTGATGGCACATCCATAAATAGCTGTTCAGTTTTAAACAGACTGCGGAAGTCACTGCATGCTCCCCAGACACTTCCACATACACCATTCACACCTGCAGTTGCATAAATATCATTGTCGTATGGCTTAGTACTGCGTATGGCTTAGTACTGATTATATTAGTTCCATGAGACCCCACTCATCTGTATTTGATGAGAAATTTCATGTACACACACATCTTTCAATCAGGTTCTTCTTAAAATAAAACACTATCACACAAAATAAAAAGGCTATCACACAAGACAGTTGAAATCAGGGTATCAAGGCAAAACAATGTGTAACATTTCCAGAAATCTCAACTTGCTGTAATATGACTTTAACTTATTGGCTGAAGTTGACATAAGATTTCACTGCATTTGTGAGTGAGTGGGTGAGTTTAGTTTTACCCCGCTTTTAGCAATTTCCAGCAATATCACTGCTAAGGGAAACCAGAATGGGTTTCAAATATTGTATCCATGTGGGGAATCGAACCCGGGTCTTCGGTGTGCCGAGCAAACGCTTTCACCACTAGGCTACCCCACCCGTTTATGAAAGCATACGGCTACTGATCTGGTACTTGACACACCTAACAGATGCAACTTAGCACACAAATATCGGTTTCACATTTGTGAGTGAGTCAGTTGGTGTGGTATAACCTTCTTTGAACAGTATTTCAGTATATCATGGCTTGTTGATTGAGGAAAGCCCAAAAAGATGCAGGCCTTAGTACTTTTCCACTGTGATGAAACCCAGGAGTGGTGATATGGAGCTGATAAACCTGCAGCTAAATATGGGTGAATCCTGAAACATGGCTTAGAAATCATAATCATAGGTGTATGTACACCCAAGGGATGTAACTGCACAGTGAAATGCAAGCTGCTATTTGAAACGGCCACCCATGCCTATGATAAAAATTGATCTACATCAAGTACCATATGTGATTGTCCTTTCACAGAAATAAGAAAATGTTCAGATAAAAAATTCCACCACACAACAGCCAATTAAATACAAATAGGAAAGGTATTTGAATGATTGCAGAGATACAGCATGCATACATTGTGCTGAAATTACCTCAGCATACAGTACAGGTGGGCAAGTGTTTTGGTTCATTTTATAAAGGATAAATTTTCAAAGACAAAAACACTATGGTTTGACACATATTATTATTTGACAATTAACCGAATATTCCATTACCACTGCTGTTAATAGTTCCTAACTGTGCAACATACAAATCTTTACATCTGCAAATTCAATCATTGACTAACAGGCATTGGCTGCTGAACATTGTTACCATAACGAAACAAAAAGCACCAGTTCAGAAAAATAGGGAAAAAACTTAACTAACAGAAGCATATGCATATATGCAAAACCCAAACAAACATAAATAAGCTGACTATCTTTGTTGAATGTAGATCCAACGCTACAGAAGCCTTACCAAAACAAGCACGCTGCCCCAATAAACGGATGATTATGCACATTATTGATACAGGACATCACATGATGGCACAAAGTGAACCCCCATGAAATAAATGTAACAGTGAGTGAGTGAGTTCAGTTTTATGCAGCACTCAGCAATATTCCAGCTATATGGTCTGTAAATAATTGAGTCTGGACCAGACAATCAAGTGATCAACATCATGAGCATCGATTATGACCTAACTTCAGGGCCATAGGTTTTCTGCTTCAGAATTGACAAAGAGAATATATCTTTGACTTTAAACACATCAATATTAATGAGCCATCAATTACACAGAGACCTTAAATAATCCGAATCATATACAATGATGTGCTTGCTCAGTTTGTACATGCAAGATAATGATTTGGATAATATACACACATTCATAAATAACAGAACCAATACAAAACAACCATGTGACACATTTAGAACTGAAAACACATTTGGCACATCCTCATTCGACTTGCTTATGTTTCTATCACATTAGAGAACATTCATAACACATTCTGAGAATGCTTGTCATTTAAAGTAAAAACGTGATTGCTTCAAGTGATTGTTAGATGGTTAGAAATGTAATGTGACCACAAAGCAGGTTCAGAAACTTCAGTAGTTTTTGTCCCAAACTGACCCTGCCTTTTTTCCAAAATATGTAGAATACAACACCTTTATTTCTTAGCATTATGTAATCTGCACAAGTTCCTTGAATGCCATCTCAGATGTGTCAGCAGGTATGGCAACAGGAAAATCTATTTTAAGCTGATAATATGTCATCAAATGGGGGATTTAGACGATTCTGCAGAAATCTGCAGATCAGCGGAAAATTGCCATAACTGTGTCAGTTTTGTGATGAACAAATAATTGGTACAGGTGCTCCGTGGAAACAATAATTTTCCTTATTGTGTTGTGAATTTTACGCCAAAACCATATTAACCATAGCAACATATAATGATGAATACCTCGACCTATTCACCATATCTCATTCCAAGAGAAACAGTACCAGTAACACTACCATCTCCAGTATCACCAACTTAGCAAACATTGTCTTGCCCAGCAACCAAATGCAACAAGAGTATGAAACAGAATTTCAAAATTGCTGTCTCGTACAGGCATAATGTTGGTGTCTTTGTTAAAAAAGACTGTAATCAATGAACATTCAGCTGGAAATGTTGTGATAAGAGACAATGAGGTTTTTCCAGTTGCTGAGACACAAGTACACAAGGCAAGTCTAGTCCTTTCAATCATGAATTTAACCTACCATTTTATCATTTTATTTATATTAGAAACAGATTCAACAAAAACATTTTGGGCAAATGGGTGCAGGGTAATTATCATACTAGAATGAAAAAGATATATCTTACATATCATGTATGAACACCAGAATATGGAATATAGTCAAGAAAGTACAGCATTTCAGAAAGAGGATAGAAAACATCTCGGTCTCTAAGTGACAGCTAATATTTATACCCCACACTTATGTTTGCCACTGACTGGAATATCATCATACACTTGCCAATACTGTTTCTAAAATGATTTAAAAGTGCATTTTTTCAGTGAAAGGTAATATTTGAACAAATTGTGCTTGTTAATACACCTTCAGTGATCATAAGTGCTATCTCAAAAACAAGCAGTATCTCACCCAAGCATTAACAGTGTAGAATCCAGGTTAGAACAGATCCCAGCAACCTCTGCTTGTCATCAGAGGCATCAAAACAGGTCAAGTGAGTGAGTTTAGTTTTACGCTGCTTTTTTCAATATTCAGCAGGGGACACCAGAAATGGGCTTCTCACATTGTACCCATGTGGGGAATCAAACCCGGGTCTTCGGAATGATGAGCCAATGCTTTAAGGTTACTCAACTGCCCAAAATTATAGGTCAAGGGGTCAAGAGTGGTGACATAATGTTTTTGCTTGTCGGGGTAAGAGGATTACCACACCACAACTACATCCAGTAGTTTTAGAGGTGCCAGAAATGTGTACAAGTGGAAAGGTAAAAGATGAATACCAGACCATTAAAACAGTTGGTTGTCAACCAGTTGAGCTAAACCTCTTCATTTGTGTCAGATTCTAAAGGCCTTAGCCAATAACTAAGCAATTCCTAAACATTTTAATGCAATCAGTGGGTGTAAAACTTCAATCTTATACAAAAGGATGTTCAGCATGGGTTTTTTTCTAATTTTAAAAGAAGTTGAAGTGAGATCACAGAAAGGGTGCTTTCCAGTTCCAAATAGTAACTTTGCTTAGAATAAAATAGCATTTTCAGAAAACTAAGAGTAACACACATCAAGAATGATATGTTTCATACCATAACACCATGCCCATTAGCTTATATATCAGTGTAGTAATAAGTAAATTGATCAATCTGTACTTGTGAATATGTTTGGAGTAGTTAACACAATTTCTGCATCAGGTGCAGTATTTTTTTCTGACTGGATACTGAAAGTGGGTTTTCATGGGTATTCGTCACTACTGACCAATCACTCAGCCCTGGTGTTCTATTTACTGGTTACATATTTATATTTAACTAAGAATCAGAGATCTTGAGTATTTTGGCGTATGGAAGTGTTATTTATGATGTTTATGACCTAAGATAATCACATGCACAGAATTTCAGAAATTCAAGTTTTCACAGAGTTGATGGTACTGGTTTACTTTAGGCTGTAAAATTATAACAAATACAAAACTTCAAATGTGTTGGCAACTCTGAGATTATAGGTTCTTTGTTATGGTCAAAGTTTACCATTATCTTTTCAAATTGGGCTCGTTTTCAGAACACAATCCATGAAGCCTATATTGATCAGGCATTGATTTATCCATGGTTGTATTATCCAAACCTGTAAACTCTTATGTTTTTGCACTCACTTTCTTCTGATGAAAATCACGTTCTCACAGCCAGTATATTAAATCTCACATTTCTTTGTAAAAGTGATTTCTAAATAATTGGGTTTTTTCTTCTGCTTCTTTCTTCGGCTTTGCTTCTGTGTTTTTCTGGATCTGTTTACTACCTGAGGCAGGTTAGCATGGAATAACAACCGGCACAATGGATGGCCAAGTTTTGACTTCCAATGAAGAATCAACAAGATCCATTCCACAAGAATTTCAATGAAGGCTTACTCAACAGGTTGTCACATGGTACAGTTTATTCCCAGGTACAGTTAGCAGGCTAAACCTCCAGCATGTTGATCTGGGTCATCATCCTGAACATCGGGGTAGAAAATCACAGACTTAAAAAAAACCATTTTCAATGAGCTTCAATCAATTATGCAAACACAATGTGCTCTGAAGTTAACACCATGCTGGCGATGATATGAGCATTCCAATCCAATGAAAACGTCCTCCAAAACTGGTTTGCTGGATTTTTCTGAAACTCATCAGCTTGATCATCATTTTTTCTGTGGATGGCATCTACGGGGCATGATGAGTTTCCTTCAGTTGTGTCAGTAAATCAGCACCATGACACATTATACAACTTCGTCAACCAAAACATTTGTACAACTGATGTTACCTAGCACTCACAATAACACTTAGTGTCTCTGGTTTCTTGCAACAACTGCACTTCCGAATTTCATTAAGTCTGGTAAACATTTCTAGACAGCACTGACAATACAAGGTTATAAAGAGATTGATTAAACCCAGGGGTGGAAATAACTTTAAAATTGCTAGTGTACTCCGGAACAGTGGCACATGTAAAATCACTTGCCCTGATAATTTTTCCACTATACCGGCCATTTTCTTGTTGATTTTTTAAATAGAAACCATAATTAATATTGGAAAGTCAACTGGACACCGGTACAGTGTGATATACAAATTTGCTTGCCCAACAGAAAAAAACACTTGACTCGGGCATCAGGCAATGGGTTATTTCACACCCCTGAAACCCAGAAACAACAGTTAACAACTGAAGCTTGAAGAAATTGGTTACTCTAACAATCCTGATTACAACAAACAACTTAACTGATCTCATGAACAAATACATAAGAAATCTCTTTTCTAACAACAATTTCAAAGGGACGTCATGCATGTGCAGTTTTCCATATTATTTGATGAATGACTGAAAGAGCTGACAAAAGACGAGCAAAAAGCTGTTTATAAATCTGTAACGTACACACAAACTACATTTTTCTAAGACATTGGAGTGTATCTTTGTAAAACGGATTCAAATTACACAGTTATTCATTTAGCACTTAAATGCAGGTCATACATGACATGATCATAATATAAATAGTTTGCTATAGTATGGCAGCAATCAGTGTTGAAATAAATACATATGTAATTGGCCACAAACCAGGGATTCTTTAAAGGTACCATCTGGCAACAAAGCCCTTCAACCAATTTTGTAGGGCAGCATATTAATGAAATCTCAAGAGATGGGTTTTAAGCATTAGACTTTGAGACCTGACATCTCTCATCGTCACGACATAAACGGACTACCAGTACATTGCTGATGAAGCCACAGATCTCTTGGGACTACATAAAAAAATCAGTAAATGTACTGAGAATGTTTAACAAACCAAGCCAAATAGATATAAGCATGGTTATTAAACGTTAAAATACAACTTACTGGGTAATTTCTAGTCTGTCTACAGTATTATTGGCAACATGATGGGTACTTCAAACACAGACTTGTCCCCTCATGGTATACTGACCACTAGAACAGTAATTAAAGAATATGTCAAGTCTATTGACAAACAGCACTACTGGATAAAAACGCCTTGGACAGAAACAAGCAGATACTCTTATCCTTATGACAGATACTTTCATTTGTATTATTACAGAGTAATGCATGAATGTCTCATGATTGGAAGAGCAAGTTCAAACATCCGTGGTAAACAAAGATGTACCAACAGCGGGTTAGATCATGGATCATAGGCAAACAGGTCCTTAGCTCATTTCAGACATGTAAAATAACAAGAGTTTGTGATCAAAGATCTGGTCCAACTAGACTGTGACTAGTCTTGGAATGACAGACTAGTAGCCGTGTCTTTTCATGTCTGCACTTGGGAGGAAAATTCATGACCCTGAAAAGGACCAAGTAAAAAATTTCACAGTAGGACAATTTGACTGAAATCAGAATGGCATCATGCTTTTGGTCAAGTTATACAGCTGGGAAAACCTCCCGAGATGAGAAAACCTTAACATACTGGGAGAGATTCAGTAATGATTAGTGCTGCGTCATTAAGTTTAACGACAAAAGCAAACATCAGGTAATTGTTTTTCACTGAAACAAATAAACATATTTCCTTTTTCATGCCTGTCTTACAATGGGAAAAGCACAGGCTTTACAAACTAACATGTTTGTTCCAAAGATATAGTTCCATGGAACAACAGTCTTAGACGTTAGCACAAGTGAGTGGTAAATCAAGAGAGCAGGGATTATGAAAGACTGGCAAATTGGAAGAGACAGTTACTTTGCTAAAAACCGGGAATTTTTTAAGTTCTAATTTTCTCGAGTTAAGATGAATTAAACGTTATATACACTGTAATAATGTAAATTAAAGCCTCTTCCTCTTTACTGTTAAGCTGAATTAAACGTTATATACAATGTAATAATGTAAATTAAAGCCTCTTCCTCTTTACTGTTCCTGATTCCCCTGATTGGTAAAGTGCATTAAACGTTATATACAATGTAATAATGTAAATTAAAGCCTCTTCCTCTTTACTGTTCCTGATTCCCCTGATTGGTAAAGTGCATGTCACCTTTACAGTCATAGTATTAGTGATAGGAAACTTTCTATACTAATTTGGGAGTTGTAAAACACATGGGCAAAATATTGTCTTCTGAACAGTTTCAGAGAAAATACCTGATGAGGCAATGCTTTAATCTGGGCCCATTTCCATGTGTGAGACATTGTGCAAGGCTAATTCCAGCTGGTAGACTTGAAACAAACTTGAAAGGACTGCCAATCTGATGTATGAGCTGCTTCATCGTACTCCACAGTGTCAAGTGATGCACACCCCGTCTATGTCATCACTTCCTTACATCCACAACAAATATGTTACATTCACTCTATTCTTGGAAGCACCAAGTGTTAAAACACACTATATTGACTACATCTGTTTTAGACAATGAAAGTAACCCTTGTATAGGCAGTGGCCATTACATGATACATGGCATCTCAGAAAATAAGGTGGGAATCCAGTGTGTATGTAGTCACACAGTTAATATGCATACAAATTAACACATAATTCATTAAGTGAGTGAGTTGGATTTTACGCTGATTTTAGCAATATTCCAGCAATATCACGGCTGGGGACACCAGAAATGGGCTTCACACATTGTACCCATGTGGGGAATCGAACCTGGGCCTTCAGCGTGACGAGCGAATGCTTTAACCACTAGGCTACACCACCGCCCCATAAATCATTAAGAGCATGGCTGTAAAATTAGTGTGAATTACACGGAACATACAAGTCTTGTTTCGTTTGATTCTAACATTCAAGCTTCAAAATCTCACAGATCACGAATGAAGTCTTATGCAAGAAGTGTCAAAGCATTCATTAAGGGAGATGCTAAATCTATAACATTTTGACAGGCGTAGAATTACAATTGCTACAAGAAACTGGACCTAGCACTTTAGAATTCAATGAAAGCACAAAATAAATAATTGAGATACATGACCAGATTTGTGTAAATATGAAAAATCTGTCCTTGATGCTTCTCACTTTCTGTATAGCAGTTTGAACATACCAGTCAACTTGTAGGCAAACTAAATTCCATTTGTGCATGCTAGACAACTGTGACATGATTAATTATTCATGACTCGGAGAAATCAACTTAGGGATTAGAGAGCTACTATTCTTGTGTTTAGTCAAGGATGGATGTAAATGAGCAAGAAGCTTATCATCCAGGTGTCAAAAAACAATTCAACATGTGACTTAAAACATGCATCAGTGTACCTTGTGGGCATTAGAACCGAGGTCTTCAGTGTGCTGACACAGACCTCATCTACCCCACAGCACTTCAATCAATGGGTGTACATTTTAGGAATACAATTTCACAGATGAGACACAACACCCAGTGAAATATAAGGAGCTTTCAAAGAAGCTATGAATCAACTGGAAAATTGTCAAGTCTCTTGCATCACAGAACTAATTTACCGTAATCACTTGCACATTATCAACACAGCTTCATAAACAGCTTCATAAACAGTTTCAGTCAATAATTTGCAACAACTGTTCCTGAAACAGCTCCACATCCCAACTGCTATACTTGTAAGATGGGAGGGTCTTGTGCTTGCAATTTTTGAACTTGCTCTTTCACTAAACAGTGAAGAAAGACTGGTATGCAAGTGAGCTGGACTACATCGTTGCTAGCAGCAGAGCAGTCAAGGGTCTGTCACTAATGTCACTAAGATCACAGCATTCCGAAGCCCTTGGCGTGAGTTATAGCCTTGAGCAGTCGTTCCTGAAGTTTTTCTTTTGAACAATAGTCCGGAAGAAGAAGAACGTTGAAACATGTATGTGATGTTGGCAACCTGAAGAACAAAGTTAGAGTGAGTTGTGCTTGACGCCACTATTATCTGTACTTCGGTTCTATCATGGCATCAAGTAAGTGTGGGATGACAAGAGTACCTCGAGTAACATCAGCGGACAAGAATCAGTCACTATTTTATGTAACAGTCAGCAATTTCCACTATCAAAGTGAGTAAGTTGGGCTGAAACCTCTCCATGTTATAAGGGTACTCATTAATTTGCATAATTGATAAACGTCACACAACTTGTATTTAAAGTGTTGTTTTTCAGTGACTTGATTCAATTTTGCTTTGACATCCTAATACCCTGAGACAAGTTCCCCCTCAAATTACAGCAAGTCAGCCTGATGTGGAAGGAATGTGTGAGTGAGCGAGTTTAGTTCTACGCCTCACTCAGCAATATTCCAGCTATATGGCGGCGGTCTGTAAATAATCGAGTCTCGACCGGACAATCCAGTGATCAACAGTATGAGCATCGATCTGCGCAATTGAGAACTGATGACATGTGTTAACCAGGTCAGCGAGCCTGACCATCCAATCCCATTAGTCGCCTCTTATGACAAGCATGGGTTAGGAATGTGTGATACAGCCCTAAGATGATTACTATTCATTGAAGCCCACAAGAACGTGTATAGTGCTGACAAACCAAGAAGCATAGTCCAGACAAATCTGCTATTGGATTTTCTTATTACCATACAATTCTTGCCGATCTCTTAAAATGTCACAGATTCAGGATATATTGTACGCTAATGGAAGCAGGCACTCCTTCAAAGGGAGATAACTCTGTATGGTTTACTCACTGTAAAAGGATTATATCAAAATTGGTTTCTTAAGATTTTAATTGATTTCAACAGATTTTTCAAACACTTCATGACATGGAGAATCGTTTGGACAATTTAGGGTCTTTTCAAGGTATGTTACCCACTTTCAATTCTGTTTCAAACAGAATCTAATTTCAAGGACTCTCCAAGACAGGCCTAAAATTCAATAGTATTACAGATGTACCTGTCTGAGTCTGGTCCATTCCTAGCAATGATGAGCTTGAGCTTGGACAGCCCCCCAACTGGCACCCGATCTGTTCCTGTGGTAAACTGCAGCAGTTTCTTCTTCTGGTCTTCTGATAAACTATGCACTACTTGCCAGAAGTTTCTGTAAGTAACAAATAAAAATGACTGCCATCACATCATTCCAAAACAATATCTGCCACTGTGGGGGTCATAGTCCTCCATCACAATCAATACAGAATAAGTTGTGAGGAAGTGAGTGAGTTTAGTTTTACACCACACTCAGCAATATTCCAGCTATATGGCGGCGGTCTGTAAATAATCGAGTCTGGACCAGACGATCCAGTGGTCAACATCATGAGCATCGATCTGCGCAATTGGGAACCGATGACAACCAAGTCAGCGAGCCTGACCACCCCATCCCGTTAGTCGCCTCTTACGGCAAGCATAGTCGACTTTTGTGGCAAGCATGGGCTGCTGAAGACCTATTTTACCCCGGATCTTCACGGGTCAGTTCTGAGGAAGAATGTATTTATCTATATTAACATGTGCTTTTGCCTACACTGTAGGGGTACCAGAACGCACATGGGAAAACAAGTCACCGGACGATGACCAATGAAGTGCTTGGACTCATGTCCTCAAGGGTCCAGGTAGGTGCAATGTGATCTAGTTTTCTAGTTTATTTGTCATCACTATTCATAGACTTAATAGGCTATCAAACTCTCAACCTGTTTCATTGGCATTTTAGAAGCTGATGAACAATAAGAAAGGTGTGATACATGGATAGCAACTTCTATATTATATAATGATGGGACATTTCTGTACAGATTCTTACAACGTTGACAATGGCATAAGAGTCTATACCGAAATGTTGCATCATATTATAATAAAGAAGGTGTCATCCATAAAGTATCCTACCTTTCTCACTTTTTCTAATTCTTCAAAAATCACCCTAATCTATATGGCTAAGGGACATACAATGTCTAAGAGGACACCTGAACTGGCTGTAACAAGTTATTGTTATGGACTGCGATATCAACGTATCAAGCTCAATAAAACCATAAGCATAATTCTGTATCAGTATGTACCCTTTTGCCTTTTGTTTTAACTGTATTAACATCAGGCATTCTGCAAAAAGAAATTTCTTCCAGTTTGGTTACATAATATTTGGTCCATAAGTCAGACTGCTGTCCTCAATCAAATAACAGAAACATCATGAATTTTTTTCTAAAACAATCAGCTTTGTATTTTTATGGCAAGATCAATACAATAAAATTGTACAATTTACTCCAAAATACTGGGTTGTGTGAAATACTGCACATCAAATATCCTACTAGACATGGTATTGTGCCTTTTGTTGGATGCTTCAGCTCTATCTATGCTTCACCTCTCGATATAATAAAATGTCTGCCTCAAATGTGGGTTTCCAAATACTTAAGGGCGGTGGGGTAGCCAAGTGGTTAAAGAGTTCGCTAGTCACGTGATGATCTGGGTTCATGACCCACATGGGTACAATGTTTGAGCTCATTTCTGGTGTCTCCCGCCATAATATTGCAATTCTCACTCACTCACTCACTCAAAATACTTACTTGACTGAAGCGGAATCTTTGGTGAATCCACCATCATATTCTGTGGCCTCCTCCAGAGCAAAGAAGTCTAGATCCTGCAAGCACAGCAGTGTTAAGTACGGGTTGTCTGTGTCAAGTGTATCTGTACACTAATAGCAAAACAGACCCTGTCCTCTGTCAATTTGACATTCAAAATGTGCTGAACAATTGCCCTTTATCGATCTAATGCAGATACAGTCACTCAGACAACAGATAAGATGTAACTGAGGTTCCACCATTACAACCAGTTCTGTATTTGTATGCTTTGTCCCACTCTATACACACAACAAACATGTGGTAAGTGCTCCTACAACACAATCAACTTCTTGTCTAAGACGAGGCCAAGGATCAAATCTTGGACCCACAACTCTCATGGCAGACATCACATCAACAAAAAACAGGGAGGCTGTCAATTATCCAGATAGTCTTTCATATTTATCCTCCATCACCTATGCATAAAACTAAATACTGACACAAAACATATGCCGAGTACATCCATCACGATGCAAAAAAGACTTTGAGTCCCTTTGACCCCAAGCTAAATCCCTGGACTGTATATGATTCTCATTTCAATTACCGACAACAGATGACACAAACAATTCTATATCAAAATGGACTGAGCAAAAGCGTGCCTAAAACACATTTCCCACACATCAGACCGTAACATCACAAACAAAATAAGTCTCCATACAATAAAGAATGTAAGAATACAACTGAAGCTTGCACCTCAAGGTATTACCTCATGGAATGCCTTTTAAAAAGGGAGATAATTCAACATTATTATTAACTACAGACCATAAGAAATTTTTAACGTTACACCTTTAATCCATTCTAACAAGGATCCTGAAACAAGCTCTCTTACCTTGCTACCGCACACCAACAGCTCCACCTCCTCAGGTCGGAACAGAAGGCGGAAAGGGCTTTCATTTGTCACCATCAGAAAACCTCGCTTGAAAGCACGAAACTGGCTCTCTATACTCTTGTTCAAGATAAAGTCTGCATACAGGTTAACGAACTCCTGAAAATTAAACAGTCATAATGAAAATACTTGCATCATTATGTTCCAGCAGAATCATTGACCAGAATGAGTGAGGAGCATGATGTAATGCCAATTTGAATTGTACTCAGATCAATCCAGCCATGAGGGAATGCACAGAAACATACAATAACAGATTTGTGAATATATATCAGTGGTGATACAAAAGTTAATGTATTAAGACCAGGTTAAAAAAAATATCTGAGCGCATTGAGTAAAGGCTAACATAGAGCAACAATCATCCTTTGCTCAAAAGACTGAAAATCATAGCTAAAGCACTTGAACAAGGGAAGTAACTCTTCTGAAAGCCTTCCCAACCATTGCCAAATGGATACAGGTGAACCTCTTTTAATATGTACCTTATACACATTAGCATTGAATAATGGACTAATTAATTACATACAAAATTCGTAGATGTGTTCAAACAACATCTGGATACAGATAACAGCTTCAGAGTGAGTGAGTAAATGTTGCTTCAAGACTCATCAATAATACTGCAGCTACTAGCATTGGGAATTGGTTAAAACCTCATAATTGATGATTGGTTCATTACAACCGATCAATTATCGAAAATAATTGGTTAACGTCATTGATCAAATTTTCCTGATTATGTTTGTTAATTCACAAACAATAAGGTATGTTTGTTAATGCCCAAACAATAAAAAAACAAACATGTAGTTCTTATGAATACTTTAGCAAATTGCACAAAATGCATTTGCAAATTTCACATCTTTAAAGGATGACTAGTATGTTAGGAACATAAATTTCCTTGAGTCTTTAAGATAAATTCAATCCTGACTTGGAATGAGCTTCTAGTGCTTATTAAATGCAACATACAAAACCAACCTTGTGAAAATATTGTTAATGCAAACATATCTTACAAACTTGTTTGTGTTCGATTATGAGAAAACATGATTGATTGCTTGGTCATTTAGTCATTGCGACCAATCTTCGATCATTTCAAATAATCGGACCACCACTAGCAGCTACTAGCTAGCGGCTCCGAGCTGCAGAACATCTCAGTGAGCGAAATATGTTCAGAGTGGGCCAGTTGCCATTCATTTATACTCTCTCACAGCTAATAATACTAGCCCCCAAAATTCAGTAAGACAATATTTAGGTATATTACATTTGAAGTCAAACCAACTGTCAATACACCGATGTCACTCTCTGCAAACGGACTGCATCGGAGATGCCAGGTTTGATGAATGCGCGTCTTTAAGGGGCTTGTTTACACAAACATCCTCGAGCTGTAAGGCATCCGTGCAGTTGGTCAGTTTCAGCTAAAGAGGTCAACTTGTCAGCTTTCTAACAACAACATAGTTTCAGCAGAGACCCATCATACATGCTTATAGTTAGTTGTTAAAAACAATATCGCCTGAGAAAAATGGCGTCATGTTTGAACACTGCCGACAGAGTGTTTTCATGGGTAATGTATCACAACAAAGGAACAAAGGGTTGTTTTCATTACTATTATTTCTGCCATGGACTGGTATGCGGTAGTAATAACAGTCAGACGGCAGTTATCACTGGCTACTTGTCGATAGTTCACTGAGTATTAATCCGGTAAGTCATGTTTCTGGGCACTTTCTTCTAACCTCGAAATTAAAATTGTCTAAAATATTTATATATTTTAGGCCCCCAAACCTCGAAATTTAAATCACCTCGAAAGCTCTGGGGGTCTCAAACCTCGAAATTTTAGTACCTCGAAAATTTCCCGGTATACGGTAAATGCTTACCTGCTTGTTTTGCTGAGTGACAAATATTTCATTTCCATTTTCCTTCAGGTCATGAGACAGTATTGAGCCAAACACATCTGAATGTCCGATCCTGAATGTCTGCATGAACACATCGGCAATGTCGTCGTCTTCATATTCTAGCAACTGAGTCAGACTACTGGCAATAGTCTGGAATTTCAATTTAAAAGACACTTTAAAGTCATTTCTGACAATAACTGAAGTTTTACTTAAAGTAGACGCCATATTCATAAACATTTAGTCCCATTTATGAAAGGATCTCATTTCAAAATATCTCTCTCTTAAATAAAAATTAAAACACAAAAGGGGGTCCAGAACAATGCTTTATTTCAAGACCAGAATCAAAAATGCAAAATCATGTTAGACTTGAGTTTGACGCTTTTTTCTATTAATTCTCTATGGTCTCGAGACAGACCAACATTGAATGTCAAATACTACTTATGCTTCTTGGTGAGATAGTGTTTCCCACAAAACTACCTCCATACCTGGTCTACATCATGGAGATCGTCGTATGTGCCCTTCTTGCCGAGCAGTTTGCGGTAGACAACCATGGGGAAGTGGATGTCCAGGATGCAGCTGTTGTATATTGCCAAACCAAGGACAATACCAATCAGGGTGAACTGACCGTCATTCTCAAAGGACATTGGGTTAAACCAGAAGTGGTGGGTTGATTCGTTGTACGTAAACATACCTATGAGAAATATATATTTTCACACAATAATATATGTATTCATAAACATGACATGCAAATCATTGAAAACAGTTACTGTTTCTACTCTGTTCCATCCCAGATTATCTGATGGATTGTATTACCACACTATTAATGACAAACACCATTGACCCATATCTCATCAAAGCTTCTTTCAGAAGTAACATTACACTATGATTTCTATGATCACTAACAGCACAAAATTTCTTGCTCACATTGTGCCTGTATCTAGTATAAAATACCTATATCTGGGTTGAACAGCTCCTCAACCACCAACTGGAAAAACTCCTTCGATACACCGCCTTCATCTAGACCTTGCTCCCCATCAAACTCTACAAACAGCTGTTTCTTCAGATCCCCTGGGTTGTCCATGGCGACCATCTCCAGCTAAACAAACATCATATCATCAAGGTGAGACATCAAGTGATTCAAGTCACAGTCCCACTGACCATGCTGAACCCTGTCTCAAACAGCTGTCTTAGTAATGACAGTTGTAAGTTTATAGCCAAGCTCAAAACTAACTTAGTGCCATGGACGGCTATGTCAGCTCTGTGTTTGTAAACCATGTTTCACAAAGCTATCTTAGTAACTTCTTAGCCATATGACAGTTTTAAGTCTATAACCAAGTTCACCAAAGCTATCTTAGCACTATGATGGCTAATCTAATTTTGACAGCTATAGATCTATAACACAGTTGCCCAAAAGAATCTTCGCGCTATGATGGTTATGTGTCTATGACCCTGTGTCACAAAGCCATTTTGGTCATATGACAGTTTTAAGTCTACATCCCAGTTTCACAAAGCAATCTTATTTTGACAGATAAAGATCTACAACCAGTTGCCCAAAAGAATCTTTGTGCTATAACAGCTATGTGTCTATGACCCTGTGTCACAAAGCTATCTTAGCACTATGACGGCTATGTGTCTATGACAATGTGTCACAAAGCTATCTTAGCACTATGACGGCTGTGTGTCTATGACAATGTGTCACAAATCTATTTTAGCTATATGACAGTGGTAAGTCTATCACTCAGTTTCACAAAAGCATGAATGATTCTGTTTCAATTTACCTTTGTTTATAAATCTCAGTTATATGATTACTGCTACGTAACTGCTTTATGAGTGCACAAATGTTTCTGCTTGTAACAAATCATGCGGAGAGAAACGTATCACTTGCAGTTCCATACTTCTAATTAAGACACACGATGACAGCTCCAAGATGTTGCTACCTGCACTGGGCTACTAAAAGTAACCTGCACCAGCCATTTTAAACATGCACCAGTGCAGGTTTTAAATAGCTAAATCACACACTGAATAGGGTTAAATGTTTATAACTGTCACAGCTAAGAAAGATTTGTGAAAAAGGGTACAGAAACACAGACATCATAGCACTCAGATAGCAATGGGCAACTGGGTTATAGATCAATAACTGTCAAAATTAGATTGATTTAACATCATGGGGTCAGGTTTGGTTCTACGTATATTAATACTGAGTACTTGTTATGAATTTATATAACTTTTTAGAACCAGTGACATTATTTTACGGTGCAAAATTCTGATGATGCAGCCAAATCTATAGGCCAGGTTGGTGCAGGTACTGAAAAAAACTACAACTGAAATCGCACCCTGCTATTACACGCAGCCATCTTAGCTATGACAGCTGATAGTCCATCACACAGTTATAGTTTCTATAAACTGTTTCATGAAGGTATCACAGCACTAAGAATCTTGTCAATCTAAAATCCTGTTTCTAAAAGCTATACGCTTTATGACAATAATGTTTCACAAAGCAATCTTAGCAGTGTGACAGTTGTAAGTCAAAAGCCTGTTTCATACAGCAATCTTCTTCTTATGGCTGTATTGAGTCTATGGCCTTGTTCCAAACAGCTATCCTAGAGCTTTGATGCTCATGTTGTTGATCACTGGATTGTCTGGTCCAGACTCCATTATTTACAGACCGCCGCCATATAGCTAGAAGATTGCAGAGTGTGGCGTACAACTAAACCCACTTACTCACTCACTCACTATCCTAGAGCTGTGACAGTTAAATGTCAATTACCAAGTTTTACAACATATATCTTTGCCTTTGGGCACAGCAAATAACGATAAAAACGAACATGCTTGTAATGAACTGATAGACATAAACTGTTTTTTAGTCCTGACCTCTTGCTATATTTTTTTGATAACATGCATATAAAGAACTAAAGGTTGTGGTCATTTGGGTTTGTTAAAACTGTAGTTTACTGTTTACTCTCAAAAATCTAAAGTGCTGAGGTGAAAGTTTAGAAAATTGCAAAGCATCATAAACATCCATAAACTTACATCAGTTATCAGTGGTGCAAATAACTTTAAAATTGCTAGTGTACTCCTACTCCGGTACAGTGGCACATGTAAAATCACTTGCCCTGATAATTTTTCCACTATACCGGCCATATTCTTGTTGATTTTTTAAATAAACAAAATAAATAAAATTGGAATATCAACTGGACACCAGTACAGTGTGATATACAAATTTGCTTGCCCAACAGAAAAAAACACTTGACTTGGGTGTCAGGCAATGGGTTATTTCCACCCCTGGTTATATGTTCAGCATGTTCAACAAGTTCAAGTTGTAATAACCATTAATAGCATTTCATTTTTAATATCTTTCTTAGGTCAAAACCTTTAACTTCTATTGTGAAACCCATGATCAAGTGTGACAAACCAAGAATCATAAACAGATTCAATTCCAGGGTTTCTGGCAAAGGGAAGCAAGTCTGCAGTGCTGTAGACAACTGACCAGCCAGAGCCTCCAGAACCCCAACCCCACACAATAAAGAAATCATGTTGAGAAAAACTTACCGCAACTAAGGCATCATCTATCACATGATCTCGCCGAACACGAATTCGGAGATACGGCATTGGAGGTCCTCCATGAACTATTGTATGTAAGAACGATGTCCTTCTCTCATTCAACATTCGGATTCTATTGTCAAAGTACATACTGGTGTACTTCGACGCTGTGGTCAGTATAAAATTATGTGTCACAAAAGAAAACTTCAAATCAGAGTCTGTTTTGTAGTATGCATAATCTGTGCTGATGTCTATATGCTCATTTAGAGGCTCATTAACAAACTCTTCAAATGGTATTAAGGGTTCTCTACAGTCTAGAACATTCACACCTAGTTCCTTTCCTAATGGGTCTTCCTTCTGTTGGTATGGCTCCTTTGGTTCATGTGCTACAGCACCTTGAAGAAATTCATTCTGAATACTGTCGTCAGCTTCGTTTGTTTTCTTCTCTTCTTCTAAAAGTGCTTGTGAGTCTCTCTTACCACCATAAATACTGGCATAGAACAATATCTTCATGACTTTTGTTGCATTTAGAATTCCTTCATCATCGTTCAAATGATAACCCCGCCCCCACTGGCCTTCCTCCTTTATCACCTTCACTGTGATGAGCTGCTGCAGGGACTGCAATGTTTCCCGAAGTTTATCTGTCCCGAATGTTGACCACACCTGGGCCAGCTTTGCCTGGCCTTTAACTGACAACTGACCTAGGGCTCGACAAAACACAGGAAATGCACTTTCAATAAATTCAGGGCTGTGGAGAAGTGGAATCTCTAGCACTATGATGAAGATGTTGATATAGTTGGGATCACGATCATACGCATGGTGGTATTTCAAATCCATGTCAACTGTGTTTGAAAGAACAAGAAGTGCATGATTCAGAGCACCCTGAAATGGATGATCGGGAATGTCCATTAATATTGAATACATCTCCCGTAATGAGTCTAGGTCTAATGTGTGTTCATTATGGATATCGGATGCCGAGAGTGTGGCAGTGGCTGTTGCCATGGCACTTGCTCCACATGTCTCCTGAACTGGATTAGAAAGAGGCCCTTCCCCCTTCTCCGTGTACTTTAGCAGACACTTCTCTGGTCTCAGGTTTGCTTTCACTTTTCCGAAAACTCCGCAGGAGTGATTCTGGGTTATTGAACACTTCTCCAACAGTTCTTATCAGTTCTGCCCAATCATTTTGTGCTTTACACCTATCCACTACTTCTTTCATTTTCTCAAGTGTTAGGAATTTCACTTCTGGAACTGAAACATGAAAAAATATTTATTCAGACAAAATCATGAAGACAGTTTTGATTTTCATAATAAGCCTATATCCATGCAACTGATTTATTACAGTGTCAACAACTAAATTACTTTATGCTCTTGATGACTACATTTTTTCAGTAACTGACTATCATTATCCATATATAAAATACTTTGATTTTTTACTTGAGTATTATACTTCACTCATGAGAGTGAAACAAAAATCTGTAGCATATCCATTGTTTTATTTCATTTAAATTTGTTGGCACATAAAGTTGTATTGGCTTATAATGAGAAAGCAAAACTTTTAGTGCACATTGAAAATATCTCAGGCATATAGCGACACGCTGGCTTTCAACACACTGATCTGGAAATAAAACTTAGGTCTCTTCATCAACCTCTATTAGCTCTATAGCTTCTATTAGCTCAAAGAACACAACCTACTTCTTGTGTATATCTTGGCCTCGGAGACAATACTTTTACTACTGGTATGTCCAGATGTTGAAGCACCATCCCCATCAGGCTTGTTGGATTTTGACGAAGAAGTGCCTTGGTTGGTTTCTTGGACGGGAAACTTGGCCACCTTCTTAGGCTGTTGTTCACAGAGATCCGCCTTTTCTTGGCACAACTTCATGGCATGGACTGCTAATTGATTGCGGTCAATGTGCTTATAGCAAAATCCAGGGCACGATGCACATGCCTTGTTGGCACAGTCTGCCTTGCCACACCCATCTGTCAGCTGAGTGTAGTACTTCTCAATCAGCTGGCGCACTGCTGCTCGTTTCCTGATTATTCAAATGAACATAAAACATGTTAAAGGTAAGAAACTGCTTTTGCTTTTGTCAAAAAGTATGCAGTAAGTTTACCTTGCTCTGACCACGTCAGTGGAACTAGTGATTACAGATTACACTGGGTTACCAAGGTTAGAAATATCATATTTAAATTAGGTTTTGGTGATGTTTGGGTATCACACACTTACGGAGATAAAAACGTTTTTGTTAAAATGTTTTTTCAACGACTGAAAGATAATTTTCGGCAAGTTTGCCATAGTGATTTATCTGAGAGCCCCAAAATGTTTACGTATTGTAATTTTAAATTAACGATTCCTTGTGAAACATACTTAACTCATATTACTGTATCCAAATATAGATCTTGTTTATCACGATTTAGGTTAAGTTCCCATAGTTTAGAAATTGAAAGAGGCCGTTACTATAACATTCCCGGAACAAAGAACATGCAAAATGTGTAACTTAAGCGTAATTGAAAATGAATATCACTTCTTACTTCTCTGTCCAGCCTACATTGAATTAAGGCGTAAATATCTTTTGTCGCAATTCTATGTTTTCCCCATATACTAAAATTCAATTCGTTGTTATCATCCAAAAATGAAGACATTTCCTTGAATACTGCTAAATATCTGTTTTATGCATTCGAAAAAAGGAAATCAATTTTGTCATATTAAGATTGTATATATTATACATGCTTTCATTGTTATCATTTTATTTCATGTCTGCACCGATGAGGTGTTTTTGTACTCATAGGCCCGTGGCCTCATAGTATCAGAAATAAAGATTTAAAGATTTGAAGATTACAGCGTCTTCCCAGAAAGTTTTACATTTGATTACCTATCACTGTATATCATGAATTCTGGACGTACCTTTCAGTTATCTTGTTTCTAAGAATTGCAAACATCCCACCAAATCAAGTATTGGTTTAATTATATGCAGTGTTGTAAATTCCCAAAAATTTCAGCCAGACAACTGGACTGGTAACTCTCATAAGTTACCAGACCGGCTGGAAAGTTGCCAGTCCAGAATTTTCTGGATTAAGACAAAATAAAAAGAAGGTTACGTAAATAAGAGGAGGGAACTGTTTAATGTCAGGTTATTGTCACAATAACACATGTTTTCAAATGTTTTTCAGTCAAGGCTTTAGTCATTATATGCATTACAAAATTACACTGATTTAACAGCCAGACCATCGGGCGTGCAACTTTTTAAACTGACCGTCCGGTCGCAAAACAGACCGTCCCGGACGGTCGGGCAGGTGGGAGTTTGCAAGGCTGTTATATGACTCTGGTGTCCACATGAACTGACAACCTAGAAACTCCTGGAACTCATTTTAACATGAGTGAAATACAAAGTTCACACACACCAGTTGTGGATCATACATAAAGAATCATGTCGATTTGTCAACTCACATGTTGTCCTCACTCTTAGGCAGAGCACTGGCACCAGTGGAAGCTTGGGTATCAGAGACACTGAAATAGAAGTTAGGCTATATGGCTTGCATAAAAATGCATATTATCAAAAAAGAATTATATCTATTGGTAAAATGGCACACTCAGTGTGATTCCAGCTATATGATGAGAGTTGTTGCTGGACCAGACAATCCAGTTTACACTGTGATTTCTTTACAAAGAAACCAGTAAAGGTCTGTGTAAAGATCATTTCAACTATGTTTCACATGTCATGCTTATTGATGAAAAAGGACAACAGGAAAATCTCAAAACAATCTGTCGGATATGGCTGTATATCATTTGTCAAGTTCATTAAGTCTAAATTCAGGTAGAGGGATTTGTTGTCTTATTGATCATCTGCATCAGTTGCATGATGTGAACAAGATGAACAAGATGATGTCTAAGATGAAATGCCATCCATGTTTCATTTGTCATGCTTCTACATGACACAAAATAACATGGAAACAGGCCATTTGGAAATAATATACTCCGAAACATCATGTCCCCCTATCATAGAGGTTGACATCCATACATTTTGACTCTATATGTGTATCACTTACAAATGCCATTTAGAGACCTTTAATATCAATATTATGAACATATATTCAACTACTGCAAGATGAGGTTTTAGTTTTTATTTCACTTAAAGTTGGTGTGAATAGGATTTCATTTTACAGATTTCACATACGGGAGGAGCCATTTTTCTTTTGCAATAGGAATATGGTTACCTCCCTTTAGATTGTAGTAAGTGACATCAATTTTGACAGGATATAATATGAAATAGGTAATTTTTTGACAATCTGCAATTGAAATTGACACTCAGTGTTCACTAAGCACAGAAACTTGTCCAATCAAATAAGATCTCTATATATTTACTTGCAATAGCTAGATTTTAACATACCGTAGTATACATGGTATATATAGAACACCTACAAGGCTAAATGATTGAGGATAAGACATCAAGGTAATTAAAGAGCTGTTAACCTGACAGTTCACACTGACAGTATTTCAGAGAGAGTGAGTGAGTGAGTTTAGTTTTAACAATAATAATAAGTAATAAGTTCTACACAGCACTCAGCAATATTCCAAGTACTACATGGGGGCAGTCTGTAAATAATCAAGTCTGAACTGGACCAGACAATCCAGTGATCAACAACATGAGCATCGACCTACATAATAAATTGCGATACGATTAGGGCTGGAACGGTCCAAATTTTCTACCCGGGTACCCCACACCGTATTACCCATTATGCTAATTCCTGACATCAAATTTGAAAGAAATGGCAATATATTCTTCAGCCTGGAGGCTAAAATTTCCAGTTTTTCAATATCTTAACCATCAACTGTAAATTATGTCTAAATCTTGAAAGACACTGCAACCTTTTAATCATGAAAGAATAACATACTACATTGTTTAATCTAGTAGTCACATGATCATAACGGGTCCGGGTATTGAGACAGGTACCCGGGTCCAACTCATTACCCACCCGTCCCGGGTATCCCGTCCCAGCCCTAGATCCCGATACGACTAGCATGGTTACTGAAGATCAATTCTAACCCAGATCTTCACGCGTCCTGTATTTCAGAGGCCTTAAACAAAAATTATTATTTTGGTATTGCTTGCATCTTATTCCAAATCTATTTTGGTAAATTGGGTGATGGCTGGGTCATTAACAAGCTGCACATAATGTTGTTATTATGGTCTGCTCCGACTGTTTTGATTTCGGTCCTCGGTGATGCCAATTTGTAAGAGCTTGTGAATGTTGCTTGTTGGCAATTGTTCAGTTATGCCGTAAGTTGATTGCTGAGTCTTTTATGGTTATGTAGGGTAAACAATTCATAAAATACACATACACTATTAAGGAAAATCACAAAATTAAAAACATTTTTTACGTTATTCAAACTGAGGCTGTGGTACGAAGTGCTTCCCGACTAGGGTTTGTCATGTTACCTTGCGGCTTCGATCCCGCCTTGTGAGGTTTCTTTATCCTTTGAATTCATACGCAGCGTTATCACCTAGGGATTTCTTTCGTTTTTTATCAACACCCTTCCCCCAGTGTGACTATAACAACTAAAAGAAACAGGTGGCTGACCAACACAAATTGTCAAACCATCGCCATTTTCTTTCACTCCTCTTCGCGTTGTTATGAGATTATTGGAATTATTATAAATCATCTTTATCCTTGATTAAATCGTTTAGAGGTGAGGATTTTTTATATTTAACGATATGTCCGTTCAATGCTAGATGAAATATAGTTTGAATCAAACATTATTATAAAAATAACGCATATAATGTGTTCCCACAATTCCTAAACCAACATGTCAGCTCCCACGTCGGCGAGACATTTCGGAATCTAAATGTTATCAGAGGAAACCAGAGCAAACATTACCGGTACCGCGACAGGGGGGCCAATCGTCATATTAATAGCTTAGCGGTTAGTTTTCAGATTAAAAGCTGAGAGCACTTTACTCTATGACGACAGTTTCGTGGCACCAGCCTCTTTGCGCACTGTTAGATCTTTATAAATTATAAGGGTGGACAGAATGATCCAGAAACGGACGTTTCATGACCGTGTCAGTGTCAATTTGTGTAATCTGCATTAAGATAATTTTGCCACGTACTTTGTAAAGCATGTTAGCCTGTTATTGTTTTTCAAAGTTAATGAAACCATGAATAATTTATTGACACCAGCAAAACATAAATTCCAATTTTCAAGAGGTATTGTGCTGCCTTTTAGTTTCGGTGGTTTTTCGTTCTACCTTTTAACTGTTTATTACTCAATAAATATACTAATAAAGATTTAAGATACTTCGTGATGATAAAGGACTCAAGAGTAAAATAGTAGGTAATCAGGTAGTAGGTAACGAAGATCATCAATTTACTTGAGGACTTTGATTAAAAACATGAAATGATATGTAAAGTATCTGTCAATGCATGGTTGATCATACCCATGCTTTGCAAATCCTTCAGTTCACTGTTCAAATCGGACATCAATTTCTTTGTGATTTATATTTTACTATATAGACTCTTCCGTCAAGCCTAAATGTATCTCCACTATTAAAGCCAAATTCGACAAGGGTGGATATGATGATTTGGCGCTTTCCAACATAATGCATATTTCGCACACGGCTGGAATTTGACTTGGACTTTTATACTGAGTTAACTCCCTTGACTCAGGAAGATAATGTTTCTTATGTAGTTGTTGAAAGAGATTCATTATCTGAGTGTGTTTCTGTATCATAATATCTTAAAGGTAATACATGTATATCTTAGAATGTCCTCTTAAAAGGAACCCGTGTAGGTCCGGGTTAGAATGAACTTTCAGTAACCCATGCTTGTCGTAAGAGGCGACTAACAGGATCGGGTGGTCAGGCTCGCTGACTTGGTTGACACATGTCATCGTTTCTCAATTGCGCAGATCGATGCTCATGCTGTTGATCACTGGATTGTCTGGTCCATATAGCTGGAATATTGCTGAGTGTGGCATAAAACTAAACTCACTAACTAACTTAAAAGGATGCATGAAGGAAGTTGCACATTGCACATAAAAACAGTGAATGAGTGAACAGTCTCTTAAAGTGGTGAATGATTTTCAGCTATGTATGTTATCATAACCTTGGAGAAGAACGGCCAGTATCTAAACTTACAAAACATTCCTGCTAGGTGACTTCATTTGCATGTTTATCAGATACCTGGTTCATCAGATTGGTTTATCACATTGACAACATTTTCCAATACATGGCAAATATTATAACAGTTACTATTTATGCTCATATATGTTGAGACGCTTTAGGCATTTGCTGCAGGCTTGGGGTTGAATGTCAACGTGTGATTGAACTGGTCCCGATAAATGCCTGTACTGTTCAGCTCGCTGAAACCCCTCCCCTTTAGTTTGTAGATGGATGTCACTCCGGCATATTTGAAAGGGAGGGGTCGTGGAAGAGGGCGGGGTGCAGGGGACCAGCAACAAAACAAGAACAAACAAGTTGGCAGCTCTGCTTGGAACAATAACAGGGCTGATGGTAACGTCTTTATTTTATTAAGTTCAAGTGTTTTGATATTACATTCAATGTGAGATTGTATAATAAACCATTCAAACCATTCAAGTCAATTCTGCTCACTCAAAACATCGGTACTGTAAGTCCCCAAGGTCCCTAGTATGGTGATCTACCTTCAGTTGTTGGCAATCTATAGCCTGGTTTTGTATTGTATTGTTCACTTTATAAATATCGTTTTATGATAACATGCTAGTTTTACTTGAATATCTGTGATACACTGGTAGTTTTACTGTTCTTTGTCAGCAGGCTTTTAATTTCTACTTTTATTTTTCTCTAATACAATAATTAATTGGTCTCGTCATCATATGGCTGCAATATTGCCGATGTGACGATAAATATTAACTCACTCACTCACTGAAAACATCATTTAGAACTTTAATAACAGGAACTGAACTATTATATAATCCAAATTTCAAATTGTCGTAAGAGGTGATTAACAGGTGGTCAGGCCTGCTGACTTGTTTGACACATGTCATCGTATCCCAATTGCGTAGATCAGTGCTCATTCTGTTGACCACTGGATTATCTGGTCCAGGCTCAATTATTTACAGACCGCCTCCATAAAGATGGAATATTGCTGAGTGCGGGGTAAAACTAAACTCACTCACTCACCCAAATTCGAAATTATACTGAAATTTTCAGTGGACTTGTGGTTGAATATTGGCCATTAAAGTTGTTTTAAAAAAAAATAGTAGTCTAAAGTGACAAGAATTTTTTTTCTATTAAATCGTTTCAGTAATTTATTATTCACCACTTATTATCTTTCTGAAGAATGTCAAGATCAGAATATGTACTGGTACAGTATTCTCTCTTTAAATAAAAATATAAAGAATTGTTACTAAATGTACATTATGTTAAAATTATTGTTGTCGAATTGTATTTTTTGTTTCTTTAGAAAAATGTTTCTTTTAAGATAATAAATCTGCCCAGCATCGGTTCAAGGAAGTCAGTGAGTCCCATCAGCAGTCAATACAGCGCCATCTGCAGGACAATTGTGATCAGTCAGACAGTTCCGAGGAGGAAGATGACATTGGAAACAATGTCTTGGAATCAATCTTCAGTGGATACTCAAAAATTATAGTAAGCCCTTTTTCCAAGGAATACTGTTTTGCTCAAGTATACCTGTCACAAGAGTGAGATAGTTTCTAATATTTAAACCAATAGAAAGGTATATTTTGCAAGTGTGCCACATGGTGCTGACATAAAAACATTTAGGCGTTCACTTTTTGGAATTTAATTGTGCCTACCAGAAGAATTTTTTTCAATGTACAGTCGTGCCCTGTTTATCCTGACACTTGTGTTTTTCCAAGGACCATATGTTAAAACACATACAAAGAAGTGTCTCACAACGAGCTTGCGGTAATGTGCTTGAAAAGCACGGTTGATTCCTGCATCCATCGGCTGAATGTGTGCCGTTGTGTTGGTCGGCAGGAAGTGCAATCTGACATGTGTCAACTTCACATTGGGGGTGTGGTGAGCTGCATTGTCCATCAGTAATATAACACACCTACCTCTCAATCTCATCTGTCTGTCAAATGCTAGCAACCAATCTTGAAACAGTTTTTATTTTATGCATGCTTTTGCGTGGTTCCTGTATCTAACATAAACTTCCAGATTAAAGTCACTACCAAAATAACGGGGACATCTAGCCTAGTTTATCAGCGTAATTATAGTGACCCACAAATTGACACGCCTCAAAAGCAACTCAAAATTAACTCTGTGTCACCTTGCTAATTACAGGTAGTTAATCCTCTCATGCTTCAAAGACTGACGACATTTTTTTTGTTAGGGCACGCAAGGCCACTTGGTAAAATGCGTGTGTAAACATACTGACAGGTGCTCAGCCTTCCTGATAAACGAGAAAAAAATGCATATAATTTAGCGTTTTGTATGTGAAAATGACCGTCCGGTTTACGGAAACCGGGTTTCTGGATAAGTGAGTAATTTTACAACGTTGTGAATTCGTTTTAAGGAACTTTTGTTCGGAAGGCAAGTTTTCCGGATATTTGAGTTCGGGTAAACGGGGCACAACTGTAAATATACTAAAATGAACAAGGTTATTTAAAAAATCTGCTCAGATCACTAACCATGTTTTCATGAATTTCAATCATTGTATTTAGTCACCATATGGCTGAAATATTTACCGATGTGACTTAAAATCTTCTCACTCACTCACTCACTCACTCACTCACTCACTCACCACTCACTCACCACTCACTCACCACTCACTCACCTCACCTCCACTTTTCACTAAGTTTGCATAATGAATACAGTGTTGCCCTCACTCACTCACTCACTCACTACTCACTCATTGTGCTCATTGTACTTGTCACTAAGTTTGCATAATGTGAATACAGTGTTGCCACACTCACTCACTCACTCACTCTCCACTCACTCACTCACTCACTCACTCACTCACTCTCACTCACTCACTCACTCACTCACTCAAATTGTGCAAAATAAGTTTTCACTAAGTTTGCATAATGAATACAGTGTTGCCACAGTACTTGCTAAATTACTCTCACTCACTCACTCACTCACTCACTCACTCACTCACTCACTCACTCACTACTCACTCACTCACTCACTCACTCACTCACTCACTCACTCACTCACTCACTCACTCACTCACTCACTCACTCACTCACCCTCCTGACAGAACAAGATCAGCCAAATATCTACTTCAATTGTATGACCTTGACCATGTTCAGGTGGTGGCAGTGTTGATGTGAACAAGGCCCAGGATGACCTACTTCACTCGTTCCGATCGAGCACATCAGCTTGCCTTGTGTGTATCGACACCATCAAGAGAGAAGAACCAGTAAGTGAAATGCTACAAATATTGAATATCAGTGTTTTTGAGTGTCTGCCTTTGTTGACATTTTACACTGCTGACTTCGTATATACAGTGAGGTACAGTGGAGTGGCATAGTCTATCTTAATTTTTCTGCTCTATATCCATGAAAGTGATGGCACCCATACTTGTTCCGTAGGTTCAAGTGGTTTTTTTTATATGGCTGCTGGAAGTCCTAGATTACTGAGAAAGTGTAATCCCAAATATCTCATGTTACAGATGGTATGTGGTAAAAGTCTATACTCGGTTAGCATGTTTCAACAACATACATGTTCATTTGTTTTATTTTTATCAAACATTTTGTATAAACCATAATAACATTAGGTATTTAGTTAGTTGTTGGATTCAACTTATACGATAAATTAATTTCAACCAAGTTTGTCAAAGCTCGTAAGTTCAGATTTGTATTTTCTCCCCTGAGATTGCCAATGGAGTCCTTTGCCACCTTTTACATCGTGGTATTTCTGCAGAAAATGTTCGAATGTCAACTTGACTAAGTGTCTGCCTTTGTTGACCATTGCTGACCACATATTCAGGTGTGCTAGAGTGGGGGTCTTCCCACTTACCCAACTCCTATTGTTTCAGTAGAAGAAATCACTGGGGTGTGATAATCCCCTTTAATCCCTTATTTGGTTCCCTGTGAAATAGTAACCGGGGCCAAATGGGATAAAATGCCTCTACGTTTGATTCAATGTTTGTCTGTATTTATTAATTATATGCATACAAGTTATCCATTTATACAACTTAATACAACATCATGTCACATATTATACATCAGTATTTCACAGCACACCTTTCACACTTAATTACCAGTTAAATGTGATACTGAGTCTCTTGTACATTTCCAAGGCACGGTTCAGTGCAACTCATCTTCTCTCCTAGGTGGAGGTCTGGCACCGTTTCTTAGCTGTAGAACACATGCCTCCACCCAGCATTGTTCCATCTTTAAAAAGCCAATGGCCTTAATGTCGGGGTGGAAAACACAGTCCTTCGTCGGGTCTTGATACTAAGTCCCTAGTGTGGTGATCTACCTTCAGTTGTTGATAATCTGTAGCCTGTTTTTATATTGTATTGTCCACATAGTGCTATTAGTTTTAACTTTCCACACTAGATTTAATTGTAATTGTGAAATTCTAGTTGTTTACTGTCCTTTGTCGACAGGGTTATATAATATACACACATTCCATTTCAATATCAAACATGTTCTCGTCACGATATGGCTGAAATATTGCCGATGTGACGTTAAATATTAACTCACTCATTCACTCTTGATACTGAACTTACAGCCCCTGTAGACCAAGTACTGATCGCCGTGTCCATTGGGAATGAAACAAGTGTTTACGTGAAAGTTTGCCATAGTGCAATGGAGAAACAAGGAAATCTCCATACTTTATAATACTTGTTGTTGGCATAGTTCACTTAATTAAAATTCAATTTGTAGCAAATGATATGAATATGGTTCATATAGTTTATCTTGTGAAATATGTTCACCGGTGGTCATCAGGTTGCTCTGATCGGCCCTGATTGGAGTGCTGGGTGACCTTATGTCACAACCATAGCAGGGGTAACAAATTCACTCTGCACAATCACTGACCCGTCACTGTTAATCTCTTTTAATCCCCCCAGCAAGTTGGGTAAGTGGGAATGAGCCCTAGAGTGCAGAGGAATATTATCCCCCACCATTATCCCATTAGTTACATCTGCCAGTAGTTTCACACCCTTATACAAACAACTTTACAGATGATTGCATATCTAATCTCCTTCCTATTACCCTTTAATAGTTTAGAATGGAATAACCCACACTTGTGTATGACAAATAAGACAAAGCACTATAAGCACTAGACTAAGATTTATCAAACTATTTACAACAATATGGACAAACCATATTGAATCCGAGAATAAGACAACATAAGAAGCACTGGACAAATCAGAATATGACAAAGCACGATAGAACAAGACAAAGTCACAGAATCTGAAAACGAGGTTTAGCCATAGTGTCCGATGGCGTCAAGGAATTCTAGCGGTGACTTGGCTCTCTGCTGGAGTTGGTCTTTCAATCTCTGGATCCTGTTCTCTAGCTCCCTGTAGACCCGTTTCTGTGTAGATGGAGCTGCCCGAAAGTCAATCTGTGCAAGCTTGACTTGATCTGTGGTCTCTATCTTCCGAAAAACGGCAGTGAATCTGTATAAGTTCGGGTGGTTATGAGGCAAGGTTCAGTTGAGTCTGTTGTGAAAGCCATCAAGGTTGTTGTTTGTGCGAGGGCCTCGTGCTTGGTGAAGGTTCCACAGGTGGAGAGGAAATCTGGCATCATAGTCTATCCAGTTCACAACCATATAATCATTGAAGTCCTCAGTAAGGTTAACGTCAAGGGAAAAAGTGGCAGGAGCAGCACGCCGGATCCATTGTTGAACATCAGGGTCATCCTTCTACTGTCCCACTAGTCCTAGGTCTTGCGTCTTGCATCAGATGGCTTGTGTGCAATGAATATAGCATCCCTTGATCTCTGCTGTGGGCAATTTGGCTTCCACAGCATGGTGTATTTGGCCTAGTGGTTGCCAAGCATATCGAAATCGCTTCACATGGGCAGCATGTGTGTATGGCAATTTGGAATATTGCTGGAAAAGCATATTTATAGCAAGATTCCATTCCTCAGTATAATTGAGTTAACTCAATTACAATTGTATGTAAAACTGAGGAAAGAGATAATCTCACCTTGCGTGGAAGAATTGATGTTCATGCAAATATGTAAAGAGTTTTGTATTGTATGTAATTTGTATCTAAAGCTAATGAAAAAATAATCTTACATTGAGTCAGTGTTCGAAATAGCCACTAGCCCGCTAGCTCGTGGCTAGTAAAAATCCAGTCGGGCCAGTAAATCTCCACAGTCACTGGCCCGAATGGCTAGTGAATTTTCATGGGGTCATTTTGTAAATACATGTATATCACTCTCTCCGACTTGTTAAGTTGTAATACACTATTAAATCATGCAAGATTATGGCCTGATAAAAATGTTCATCATATTACATTCAAATTTCGGGCCAGTGAATAATTTTGTGGGCTAGTAACTTCCAGGCAAAGCTAGTCCATATGGCTAGCAAAATTTGGAAACTATTTCGCACTCTGCATTGAATGGAATAACATGTAAAGAGCTTTGTATTGTATGAAGGGAGTTGGCTTGGGTGCTATTCCTTCAGCTCATCAGAATGGAAGAGTCTATTAAGGCCGAGGGTATTGTTGTAATCTGACTGTGTAACAATTGGCAATTTCAAACTGTGTAACTAATGGGAGACAACCAGGAGGGGGATACAGGTTTGAGCTCCATCCGTCCAAGATGAGGGGGACAGACTTTCTAAAAAAACATTATAGATAGGAAAACCAAATTTGGTATGTGTTTTCAGGGACATGAATGCCTTGATGGAGTACGAAAACGGAAACCGTGTTACAATTTGTTACGGAGTTATGGCCCTTGTGATGCGTTTCTTGACTTAGTGCATGATATCCCCATGATGGGGACAGATTTTCTCAAAAGCCGTTATAGATAGGGAAAACAAATGTGGTATGTGTTTTCATGACATGAATGTCATGGTGTAGTTAAAAAACATTGATTATTATGTCTTCTTGTTTGACATAAAAGACTGCTAAAATGATTTTACATGTGTCACTGTTTGTGTTCAGATCTGGAACTGTAAAGGATGTTTCTGCATGTTCCACATCCCTTGTATCCAGAAGTGGGTGCGAGAGGGCGTCTACCAACAAGTATATCAGTCCGACAAGGATATTGGACCTACATCGGCTCTACCCTGGTTTTGGTAGGTATTGAGGGATAATTCCTCGAAACCCATATCAGCTCACTAGAATGCTGGCAGTAATAGCTGAGTCCTTCCTAACCATTAGGGAGTTCCTCATAAGATGGGTTCCTTGTATGCTGTGCTTTATGTAATATAGGTTTGAGTAGTCAGACTCATGACTCGCGTAGATGCTTGCTGTAATTTACTGGCTGATGTTATGTACCTTCAATACAGTGGAGTGAGAAGTAACTCAGCAATTAGAGGATTTTTCTTATCCTGACTCATGCTTATTTGCTTGTCTTCTTCTTCTGGCGAACCTAGTGGAACACTTGTATCTCCCAATTGAAGTTCCTTCAATAAAGAATCACTCATTAGTACTCACCACGAGTTACCTCCCTTCTAAGCGGAGCGAGGGCACCACCCAAGCCCATGTGCCTCACTCTCTCCTTCTTAAGCCCAGTGAGCTGGGCGTGAGAGCCCTGTGTCTCCCAACACACTATATCCTTTAATTATATTTAGTTAGTTCCTCTTATACGTTAGTATAGAGGTAGTACTAATATAATTATTCAATTTGCATTGATTATTAATTGTGTTTCTGCTGTTTTATTCACGGTTAGTCGTGTTTGTTCAGTAGGCTACATTAATGAAAAATTGCACAGAATGTAAACTTCGTTATTCTGATACCGATCCACATTTAAAATGCCCTAGTTGCATTACTCCATGTTCCTTTGATTCTCGTTGTAAATTTTGTATCAATTTACCTATCTCTGCCTTTGACAAATATTTATGTTCCGTTTATAGACGGAAGGCAGATAAATCCCGTAAACAGAATTCAAACATGGCTAATAGATCGCAAATTAATGTTTCATGTCAACTGTTGACTGAGGACCGCCACCGGCTGGTGGCATGCCTGAGTTTCCCTCGGCGGATAAGCGTGGGGCCTTGATCCGCTATGTCCAAGAAGCGACCTGCATCTCAAGAGCTGCCGTCTTCTCAGTCAAGTCGAGGAAACCATCCATATCATCTACATACACTCGTACACCAAGATCTACACCTTCATCTAAAGGGAAGTCAACAAAATCTAATAATTTTGCCTCTGATATCTTACCAGTTACAGAATTAGCATTATATGATGATGATTTGCCAATTATCATTCAGAAGTTAGATCACAAGAAGCGGCCCGTTTCTGCGACTGTCACCTCAGCGCAGATGAACACACAACCGGAGATGCCGACTCTATCTCCAGAAATTTTATCTGAGGGTCCGTCACCTCTGCAGAGAGACATCCCTCATCAGCGCAACCGCTTCAGGCGACTTGATCAACCACATAATGAGGGGTGATGGAAGACTGCTACGGCTTACAGAGGCCTCAGAGCCACGGGCCTCAGAGCCCACCCCATATTAAGTCATACAGGGCCTCAGAGCCCGCCTTGGCTTCAGCGTGGGGCCTCTGAGCCCATAGGCAGCGCCTCCGCGAAGAGCAACCCTGCCGGGTGAGCTCTTTGCATAAGGTATCCCAGGCGCCTCCGTGAAGGAGCCAGAGCCTCACCTTTTGCAAGAGGCTTGCGAGGAGAAGGAGCGCTTCGCCCGAGCACGCACCTTTGTCGTCATGCGAAGGCGTCCAGCGAAGCAAAGCTCATATGTCGGATCGGACACTGACTCCAGACATTAGCGTGGGGCCGAAGGCTAAGTGGTTCTACATCGCCTAGAAGGCGATCAGCGTAGCCCTCAGCGTTCGAGAAGTCCAGAAGCGTCTGCGAAGCCATCACCGTTCCACGAAGCCCACAATCTCCGCGAAGGATGTCTTCTCCAAGGTCTACATACACTAGCCACTCGTCAGTCCGTTCTCCTCAGTCCTCACATAGATCTTCTTACAGATCGAGGACTCCGACATATCGACCATCGTCAGAGGAGGGCGATGGTATCATTTTCTCAGAGGCTGAGATAAGGTATTGGATGGTAAAGCGAATTACAACTGGCCTCTCCCTCTAAGAGCGAGGATACAGCCCAAACTTACCTGATGTTAGATGATGATGTAGATCATATCACCGTGCCTCCTATGGATCCTATACGCAGCCGTTCCTGCTAAACTGGATACAGCCTACTCCAAATCTGCTAAAACTCAACTTACCCATTTACCATTCTTCAATGCCAAGAGTTTTTATGGACATAATATGGAGCCCTTTTCAAGACTCAGGAGATTGATGAAAACTTTAAACTTATCAGTGATTCCAAGTCCAGAAGTTATAGGGTAGACGATCGCAAGATGGCCCAGTTAGATACCATTTCCAGAAGGATGTTCTTTGGACTCAACAGATCTAGGACTGTTAACGAAACTCTCATCACCAAGTTCAAGAACTCCACGGATGAGGAAGACAGGATGATCTATTCAGCTCTACTTATGCAGAAAAAGATCAACAATTCCTTACAGACCATCTTTCAGCACTTACTGAAACTACTACCATGACACGTCGGCAAGGATTACTAGCCTCCTGCTCTTGGAATAAACAATTCACAGAGCCCCTATACACAGCTCCATGGTCTTCACCCTTACTGTTTGGTGGCAACATTAACAAGGTCTCCAAGGAAGTATCAAAAGATTCTAGAGAAGTACTCATGATTAAATCTATGGATACATTAGCGCACGTCTTTAAACAATCAGCACAGAGGTACTCGGGCAAGTCCAAGTTTTCAGGGCTACAGAGAGCACGGGATAAGAAATTAGCGGCCGTTAATAATCCCAAGGATTCCTTTCGTCGCCCGTACAACAAGTTCAGAGGAGGATCAGCTAGAGGCAGATCATCCAGAGGTGCCCGTGGATTTAAACGATGAAAGTCAGGTTCGGAACGACTGGAGTCTTCCACCCCCAGTCGTCCCAGTACAACCTTCTCAAGTGGGTGGACGTCTACAACTACACTGGGAAAACTGGGGAATACTTCAAGATCCGTATGTATCCAACATCCTTCAGTACGGATATCGTCTACAACTCAAGGCCAAGCCACCGTTAACAGTCAACCCACCAGGGTTCAACGTTCATCTGGCACAACTTCCGATGTTAAGAGAAACAGTTCAGTCTCTACTAAACAAACAGGCCTTAGAAGTTCTCGATCAGCAAAACATCATACCAGGTTTCTACTCCCCAGTTTTCCTAGTGCGAAAAAGAATTCCAAAGAGAAGTATCGTCTCATTTACAACATGAGCACATTCAACAGAGAATTTCTATGCAAACCACCAGCGTTTAGCATGATACATTTACCTCAACTCCGTCATCTAATTAGGTCCACTAGATTACATGGTAAGTATAGATCTGCAGGGCGCATACCTACACATTCGATTCATCCCAGTTCAAGGAAATATCTGAGATTTATGCTAGGCGGCATACACTACCAATGGAAAGTACTTCCCTTGGAATCACTTGATTTATGGATGGATATTCACAAGAGTAACCAAGCCTATTGTCTCATACCTACATCGTCAAGGCCTGCGGAATGCATTTTACCTAGAGCGACGGTATACAGGTGGATCCAGATCCACAGCGTCTCAGACTACAGCTGAACTTTACAATCAAGCTACTAGCGCAGTTAGGCTGGTTAATAAATCTACTCAAGTCGGACCTAGAGCCCGCGGGATCTGCAGTTTCTAGGTATCACGATTCCTTACAGCGCAGAATCGTATGGTAGTCCCGGAGGACAGATGGATCAAGATACAACAACTGATCCCCCAAGCCCTACTCTCTCCGTTACCACTACGTCAGTGGCAGAGGCTACTGGGACTACTCACATCAGCTCAAGACTTGACACTCAGAGGCAGGCTTCAATTACGTCCATTACAAGTCCTCATCAATGCCCATCTCGAGGACCCTCTACCGTTCAGTCTACCAGATTACATCAAACCACATCTACTCTGGTGGACCAAGAGATTGAATGTTTGCGCAGGCGTCTCCTTAGTAGAGCCGGAATCGAAAACACATCTCTACGTGGACCAGCGTCACTAAAAGGTTGGGGAGCCCACCTTACCGGCAGGACAGCGTCAGGCCTATGGAGCATTCAAGAGAGCTTATGTCACATAAATCTGCTAGAGATGCAAGCAGTCATAAACGCCATAGGTCACTGGAGCAACCTATTACAGAACGCTCAGTTAATGATTCACACAGACAACTCAACAGTGGCGTTTTATGTGAACAAACAAGGGTCAACAAGATCACTGAATCTTCTCACTCGATGTTTCAAACTGTTCGATTTAGTCGACAGTCTAAACATACGTATCAAAGCCTGCCACATTCCAGGAGCAAAGAATGTGTTAGCAGACGGTCTCTCTCGGCCGCACCAACCGTCGCCGACAGAATGGATGCTCCACACAGAGATATTCAATCAGATAATCATGGAAATAGGATCTCCTCTGATAGACCTATTTGCCACCCGATTCAACAATCAACTGACAACCTTCGTATCGCCAGTGCCAGATCCGTTAGCTTGGGCAACGGACGCACTAAGCATATCATGGGAGGGACTAAACGCGTACGCTTTCCCGCCTCCTGCGTTAATCCCACAAGTCTTGCTAAAAATCAGTCAAGCGAAGAGCCTCGATCTGATTTTGGTCTGCATACTGGCCAGCGAGCGTGGTTTCCAGACCTCATACTAGGAATCGGAAAACCAGTACTTCAGCTCCCACTACGCTCAATCTACTGATACATCCGCACACCAAACAAGTGCACAAAACACCAGAAGCATTCCGACTTCACGTGTGGATTGTATCAAGGCATGTTTGAATAAGAGGTTATTCCACCAGGCGCGGCGAAGCGGTCACGCTTACACTAACGTAACTCTACTAAGTAACTTATCACGATGACAAATGGCTCAGATTTGTCAATTATGCTGCTAAGAAAGGATTTTCAGCCAGATTTGCTACACATCCTCAAGTGGCAGATTTCTTATGTTTCCTCGTCAAACTAAGAATCTAAAAGGATCTACACTGTCCACTTATCTTGCAGCCATAAGTTCAGTCATAACAATGAGCGAGTCAAATTGACCAAAACACGGAGTTACTTCGCCTTGTTACGTGCCTTTCGATTGGAAGACCAGCGGGAAGTTTCAAGCGCCAGCCTGGGATCTAAATGTGGTACTTCAACACCTCACAAGTGAGGCTTACGAGCCATTGTTATCTGCGTCATATGAATCATTGACCCACAAAACCTTATTCCTGCTAGCGTTAGCCACTGCATGGGATGTCTGAAATTCAGCTTTGGATTACGAGAGAACGATTTGATGATATTCATAACATGGCTCATCTGGGACTTAAGCTGGGATTTTATAGCGAAAAATCAACTACCAGGTCAACCAGACAGGTTGTTCCATGTCCCAGCTCTCTCATCCATGCTTGGACCGCGGGATACGATGGACTTATCACTTTGCCCTGTCGTGCACTGAAAATATATCTCCAAAGATCCAAGCAAAGTAGAGGGAAATTCAAAGATTGTTTATCCCTATATCTACCGCCTCACAGACAGAAGTGTCGCGCACTACCATTTCTATTTGGATCAGAACTGTCATACTAAGAGCCTACAAGGCAGCTGGACTGGACCCTCCAAGTGCTACTAATCCTCACGAAATTAGAGCACTAGCTTCAACTTTGGCTTTACATGGAAATTGCTCATTGAATACCATCATGGAGGGATGTTTTGGAGATCCGATATGGTGTTTGCCAACCACTATCTGAGAGATATCACCACCAAGGATGTCTCAGGTATCCACCATTTCGGTCCCATGGTCCTCGCTCAACAGTTGACAGTTCCACGGAGAAGATAAGTCTATCTTGTTGATTTTATACTTATCTGATAACAGTACTAATAGCTACATGCTATCTATATATATTTGCTTAAGTTAAAATATTATCTTAAGCTCAGTACTATGATTTATATCATAATATATATATACCTACAACTCTTACGAGTTTCTACTATTATATATATGTTCAGCTTAAGTTCTTCCTTAAGCTCAGTCATATGTTCATTTCATAACATGTATAAGTTAACAAACTATCAGTAGTTGGTTACTATTATACAGCTTAAGTTATCTTTATACCTTAAGCACAATTCTGTTATAGCTTATATATATACATATTGTAAGCTTACTACTTTGGTTCTTATAAAAGTATTCATTATAAACTATCAACAGTTTATACTATCACATTAATGGCTTTAGCTTAATTAATGTTCTATATACTTTTATTATATGCAGTAAATTGTAATAACCTTCTTTAAAGGCAGCTGTTATATTAACAGCAGGAATTCAGTTCAGTGCCTTCATGAAGTTCCCATAGGGTTATTACAATCATATCAGTTCAAATCACTAATTAGTAAAATCCAAAGTATATATAATCCCACCTCCTAATCCGTAGGATTCTACAAGCAAATAAGCATGAGTCAGGATAAGAAAAATATGAAATTTTTAGAGTAAAATTAATATTTTTATACTTATCCTGACTCATGAATAAACTCCCTCCGTCCTCCCCACTTAACACTTTGGATTTCTCGGGAAAAAGAAAGTGTTGGGCTCAAAAGCAAAAAGGAGAGTGAGGCACATGGGCTTGGGTGGCCCCCTCGTTCCAGCTTACAGAAGGGAGGTAACTTCGTGGTGAGTACTAATGAGTGATTCTTTATTGAAGGGAACTTCAATTGGGAGATACAAGTGTTCCACTAGGTTAAGCCAGAAGAAGAAGACAAGCAAATAAGCATGAGTCAGGATAAGTATAAAAATATTAATTTTACTCTAAAAATTTCATTCCCCTTGCATTAGCCAACAGCTGGCAGCCCAAAACTGTGGTACAAATCTGTATCATGTAATGTTATAGGTGTGCATACAAAACATCCTTGTTTTGAATAATAGAAACATCGGATAATAATTGCTCTGATGATGTAAATTTTGGGAAGAACAAGTTTACTTCCTGTACAAACTTCATGTTTTCTGATATTTCTGTTTATGATATTGAGTACTAAAGAGTACTGTGTTGGGTTTCATCCAATCACAATCTACGAGACGTTTGCTGTACCTGTATATCTGTTTTAGTACAGAGGAACCCAGTCAACTTGAATGAATTTTCTTGTTTTTGAGATAGATGGCCATTTCACAGGAGCAAATCAATTTCTAAATATATTAGTCTTTCCATGTACACTTACATACACCAGCAATACAGTGCTGTTGTAATCTTGTGACACCTTACAACTGTGTTCCATTGCTGGCTCGTAAGGCAAGGGGAGATAATTCATTTTGCCTGTGATGCGCATGTGAACAGTGAATTATGATAGTCATGCTTCTACATATGCATATAGCATTAATGTTTACAGTTAATGTGTACTTGATGAATTTATATACTGTGAATGTAACTTTTGGAGATAATATTTAACAAAAAGGTGACTACAATTCCATCAATCATAGAATTTCAAATTAGAGTTATCAGTATTGCAACAGTGCTGGAGTTATTCCACCTTGGTTTCTGGCACTGTTTGATGACTGCATTAGGATATAGAGTCAAATATGGCCAGGGTCCCATTCCTCAAAGCGATCGTAGCGCTACGACAGTCGTAACTCCCATACTTTAACATAGACTTACGACTGTCGTAGCGGTAAGGTGATCGGTAACTCCCATACTTTAACATAGACTTACGACTGTCGTAGCGCTACGATCGCTTTGAGGAACGGGGCCCTGGTCATCTTAGGTGCAGCAATTCGCCATGCAGAGTTGTATCCCTTAGATGAAATATAATCCTATATTCATGGGTTCAAATCCCAGGTTCACCATCATTATGGTTTTGGTACGACAATACCTGACCCATGCCTGTAGGCTTCATTAACATCTGAGATATGCAGCTTATTTTTCCCAACATGACCTGACACACCATAGGAACTGTTATTCAAACTGACGTTGACCTAGGGGTGAAACGGTACGCTCTTACCACGGTACGATACGTATTGCGGTACAAGGCCTTCAGTTCAGTCCGTTTCGGTTCGGTATATGAGATATGATCATAATGCAGAAATGCACAGATTTTGACAAAATGATTTGATTTCTAGACATTTTAGAAAAGTTTAAAAAGGTTAATAAAACAACGGTACGAAAACCGAAAATACTGAGTTTTTAGATTGCATTACGGTATACCGAACCGAAGGCAAAATACCGCGGTTCTACTAATACCACGGTATACCGTTTCACCCCTACGTTAAACTGAACTTAACGCGCCTGATCTCTTCTGTCTGACATTGTAGATAACAAGCACTGTTTGAACTGTATCTTCAAACAACTGTTTCTGTATCACACTGAAACCACAATGGTCACCATAGTAACCTGTCCTCCTGCCTTCCAGGGCCTTGTCCGCCATGTCCACAGATGGTCAAGTCCAAGTGTTACTGTGGACGCCAGCAGCCGCAGGTCAAGAGATGCAGTGGGAGAGAGTGGGCGTGTGGTCAGCCATGTGGCCACAAACTGTCTTGTGGACAACACAACTGTCAACAGCCCTGTCACCCAGGTAGCTTAATCCACAGACAGACATTTACACAAAACTCTTGCATTATTGCCAGTGAAATGTGTTTTTTACATTAGGTTTTTCTCCTTTTTCACCTGTTTTACCTCGATTTTGATTTTCAGGAATCTAATAACAAAATGAAAACACCCAAAGTGTTGATGAATAAATGTTAATGAGGAATGTGATCAAAGGAATGATATATTTAACATATGTTGTCATTTGTCTTTGTCAAGGCTTGTAGTTTGTGACTGATTGTCTTTTTATCCATGTCCACAATAACAGTAAATTGTTTTGTCAGGGGAATGTCAGCCGTGTCCTAAGACAAGTGTTCAGAGTTGTCTGTGTGGGAAGAAGACCTCCACTCGACCATGTGCCACCCCACAGTGGAAGTGTGACCAGGTGGGGAGAGCCGCTATGGCACACATGCCAAGCTTGTTTTGAATTTAATAGTTGTCCAAAATGTTCTGTTTACTCAACAAATTCATGTACATTAGACCAATGGAGATTCAAGGGAGGAAGGTGTATCCAGCAGTCTATGCCTTTATTAAGGCTAAGTGGATCCGGCGCTCTGACTCAGTGACTTTGTTGATTAGATGTCCGTGAGGTCAAATTGCATGGCTTAATGCTCATGATGTCAATCACTGAATTGTCTGATCTACTTTGGATTCTTTACAGACCTGGGGCTCGTTTCACAAAGCTATCGCAGCGCTACGACTGTCATAAGTCTATGTTTCAGTATAGGAGTTACAACAGTTACACTACGATAGCTTTGTGAAATGGGGCCCTGTATTACACACCTGTATTACTAGTGCAGTGTAAACAACAGATAAACATAAACAAACACAAATAGTAGTTTTGATTGGGATTACTTACCTATTTTTCTGTTTCCAAAGTTTTGAATTGTTTGCTAAATATGATAAAGAATGTTCTCTGTTAACATGTATTGAAAATGTACACATCTGTAGGTTCCTTGTGAGGGACAGGTGTTAGGATGGTGTATTGGACCCCTCAATTTGCTCTTCAGAGTTGCTTCCCTTAGGCATGCCAGTGACGTATAATCTGAGTTCGAATTCCCTTCTTGCCTACGTTATATTTCTAGGTTTGTCTGGAAAATGTCTGTGCTTTTGATGTCACCAAAGCTTTCCTTCACCATCAAGTTGACATGTATTGATGTATCTCAAATAAAGTTTAAAACAGCTGGAAACTGAAATCACTCACTCTCACTGATTTGTTCCTAGCCATGTGGCAAAGCTCTGCGATGTGGCAATCATCTGTGCGAGGACATCTGTCATCAGGGAGCCTGTGGTGATTGTCCAAGATCGGGGAAGAGAAGATGTCCTTGTGAAAAAACAGGTAACACGTCTGACAGATAATTCACTTTATTCTCAGTTGTGCAATAGAAAATACCCTGTTTGCTGTTGTTTCTGAACTGAAACCAAATACTTTTACTTTGCCTCCACTTCATGTTACATTCCTGCTTGACCACGGTACAAGAATCTGTATCAAAACATAACACTCTCGTAATAAAGAAGTTGTTATCCATAAAGTTTGTCTAGTGTGAAACCAAATACTGTTGTGTCGAACTTTAATGTATCAATTCTATGGTTGTCTCTGAGTAATAATGAAGTTTATTATGTAAGCATATTTTCCCGGCTACCTGATTGGTCTAGAGGCGGTCACGTGACCGTCGACAGAAAAGCATATTGACTCCAACTAAGGTCCCACCAAAAGTCACATTGACTTGAGTTACTAAAAATAGATTTTGACGTCAAGCTATGACGTCATTCGATGGTTTACATGTATTGTTGACAGCATTATTGGTTTGTAGCGAAAATAAAATTACTTTTCTTGACTAAATGGACATGTTTTGGTTTTTAGAAGCTTTTTATTCGGTAATTACATAATAAAACAATTATGGACTGGTGAATTCGGTCAATACCTGTTTTTCTGGACCCGGGAAAAGCAATATTGACCTCGGACTTCGACTTTGTCCTCGGTCAATATTTGCCCTTCGCAGGTCCATAAAAACAGGTATTGACCTCATCACCAGTCTATAATTGTATAATTTGACTTTATGGATAACAGCCTCTTGTTTATTGCATACAGCGACGTTTCAGTGTAGATTCTCTGAGCAGTAACTGCATATTCAGTCATCACTTTGCAACAGTGATGTACGTAGGATGGCTCAAAAGATTCACATAGATCTCTTCAATTGCCACATGCACAAACCAATGAGCTAAACGACCATTCAAATAATTATGGTATCATCGCCAGTGAATTGTGAATTCTTTTTCAATTATGTATATTATGTGGAGGGCGGTGGGGTAGCCTAGTGGTTAAAGCGTTGGCTCGTCACGCCGAAGACCCGGGTTCGAATCCCCACGTGGGTGCAATGTGTGAAGCCCATTTCTGGTGTCCCCCGCCGTGATGTTGCTGGAATATTGCTAAAAGCGGCGTAAAAGCAAACTCAGTCAGTCAGTATTATGTGGAACCAGATTGTTTACCTGTGTCTTTTGTCAGAGTATGAACTCCCATGTACCGAGGATATCCCGACGTGTGGCGATACCTGCGGCAAGACTCTGATGTGTGGGCAACACACCTGTACACAGCGATGTCACCAGGGAGAGTGTGGATCGGTCAGTGTTGATGCAATCTAGGATAAATAATCTTTACAGTTAACAGTTGTTTCAATCTCCACAAGTAGTGGTATATGCCAATAATGTTGGGCAGACTTTCGAAATCTTTAAAGCCTAATGAACCCCAATATTAGTCTAATGACCGCAGGCTATATAGACTTCTCTTAAGTATTTAATAAGTGCTCTATGATATTTCAAATGCATCTTGTAATTACAACTTGTTACCTACCTCAATGTTTGTCATAACTATCAACAACTGCTGTATCTGGTCAATGCTTCATTTACCAGTAGAGAATTGGACTTTAGTAACCCATGTTTGTCGTAAGAGACGACTAACGGGATTGGGTGGTTAGACTTGGTTGACACAGCCATGTCCCAATTGCGTAGATCGATGCTCATGCTGTTGATCATTGGATTGTCTGGTCCAGACTCGATTTACAGACTAGTGCATATAGCGTGAATGTTGCTGAGTGAGGCATAAACAAACAAACAACACTTCATTATTTAGTGTTTTCTTGGACATAGCAAATCAGTGTCACAAAACAGCATTGGTTCGTTGAAGTTACAATAACTGTGATTGTCTTATGTTATGTTCCAGTGTCGTCAGATGACCTTGAAGCGCTGTCGGTGTGGGCAGAAGCAGAAGGAGGTCCTGTGTAGCAAGGAGTATCTGTGCGACGTCAAGTGTTCCATCATGAGGGACTGTGGCAAGCACTACTGCAAGAGAAAGGTACAGTGAATCCCATGGTCACTATGATTGCTAATCACTAATTGTTATCAAATTCTTTGGACCATTAGATTCAAACTTGTGCATTTGGGATTTATTTTATGACCCCTTAAATTTTGTAACTGAACAATCTGTTTGTGAACACGGAAAGGACTTCCCACCTGACTTTCTTGTTTGCATAAATAACAGCTACAGTTTCTATGTGTTGGCGTAGTCTAATGAAACTACCCATTGTTGGAAAATTACCAACTGCAGTTAACCACTGTCAAAGTTGACGGGACCTACAAAAACACTGTGTTATCCGAGGCTCAACATATCTAAAATCATGAATGAAGTAGGAATACACAATTACCAATGTTTACTTCAAGACAACTTAAGATCAACATCAAAGTTCAACACAACAGTGTTTGAAAGAGTAAATAGCTGATATTAGAGAGTTATGTTCTGTGATGTTCACATGCTGTGTTTGGTTGCAGTGTTGTGATGGAAGCTGCCCAACCTGTGAGCAGGTGTGTGGGAAGACGCTGCGATGCCGCAACCACAAGTGTGCCAGCCGGTGTCACAGAGGTCAGTACGTGGTGGGGATCACCAGTATCAGAGCATGGCAGTAGTTCATGGCTTGTAATGTCAGTAGTTAACATGGATACCATAAATGAAGAAATGAGGAAGATACATTTAATCACTTTCTTTCTTTTTCATATTGATAAAAACAATATATTGCTTACAGACCGCGTCGTACAGCTGTAATACTGCTGAATGTGGGGTGTCAAACACACTGTCAGAGTTGTACAATTGACTATGCTTTTAGCAGAGATTTCTCATGGATGTGGAAAAGGTATTGTTGTTTCTATTTCCAAGGACATTAATACAATCTCCTATATATATTTGCCTCTGATGTATTGTGGTTGTATTGTCCTCACCTGCGACACTTCCTGTGGTTATATTGTCCTCACCTGTGACACTTCCTGTGGTTGTATTGTGCTCACCTGTGACACTTCCTGGGGCTGTATTGTCCTCACCTGTGACACTTCCTGGGGCTGTATTGTCCTCACCTGTGACACTTCCTGGGGCTGTATTGTCCTCACCTGTGATACTTCCTGTGGTTGTATTGTCCTCACCTGTGACACTTCCTGTGGTTATATTGTCCTCACCTGTGACACTTCCTATGGTTATATTGTGTTCACCTGTGATGCTTCATGTGGTTAAATTGTCCTCACCTGTGATGTTTCATGTGGTTATATTGTCCTCATCTGACACTTCCTGTGGTTGTATTGTGCTCACCTGTGACACTTCCTGTTGTTATATTGTCCTCACCTGTGACACTTCCTATGGTTGTATTGTCCTCACCTGTGACACTTCCTGGGGCTGTATTGTCCTCACCTGTGACACTTCCTGTGGTTGTATTGTCCTCACCTGTGACACTTCCTGTGGTTATATTGTCCTCACCTGTGACACTTCCTATGGTTATATTGTGTTCACCTGTGATGCTTCATGTGGTTAAATTGTCCTCACCTGTGATGTTTCATGTGGTTATATTGTCCTCATCTGACACTTCCTGTGGTTGTATTGTGCTCACCTGTGACACTTCCTGTTGTTATATTGTCCTCACCTGTGACACTTCCTATGGTTGTATTGTCCTCACCTGTGACACTTCCTGGGGCTGTATTGTCCTCACCTGTGACACTTCCTGAGGCTGTATTGTCCTCACCTGTGACACTTCCTGGGGCTGTATTGTCCTCACCTGTGATACTTCCTGTGGTTGTATTGTCCTCACCTGTGACACTTCCTGTGGTTATATTGTCCTCACCTGTGACACTTCATGTGGTTAAATTGTGTTCACCTGTGATGCTTCATGTGGTTAAATTGTCCTCACCTGTTATGTTTCATGTGGTTATATTGTCCTCATCTGACACTTCCTGTGGTTGTATTGTGCTCACCTGTGACACTTCCTGTTGTTATATTGTCCTCACCTGTGACACTTCCTGGGGCTGTATTGTCCTCACCTGTGACACTTCCTGGGGCTGTATTGTCCTCACCTGTGACACTGCCTGGGGTTATATTGTCCTCACCTGTGACACTTCCTATGGTTATATTGTGTTCACCTGTGATGCTTCATGTGGTTGAATTGTCCTCACCTGTGATGTTTCATGTGGCTGTATTGTCCTCATCTGACACTTCCTGTGGTTATATTGTGTTCACCTGTGATGCTTCATGTGGTTGAATTGTCCTCACCTGTGATGTTTCATGTGGCTGTATTGTCCTCATCTGACACTTCCTGGGGCTGTATTGTCCTCACCTGTGACACTTCCTGTGGTTGTATTGTGCTCACCTGTGATACTTCCTGGGGTTGTATTGTCCTCACCTGTGACACTGCCTGGGGTTATATTGTCCTCACCTGTGACACTTCCTATGGTTATATTGTGTTCACCTGTGATGCTTCATGTGGTTGAATTGTCCTCACCTGTGATGTTTCATGTGGCTGTATTGTCCTCATCTGACACTTCCTGTGGCTGTATTGTCCTCACCTGTGACACTTCCTGGGGTTGTATTGTCCTCACTTGTGACACTTCCTGGGGCTGTATTGTCCTCACCTGTGACACTTCCTGTGGTTGTATTGTCCTCACCTGTGACACTTCCTGGGGGTGTATTGTCCTCACCTGTGACACTTCCTGGGGCTGTATTGTCCTCACCTGTGACACTTCACCTGGGGCTGTATTGTCCTCACCTGTGATACTTCCTGTGGTTGTATTGTCCTCACCTGTGATGCTTCCTGGGGCTGTATTGTCCTCATCTGTGACACTTCCAGTGGTTGTATTGTCCTCACCTGTGATACTTCCTGTGGTTGTATTGTCCTCACCTGGGATACTTCCTATGGTTGTATTGTCCTCACCTGTGACACTTCCAGTGGTTGTATTGTCCTCATCTGTGACACTTGCAGTGGTTGTATTGTCCTCATCTGTGACACTTCCAGTGGTTGTATTGTCCTCACCTGTGATGCTTCCTGTGGTTGTATTGTCCTCATCTGTGACACTTGCAGTGGTTGTATTTTCCTCATCTGTGACACTTCCAATGGTTGTATTGTCCACACAGTATCATGTGAGATGGAATAAGTATATAAATATAGAATTTATAGTTAAAATTGCCAAATTTATTACAATTTTCACCTTTGATTGTTTGTATGGCAGGCCCATGTTACCCGTGCCCTCTGACAGTGACTGTGTCATGTTTCTGCAAGTCCACGTCCATCACAGTGCCGTGTGGGAGGGAGAAGGACATGACACCACCCAAATGCAACAAGAAATGCCAGTAAGTTCAACAGTATCAGTTGCTCCTTCAACCGTGTATAGACAAAAAACCTTGAAAACATTTCAATCCAAGTAATTGTTGGAATATACCAATTTACCGTCATATCATGGAATGTATTTGTATGCCCATCTTTGTTGAGATTGTTGTGTCCCTGTCTAGGATAGCCCCGAACTGCCACCACCCAACGCGAGACAAACATCGATGTCACTTTGACGAGTGCCCACCGTGTCAACAGAAGTGTCTACTGCCCCTACCGAAGTGTGAACACACGTGCCCAGTCAAATGTCACGATGCTGTCAAGGTCAAGGTGGAAGACCAGGTGGAGAAATCTTCAGTGATTGTAGAAAAATGTTTATCAACCATGCTAGAGTTTGGTTGAGTGGTGTATAAATGTGGTTGGGTATGAGTTACGATTGTTGCCCTATTGGTTTTATGAGACGTGTGTAGGTTTCTGTATATCTGTTCCACACAATCCAGAGTTGTGTTTCTGTGGCCTCCTCAGAAGATCCTTGGTAGAGACCTTGAAGATTTTAAATTGGAGGGAAGATGAGTGAGAAAACTTAGATCTAGTGAGTGAGTTTATTTTTAAGCCGTACTCGGCAGTATTCCAGCTATATGGTGGTGGTCTGTAAATAAACGAGTCTGGACCAGACAATACAGTGATCAACAGCATGAGCATCGACCTACGCAAATGGGATACAATGACATATGTCAACCAAGTCAGCGAGCCTGACCACCCAATCCCGTTAGTCGCCTCTTACGACAACCATGGGTTACTGAAGATCAATTCTAACCCGGACCTTCACAGGTAACTTAGATGAAGAGAAGATGAGAAAGTATTTTAGTTGCAGGAAAGATGAGAAGGTTTTTCAGTTGAAATGTCAACTAAAGATGTCAGATTCTAGTCAGCCTCCTACTGTAAAAGCTTGTGCCATGTAGGGGTTACCTCTCAGATAAAATGAGATCATGTGATCATTGGTACTTCTGGTTGATCTGTGTAATGACTCCATCCTTCCCCTACAGCGACCCCGAGCAGGCCCCTGGGAGGCTAGGCCTGCCTATGTGATACAGACAATGAAGAAGCCCTGTCCCCCATGCCAGGTTCCCATACCTACAGAATGCATGGGTAAACACGAGGTAAGGGAGGTAACTCTAATCTCTGCCTAATGTGGCAAAGGCTTTGTATAATGAGCTGTAAGTGATTGTTTCTGTGCAATGAATATTGCTTAGCACAGACCCTGATTGTCAGATGTAGTGTAAGCCTACAACAGCGATAAATATGTGTCAGATCTGTAAAACCTCACAACAGCAAGTTTTTCTGGAGCTGGGTTAAATTATTTTTAGGTGCTCACTTGAACGATATGTATTTTCCATTGATTTGTTTCCCACGATAATTGTTCCATATGCAACAGGAATGACATCCATTCCTTTTTGGTTGTTTTTGCTCCCCGGAAATACTTCATTGTTTTTACCAAGAAAGAGTTTGACAGGGGAGACAACTTTCAAGGGAAGTAACAACTCTTATTAAACAGGGTTATAATATATTTGCACCTGAATGCGTAGTGGTATTTAAGATTAGTGCATTACTCTTTGTTGTTTAACGCTGCTCTCAGCCATATTTTAGCTATATCAGTGTAGTCTCTGAAAGATCTAAACCTCTGTCTAAACATAACAACCCTGTGATTGCATTATCAGCATCAGTCTCCACAAATAGGACACAAAGACATCAACCAAGTCAGCAAGTCTGATCACCCCATCCCTAACACAGGTCTTCACAGGTCCTTTACCACAGTACAACATCCCAATACAGGGCTCCAGATAATTTTTCAACATCAGGAGTACGTACTCCTTATTTTTTCAGTATATGAGTACGGGAAAACCTTAGAGTCCATTTAGAGTACTAAATGGAAATTATTGGAGTATCGGTAATCTTGTGTTTCGTTTCGTATATGCACCACAACATTGCTACTCTTGTGTAAACAGGTCAATGAACAATAAAACAATACTTTTTTCCGATAAATACGACTAAAAATGATTCTAAGACCGTACACCACTGCTGTGGTGCGTATCTGCTACGTTTTCCACAAATATTTCCTACCATATCGTGCATATTTTCTATCTGTACATACGCTGATACAGCCCTTATCTGGAGCCCTGCCAATAGATCATGCCTATACACATGGTATTAGGTGCTAACCATGATTTGTTTTCACAGGTGTCAAACATTCCATGTGCTGAAGTTGCACCATATTCCTGTGCACGGCCATGTGATCGTCAGCTGGCATGTGGGAATCACACATGTCCCATCCTGTGTCACATCGTTACCGGATCTGTGGACCAGCACACAGTAAGTTTCCATTGGGGTCTCATTGTCACTGAATCTGTTGACCAGCACATGGTAGTTTCCATTGGGGTCACATTGTCACTGGACCTGTCGACCAGAACATGGTAGGTTTCCATTGGGGTCACGTTGAGAGAAAAGGCTGTGTTTATCCTACTTCCAGAGAAAATCTAGCCAGGAGTAGGTTTCTTTAACTGAATGTTAGTCCTTTCTAAATCTACATCTCCGTAGAAAATCATCTTGGACTTGCTCTTGTGGAAATGTGTCTAGTATACTTCCTAAAGACTTAAGTCTCCTAACTCTTATAACAGTTTCTCAGTTGTGGTCATGTCTGATTTGATACAATGCACCCAAAATTGCCTTTTTTTAAACATTTTAGCAAGTTAATAATAAATTAAGTTTAAAGAATATGCTTTAATCTGAGAAACTTACCTCTTCCAGGCAGGAGAGAACTGTGAGGCATGTGAGAGACCATGTGAGAGGGGCCGCCCGGTGGGATGCAAGCACCCCTGTCGCCTCCCATGTCACCCCGGTGATTGTCCCAACTGTACGAGCATGGTGCGGATGAGATGCCACTGTAAGGCCGTCGTCAAACACATCCCCTGCCATGACTGGACTGTCACCATGAAGGACCAGCAAGACAAACTCCAGTCCTGTGTTGGACAGTGCACCAACACAGTGAGTAGTATATCATCTTCACTGTATCTGAGGGCATGAGTGATCCAGGTGATGCAAGTCACAGAAACCTATGATTTTAATTTACCCTCTACCTCCAATTACATCATTGCTATAAATCCTCTATTTTGGCTGCAATCACTCTAAACTAATGTGTGGGGCGGTGGGGTAGCCTAGTGGTTAAAGCGTTGGCTCATCACGCCAAAGACCCGGGTTCGAATCCCCACATGGGTACAATGTGTGAAGCCCATTTCTGGTGTTCCCCGCCGTGATATTGCTGGAATATTGCTAAAAGCGGCATAAAACCAAACTCAGTCAGTCAGTCTAAACTAATGTTCAAAATGTTCAGCAGAAGTCCACTTTACTGTCAACAACACTCAAGAAGTTGTGAAGATAACAGTACTGCTATTCACCATCCAGTTCTTCAGCTTGTTAAGGTGGGAAATACCTCACTTCTTACCAGTGTGTCAACATCAGAGGTCTAGGTTCAAATACTGGATTGTCCCAAGTATGTGTAGTTCCTTTTTGCCATACTGACTTACCGTCTGTCTGCAGCTCTCATGCGGCCACCAGTGTCCATCAACGTGTCACAGCGGAGACTGCCCAAGTCCTGGCCAGTGTAAGAAGAAGGTGATGGTGCTCTGTTCATGCCGCCGCAAGAAGAAGGAGGTGATCTGCAACACTGTGCGGCGACAAGATGGAGGGGAGAAGGCTGTGTTAGACTGTGATGATGTGTGCTAGAAGACAAAGGATGAGAAGAAAAAGGTGAGATAGAGGAGAACAAGACATGCAGGAGGAGAAAGTGAGATACACTGATGTACACTGTGTGTGGCTTTGGCTGGAATGTTTGACTTCGGCTGGCGTGTGTGGTTTCTATGGTTGAGCTATGTGTCTTGTGTGCTTGATGTGTGTGGCTGGTATGCTTGATGTGTGTGGCTTGTGTGCTTGATGTGTGTGGCTTGAATGCTTGATGTGTGTGGCTTGTGTGCTTGATGTGTGTGACTTGTGTGCTTGATGTGACTTGTGTGCTTGATGTGTGCGACTTGTGTGCTTGATGTGTGTGGCTTGTGTCCTTGATGTGTATGGCTTGTGTGCTTGATGTATGTTGCTTGTGTGCTTGATGTATGTTGCTTGTGTGCTTGATGTGTGTGACTTGTGTGCTTGATGTATGTGTCTTGTGTGGCTTGATGTGTGTGGCTTGTGTGCTTGATGTATGTGACTTGTGTGATTGATGTTTGTGGCTTGTGTGCTTGATGTATGTTGCTTGTGTGCTTGATGTGTGTGGCTTGTGTGATTGATGTGTGTGGCTTGTGTGATTGATGTGTGTGCTTGATGTGTATGGCTTTGTGTGCTTGATGCTTGTGGCTGTGTGCTTGTGGTGGCTTGTGTGCTTGAATCTTGTATGGCTTGTGTGCTTGATGTATGTTGCTTGTGTGCTTGATGTGTGTGGCTTGTGTGATTGATGTGTGTGTGCTTGATGTGTATGGCTTGTGTGCTTGATGTGTGTGGCTTGTGTGCTTGATGTTTGTGGACTTGTGTGCTTGATGTATTATGTGCTTGATGTATGTTGCTTGTGTGATTGATGTATGTGACTTGTGTGTGATTTGATGAATGCTTGTGACTTGTGTGCTTGATGTATGTGGCTTGTGTGATTGAGTGTTGATGTATGTGGCTTGTGTGTTTGATGTATGTGACTTGTGTGATTGATGTATGTGACTTGTGTGCTTGATGTATGTGGCTTGTGTGCTTGATGTGTGTGACTTGTGTGCTTGATGTGTGTGTGTGGCTTTATGTTGTGTGTGAAGTGCTTGATCTTGTATGGCTTTGTGTGTTTGATGTATGTGTGCTTGTGTGCTTGATGTATGTGGTCTTGTGTGCTTGATGTGTGCTTGATTATGTGGTTTGTGTGCATTGATGTATGTGGCTTGTGTGCTTGATGTTTGTGACTTGTGTGTGCTTGATGTGTATGTGTGCTTGTGTGTGCTTGCTTGATGTATGTGTCTTGTGTGTTGATTGATGTGTGTGTTGTGTGCTTGTGTGGCTTGTGCTTGATGTATGTGACTTGTGTGCTTGATGTTTGTGGCTTGTGTGCTTGATGTATGTTGCTTGTGTGCTTGATGTATGTGTCTTGTGTGGATTGATGTGTGATGTATGTTTGTGTGCTTGATGTATGGCTTGTGTGACTTGATGTGTGTGATTGATGTTTGTGATTGATTTGTGTGCTTGATGTATGTTGCTTGTGTGCTTGATGTGTGTGGCTTGTGTGATTGATGTGTGTGTGCTTGATGTGTATGGCTTATGTGCTTTATGTGTGTGGCTTGTGTGCTTGATTTTGTATGGCTTGTGTGCTTGATGTATGTTGCTTGTGTGCTTGATGTGTGTGGCTTGTGTGATTGATGTGTGTGTGCTTGATGTGTGTGGCTTGTGTGCTTGATGTATGTGACTTGTGTGATTGATGTTTGTGGCTTGTGTGCTTGATGTATGTTGCTTGTGTGCTTGATGTGTGTGGCTTGTGTGATTGATGTGTGTGTGCTTGATGTGTATGGCTTGTGTGCTTGATGTGTGTGGCTTGATGTTTGTGACTTGATGTGTTTGATGTATGTTGCTTGTGTGCTTGATGTATGTGGCTTGTGTGTTTGATGTGTGCTTGATGTGTGTGTGTGCTTGTGTGCTTGTGTTTGTGGCTTGTGTGCTTGATCTTGGCTTGTGTGCTATGTGGCTTGTGTGTTGATGTTGATGTGTGCTTGATGACCTTGTGTGTTTGATGTATGTGTGCCTGATGTATGTTGCTATGTGGATGTTTGTGACTATGTGCTATGATGTATGTGTATGTTGCTTCTGTGCTTGATGTTTGTGACTTGTGTGCTTGATGAATGTGACTTGTGTGCTTGATGTATGTGGCTTGTGTGCTTGATTTGTGTGTGCTTGATGTGTATGGCTTCTGTGCTTGATGTGTGTGGCTTGTGTGCTTGATGTGTGTGTGTGCTTGATGTGTGTGGCTTGTGTGCTTGATGTGTGTGTGCTTGATGTGTGTGTGTTTGATGTGTGTGTCTTGTGTGGCTTGATGTGTGTGTGTGCTTGATGTGTGTGTGTGCTTGATGTGTGTGGCTTGTGTCCTTTATGTGTGTGTGCTTGATGTGTATGGTTGTTTGTGTGCTTGATGTGTGTGGCTTGTGTGCTTGATGTGTGTGGCTTGTGTGCTTGATGTATGTGACTTGTATGTTTGATGAATGTGACTTGTGTGTTTGATGAATGTGACTTGTGTGCTTGATGTATGTGGCTTGTGTGCTTTATGTGTGTGGCTTGTGTGCTTGATGTGTGTGTGCTTTATGTGTATTGCTTGTGTGCTTGATTTGTGTGTGCTTGATGTGTGTGGCTTGTGTGCTTGATGTGTGTGTGCTTGATGTGTATGGCTTGTGTGCTTTATGTGTGTGGCTTGTGTGCTTGATCTTGTATGGCTTGTGTGCTTGATTATGTGGCTTGTGTGCATGATGTATGTTGCTTGTGTGCTTGATGTTTGTGACTTGTGTGCTTGATGTATGTTGATTGTGTGATTGATGTATGTAACTTGTGTGCTTGATGTATGTGGCTTGTGTGCTTGATATTTGACTTGTGTGCTTGATATTTGACTTGTGTGCTTGATGTTTGTGGCTTGTGTGCTTGATTTTGTATGGCTTGTGTGCTTGATATATGTTCTTGTGTGCTCGATGTATGTGGCTTGTGTGCTTGATGTATGTGTCGTATGTGCTTATTTATGTGCCTTGCGTGCTTGATGTGTGTGACTTGTGTGCTTGATCTATGCTGTTTGTGTGGTTGATCTATGCTGTTTGTGTGGTTGATCTATGTGGCTTGTGTGCTTGATATATGTTGCTAGTATGATTGATATATGTGGCTTGTGTGCTTGATGTATGTGTCGTATGTGCTTATTTATGTGGCTTGCGTGCTTGATGTGTGTGACTTGTGTGCTTGATCTATGCTGTTTGTGTGGTTGATCTATGCTGTTTGTGTGGTTGATCTATGTGGCTTGTGTGCTTGATATATGTTGCTAGTATGATTGATATATGTGGCTTGTGTGCTTGATGTATGTGGCTTGTGTGCTTGATCTGTGCTGTTTGTGTGGTTGATCTATGCTGTTTGTGTGCTTGATCTATGTGGCTTGATGTGTGTAGTTTGTGTGCTTGATATTTATTGATATTGCACTTACTGTGTGTGGCTTGTGTGTGTGGCATCGGTGCCTGGTATAGGCTTGTGTGCAATTGATTGGTACTGTTAGTTGATCAGCAAAGAATCCTATTTTTCTGAACCCTAATTATAGAGAAGTTCATCTCAGGGGATGGAATGAAAATGAGATAAAGCAAATCTGTCCAAGTGAAAAATGTCTCTTCATTGCTTAAAGGTAAATACTTCATTTATAGATGAAAGAGTCTGCTGAAAGGGAGAAGAAGGAGGAAGAAGAGAAGAAACAAAAGCAGGAGCTGGAAGAATTTGAGAGGAAGATGAAAGGCAGGAGGAAGAAGCGCAAGCATCTGGAGGAAACTGTGGAATTAACATTTTGGGAGAAAAACAAAACAGTCATTATCATTGTCTCCTCACTTGTCACAGTCTTTGTGGCAGTATTCCTGTTGTGGCTGGGAGCTTCATGATGTATGCTGAAAGACAAAATGAACTTTTAAGTCTTTACTCTTAATTTATTGTTGATCGTGTCTGCAGTATCAGCTTTGATAATCAGGATTGAGAAGAGTGTATCTCTGTGCAGTCCTCTCGGCTGTAGCTTGTGTAGTCAATATTCACTGAATATGCTAATTTAAAATTTCAACTTTAATTATTGTGAGAAGGCAATATCAGCTATTAGATTCCCTTGGATATATAATACTCAAAACAAAGTAAAGGATCATCTAACTCTCTCATGTTTTGAAAAAGGTTTGGCATATCAGTTTAACTGTAGTAATTTGAAAAACTTGGATGATCCTTCACTTTTAGTAGTAGTTTATGAGGGTTTTTAATTCTTGCACAGGAATATGGAGAATTAAGTTAAACGACATTGTATTCTACTTTGGTTGTATATTTACACACATACTAATATTCCAGCTATATAGCAGTTAATAGGCAGTGATGGATAATGAGCAATACAATCACAGGCGAGCAAGCACATCACAGAACCTGACCACCCGATCCAGTTGAATACTACTCTCTATAGAAAAACACAGGACAACAGATCTGTCCCTCAAAATGTCATGCATCACTCCTGTCACATGTCAATTCAAAATCGAACCAATCAGCAACTGTTTTGTCAGTCCCTGCATGAATTGAAAAACTACATAGTCATGTCAAACTCACCAGTACCTCAAATTTGTCCTCCACATTAGAACAGAAATTTTACAATCAGAAATTTGGATTAGAAAATCAAATGTTTCTTGAGACAATTGTTTGACAGTAAAAAATTTACTTTAATTTCTTTATTTAGATTCCGATGATTATAAGATTCTTGTGGTATTTTGAGACAACCAAAATTTTTTGTGCCGTCTGCTGCATGATACAAAAGTCACTCCCCCATCCTTAATGTCTGTGGTCACAGTAGGTGAAACTGTTTTGGTTTGCATGATAGACTTGCCTGAGCGCCTGATTCTGTGCAAACACCCCATCAGTGACGTAAAGCATTACACTAAGGCTACACTGACATGGCAGAATATGTTGTCTATCATTTTTTTATCTTCTTCTTTTTTTTAATTAGCTTTTTATTACAGAAATATATTAGAATTGGTCCCCAGCGTTCATTTGCTGGTTGTAAGAAGAAATTATATTTGATTGTGTGGTCGGACTGTGACTCATCTCACCCTTCTTCAGAGACTCACATCACTGCTCATGTGTGGTCGGACTGTGACTCATCTCACCCTTCTTCAGAGACTCACATCACTGCTTCAGAGACTCACATGCTCATGTGGGACTGTGACTCATCTCACCTTCTTCAGAGACTCACATCACTGCTCATGTGTGGTCGGACTGTGACTCATCTCACCCTTCTTCAGAGACTCACATCACTGCTCATGTTTTACAGGTTTGACTGCTAAAACTTGGTTATTTGCCGGGTGCCACATATATAGCTGGAATATTACAAATAACCAAAATGGGGGTCTGAGTTAGTCTTGGTGGTGGTGGTAGTTGTTTCCATTGATCCACGTCTACAGTATGGGCTGTTGGGAAGCCGAGTGGTTAAGGTGTTGAGCTGAAGATCCACGTTCAATTGTCCTCATAAGTACTGTGTGTGAATCCGATTTGTCGTTTCCGCTGCGATTGTTTCATTGAAATATTTAAAAAAAAGTGCCATGAAACCATGCACACTCACTCCTCATGTTGTGGATCTACATAGAATGTTAATCTGGCTGGATTTATCAATACTGGATCATCATACAGCTCATGTCTGAAGTTGCAAGATACACAAGTCACTGTCACACACTGATTCACTCTCATGCAGAGGAATTTGAAGTTCTGAAAGGCTTCAGATTCCAGTGGTTAACATGAATACAATGGACTTGGGTATTTTAAGCATTTCAGTATTCTGTATTTACTTGGAACGATGTGGGTATATGAGAAACCATTTCATTATTGTATGTATTATTGTTGGTGAAAGTCTGCCATTTGTTAAGTTTGTTGATGTCGTCTGATTGTTATGAGTTATCAAATTTATCAGACCAAGTGACATAATTTAATTTGAGTCATTTATTTTCAAGAGGTCTTTCCCAGGAATCATATCCATGTTCATATTTTAGCTGTTTAGTGGGGTGGTGGGGTAGCCTAGTGGTTAAAGCGTTCGCTCATCACGCTGAAGACCGTGTTTGATTCCCCACATGGGTACAATGTGTGAAACCCATTTCTGGTGTTCCCCACCGTGATATTGCTGGATCATTGCTAAAAGTGGCGTAAGACTAAACTCACTCACTCAGCTGTTCAGTTGCATTGATGGTACAGTGGCTATCCAGAATTGTCTCCCTTCGGAAGGATTAGCTGGCCTTGGGTCTGAATCCTACCCCAAAAAATTTCTTTGATTTATATGGATGAATTTAATTGTTTTCAGTTATGATGATGAAATATAATCAAAACTTTTCAAATAAGCATCAATCAAAACTTTATTCAACAGAGGTCATTTTGAGTTTAGAACTCAATAAAAGATTAATATGGATGATTGTGATCTACACTTGGTTCTTGTTGTTTAAGTGGTGTTAAGTTTGACAGTGTAATAAGTGGAATTATTTGTTGTTAACTATTATTGTGAATCACTTTTTATATGCATTTGGTCCTTGCTGTGAAACAGTGAGGCCATGTCTCCTACATATGTGTATGTATGGTTTAAACATATTTATTTCCAAAAGAGGAACCGGATTGGTAAACAAGCAGTATGGTGCTTATCTGAATACTGTGTATGTATATTAGAAGTACACTTGTTGTCCTCACTGGTAGCTTGTCACTTTGCTTATTGGCCGTAACATGCTTACTTACAATTCAAAATTTTACAATCTCCGTGATCAATGGAGTAGTCACCATGTTCAGGGATTGAAGACAGCATATTTAGCTGTGTGACTCAATAGAGCCAGCTTCAGTCGTTATTCCTAATGATTGCTTTCTAAATTGAGAGAGTAGGGGCGGGACATTTTGTATTTTGTTGTAGAGGTTATTCTTCCACAAAGTGATTGTAAAATAATGTGAATTGTATTTTTATGACACTTTAGGGACAGGTCATGTGAGACAAGAATCGATATAAACTAGTCTAATATAGACAGCCTGTTTCTGGATGCACGCAAAATTAAGTTAAATGAACACTTAAGAACAAAATAATCAACTTTTAGACTCAACTTTGTCATCAGTTTGGTTGAAGTTGATGAATGATAAGAAGGTAAGATACTTTATGGATGACAACTTTCTTTTTTCAAATATTTTGATGCAACATTTCGGCACAGGTTCTTGTACACCCACGCTTGACAATGGCATAAGATCCTATCCCGAAACATCACATCATTATATAATAAAGAAGTTGTCTCCCTTTCTTACCTCCCTTGTCAGGTGTCCATTAGAGCCATGAATGGCCAAGTCATCCTCAATATGTATGTATGTCCACGCCATGTGGTGGTCCTGTAGGTCACAAAACAGTTGAAGTTAAGCAATGTTGGTCACGTAGAGTCCTTTGATTGGTGACCATGTTGACAGCTTGACTCTTGAGAGTTTCTAGGACTTCTGTCATGCCACACAACGAAGCACGTATGTGGACTCACCTTAGGCAAGAGAGTTTGTTAAAAATTGCCTCTGTCGCCATACAGCTGGCATATTGCTGAGTGTGGTGTAAAACTAAAGTCACTCACTCAAACTCAAAATTGACCGAGCTTACCCAGCAGAAAATGGGTACCTGGCAGGATAAGTCATATGACTCTTAACCTTCTAGCGCCTCACAGGTAGGTTGGGTTTAGCTGGGATAAAAATGTCCATGTTGAATGCGCCTAGAGCATGTCTCTGCGGCTTGGAGTTCAGCGCTATATAAGTTGCCATATTATTATTATCAATATCACTGAGAAGACTTGTAACTCAACTAACTTCCTCCCAAAATAAGCTGATGCTGGTAAAATAGACACCGCTTGTGAATTTCTTGCAGGTACTGTATGTCCAACTGGTAAACTGATGGGCTGATTCTCTAGCCAGTATAGCTGTCCACTGCCTGCTGTAATTGATTATTATGTTATCTGAATGATTCATGATAATAAAATTGTGTTCATCTGATTTAGCTTGTCAAATATGTCCGTTTTGTCTTGCACTGAATCTAAACTATTCCGGTTACCTTGCTTCAATGCGATGAAACAAGCAGCATCTACAATGAGAAGAATGCCTAAGGGCTACTGGTATGTTTGAAACCGTCATCAAGTAGCCAATATGTTTATTGTGTCTTAACATGCTGACAGAAAATGGCCAATATCAACAAGAAGGGTTCAGGATCAATTAATCCAAAATCAGGTCAGCAGAGTTAGAAATTGTGCAGATGCTCAGCAATCACATGTTGTACCACCACTAACAACTCCAGACATTCTTGCCAGATACTTGCATTGCCCAGAATAAAAGGGAGTCACAATGGTCTCATGTAAGGTTTTAAGAGGAGTGGAAATTCCCTCTATCAGGAATGGACAAATTTGGGTGTTTTCCTTACATCTGTGAATGTCAGTGTAAGGCAACATCACAGATTTTAGACCTGGTGTGTCATGATATGGGCAGGACACCATGGCTGCCAGAACCTTTCTGTGTATTGTCCGTGGAAGGGTCTATGGACAATACTTACTGACATGCATGCATTAATAGTTGCACTGCAATGCAGTCCATCTTTGTCTAGAATGCCAGACAAGTATATACTGAAAATAACTATATGGAGCAGTAAAACACACCAGAATGCAATAGCCAGCCCGCTTGGCATTAAGGGTACTAAAACTGGTAGACTGTACACATCGTGAGTGAGAATGTTTTTACGCCGCTTTTAGCAATATCGTAGCGGAGGACACCAAAATGGGCTTCACACATTGTACCCATGTGGGGAATCAAACCTGGGTCTTCGGCGTGACAATTGTACACTTCGTCCAGGTATTGGTGGGCTGGCACTAGTCCTTTATACAATGACACAATACATTTCCCCCTCACTGTCAATGCACCTTAATCTGTGGATCTACACTTTTCTAAAAGAAAGTATCATGAACTAACAGACACATTCAGTCATAACCCTTTATTCCCTGTTCAAAATATCACAAATTTCAATCCTTTCATCTTTTATTTTCAAATATTCTTAATTTACATAGACCTGTACATTGTATTTCTATACAATTTAACAAAAACATAAATGTTACATTCTCACTTTGTAAGAAGCTCTGCGGAAATATGCATTGCACCAATACTTAAGCATGCGTGGAACTAATTACAAAATGGGGCACATTTTGGGACAACATGATCATTATTCAAGACATATTTCACCGTGACAAACTGAGATACCTGGTATCTATGGTTAAGAAGATTGTTGCTGTGTAGCATCAGTTTCCATATACACGTGACAACAAACGAAACAGATTAACAACAGCAACATGCAAGAATGTATTGTCTTTACTTCATTTGAGCAGTATATTATATGCATAACTACAGACAATTATGACATGTTTAAACATGAAAACCTAGGATCAAGAAGTGATGGTATGAGTAAGTGAGTGAGATTTACGCCATTTTAGCAGCATTCCAGCAATATCACAACGGGACACCAGAAATAGGCTTCACACAAGCGGGGAAATGAACCGTGTCTTTGGCGTGACAAGCAAAACGGTTTAACCACTAGGCTACCCCACTGCACCTGATGGTATAAAGATCGTAATTCTATGTTACTATGGTTACATTATGGGAGCAGGCTTCTGGTTATTTGCAGATAAAATCAAACCAATGCATGTAGATAGTTAACATTTAAAATGCAAACAATCATGATACCTTAAATATAAAACCAGCTTAAATTTCTTCCATTCATACTATGAAGCTTGTGGTAAATGAGGGCTCATTACTTAAAAGTTTAATAAATAGCATGTTTCACAACAAAAATACACTTTTGACAGTTAAAAAATGGGAAAAGCAAATATTCCAGATACTCTACAGCAAACTCTCCTTGTCCTGGGAGATATACGTTCTTGAGTGAATGTACTGCCTCTAACGCCACCTTGAACAGTATTTCAGTTGTATCATGGAATGGCAGGTTACTCCGAAGAAAACCTAGAATGCAGCTGGTCTAAGGTGCCGCTACTCTGAAGAAACCAAAGACCACGGGTGTAGCATTAACATGCAGCTCTGCACTGTGCAGTAGACAAATGAGCCACACATGGCCTCAAACACTAAAAGAAAACACGAAAATGTTTCTACTGCACAGCAGTAAACCTAAGTGAAACACCTTGTCTTCCATATTTACATGCTGTTGAGCTGTTTCTTGATTCAAACATTCTGAAACAAGCTTATAAGAATGACATAAAACCTTCACCATTTGCTTAGAAACATCACACATATATTATATATACCACACACGAAGGTGTGGGTATGTTCAGACCAATAACTGCTTGCTTTATTGACTTAAGAACTGACATATATTGGGCGTTTATAGAGGTACAAACATGTAAACTGGTGTGAACATTGTACAATTCAAATTAATGCAAAGAACCATAGTTAATGTTTATACAAACAGAAGCACAAAACTCTGTCAATTCTTACACTGAACTTTGTTTATAATAAATACAGTGGAAGCCCCCAAAACCGACAGCCCTCCAATCCGGCATGCTCTCAATACCGGCACTAGAATTTGGTCCCGGCAGAAGCTAGTTAATTTATGATCATATACATACCCTGTAATCCGGCATCAATCTATTCCGTATTTCGGCACAACAAAGACTGCCCAATAGACATACTGTTTGTACAGTAATTAATGCTCTTTAAACCGGCATCTAGTATCTCGGCTCTTCTGTTGATTGGCTGATCAGCTGAACGTGTATTAACAACACAGTGCATTACCATCGGCATTAAGCTCATTGATGCTGCCTGATAAAAGGAGTATGGATAAAGATTAGGCCTAAGTAGGTGAGGTAAATTGGTGAGTGACAAGTGTCACTTGTATTATGAATTAGTTGTCGTGTGAATGAAAACAGTAAATTTGACAAAATTTACACTCAGTATTTTTACTGCACTGCATTTCTGGCCCTGTTTTGAAAGAGAAAGCTATTCAGTTTGCTTCAGAATTAAATGTCAACGAGTCTAAGGCATCAGATGGTTGGCTGGCACGCAGGAAGACACGATACGACATCAAACAGTGCAGTGTGAGCGGCGAAAGTGCCAGTGTTGATCAGAGTGATGTTGACAAGTTTAAGTCCCGCTTCCAGACTTTGATGGATTTGCGCCTGAAGATGTCTTTAACTGCGATGAGACTGGTTTGTTTTTCTGTGCTTTACCGGATGTTATCTTTATTGGTGCATAAAGAATATGATGACTATCAACATAAAAAAGGGAAAATTTCTCTCAACCAGCACGCCCTCTATACCGACAATTTTTGCCGGTCCCAATGAATGCCGGTTTAGAGGGCTTCCACTGTAGAACCTTCACAGAAAGATTAATTAATCGTTAACACAAAAAATGTCAAAGTCAGTGGCAGAATTTAGTGCATCAGTGCAAAAACCTGTCCAATCTTATCAGCAAATCACTATCCATTAGTCCAGTTGGACTATCCTAAGATTTTGGAATTAAAACCAATGGTGTTGTTAGCCAATTAATTGCCTTTGATTAGGACATATACATATATATCTATATGTATGTATCTGCAAACAGTGAACTGTGCTATCTGAATCTTAGAACCTATAATTACTTCCAACATACATCTTGATACATTAAGTTGTAAATTCCTTCATCAAGAAGTTTCCACAAGTCTTCAGGCAGATACTCATTCAATAGTTTAATTATCAACTTTTCATTCTTCTAAGCCTCTATTTCAAAAGCTAATTCAACTCTGCTCAACTTATTCCATGAAAATTTCGGTTCCAATGGTCTGCATTGTTTCTGGCTTCATACAACTAAGTATTTCTATTGTAATTTACGCTTTGATAAACACTTTATCTGATGCAACCAAGCCAGTGTTCTGAAACTCATCCCCCCAGAAAAGAAGTGAGTGAGTGAGTTTAGTTTTACACCGCACTCAGCAATATACCAGCTATATGGCCCCGGTCTGTAAATAATCGAGTCTGGACCAGACAATCCAGTGATCAACAGCATGAGCATCGATCTTCGCTGTTGGGAACCGATGACATGTGTCAACCAAGTCAGCGAGCCTGACCACCCAAACCTGTAAGTCACCTCTTACGACAAGCATGGGTTACTAAAGATCAATATTCAAACCCAGACCTTCACAGGTCCCAAAAACGAAAACACTGCAGCTTCCTCTTCATAATAAGACTATCTCATCCTGCTATCTGTAAAAATCCTTGTTAGGAGAGGTCTTCATAAACCTATGCTTGTTGTAAGAGATGAGTGAGTTGGGATTTATGCCGCTTTAGCAATAATCCAGCAATATCACAGTGGAGGGACACCAGAAATGGGCTTCACACATTGTACCCATGTGGGGAATCGAACACGGGTCTTTGGCGTGACGAGAGAAGACTTTAACCACTAGGCTCCCCCAATCGCCCGGGTAAGCCCCTGTTGTAAGAGGTGACAAATGGGGTCAGGTAATCAGAATGTCTGACTTGGTTGATGTATGTCATAATATCCCATAGCAGTGTGTAGATAAAGCTCATGATAGCAATCTCTAGTTAAGATTATCTCCAGAACACCATCATATCCCATGAATATTACTGAGCGCAACATATATACTTACATTGTTGTTACTTATGATTCATAATTACTATTCCTGTTACTATTTTCATTGTGTTTACATTGTGTCTTAAATGTGTTTACATTTAAATTCAATCATCATATGTTCAATGTGGTGATACATATAATATCATGTATCATGCATCGTTCCAATCCTGTCAGCCATCTTATTCCTTCCATAGTTAATGCCAACAAGTGTCATACCCTCAGACCATAATTAAATTAATTACAGTACTGGCCATAACTGATCTACTCCAACAGGTTTAGATCAAATTTTACACAAATCTGTAAAATATATTCCTAAGTCTACTTTTCTGAGCTCAAAAACTTTCATGTAATTTCTAATTTTCTTGGTTATTTTACAGGAAACCATGTAGAAAGGGTACATGTACATATATTTGACTAGTAACCCTCACACCATGTTTCTGTGACCCTTGAACCAAGCTTGCTCTCAAACCATCCAACCTCTGACACTTGTAGTGTACACATTTTAAAAGCCTCAGTCAATTCTCTAAGCACCCTGGGCACTATCGACTGTGTCACTATCAATGCCCTGCCTCATATCATTTTAATGAGCATCTCCCCTCCTTTCTCTCCTTGAATCACATCAGTCAGCAATTAATATTCACAGATGCCTTGAATAGTTTGTTTAAAAAATATACGTCAAAAAGAGAGACATAATTAGACCTCAGATTTTGGAAGAAATAATTAATTGAAGTCTTAGATACGAAATCTTATTGGGGAACATTGAAAGGAATGTCCCCTCAGTTCAAAACTGCCAGTCATGAATATTAATGCCTGGCCACAAAGATCAGATGTATAAATGAGTTTTTAACTAGAGACACATAGGCAGCTGACCAGTAAGGTGGACAAGACCTGGGACCATCAAACCAGCGCTCAACGAAATTATACATGTACTCCGATCAAAACATGACACATCCATCACCACTGATATGGTTATCGCCTTACAGTTTTACTGTCATTGTGACCAGATGATCCCATGGTTGGCTGCCTCTAATAATAATAATAATGAGTGTGCATATAGTGTGTTAATTCCCATACACAAGGTGTATGCTCAAAGCTCTGACATTATACCCCGGTCAATGGATCCATGTGCACCATAAACCAAGCTGCCTGTGAGGCTCTGGAAGGTCAACAGTCATCACCATCTCATCCCACCAGGTACCCATTCACTGCTGAGTGAACAGAGGCCATTTCCACTAATGGGAAGGACCACACCAAAACATTCCCGACACACAACACATACATTCGCAGTATAATCTCATGATTCACAATCAGATCAAACAGACCGTTTTCACTGATATAATCATTCTATGAACGTGGCACATTTGGTGAAAGAATGCTTTGGATTAACTCTGATGAAATTTGCAATTACATTGATCTGGTCATGAAGTCTGTTACAGGAGTTTTACCAAACTTGGTTTCTAAAAGATTTATAACAAAGTCTCTTGAACATCTATAGTGTTGCTGTGTAAAATTCTTCGCGGGTTGGTAGTATGTCTTGCAATACTGCTGAGCCTCATTCTGACTGCAATAGTACTGTACTCCAACCACGATGGCAAGCAACAACACCATCATCGAGAAAAACAAGAAACAACATCTTCCTAGGCAGCCTCCTTCTGAAACAGAAAAAGAACCTATGAAACGTCTAAACGTTACCGCCTAAGTGATGAAACCTTTCAGAAGACAACCGATATTGTAGCATTACAGAACATGATTAAATTACAATGTGAGACTTTCATGGCTAGTCCACTAAAGTGAAAAAGAAATGAAACCTGTACACCATACATAGCTGATAACTCAAAGAAATACACTCAAAACTCAGAGTGTTAATAATTGCTACCACCAGTGATCTAATTAACAGTTCCAATGATATCAACAGTCAGGGAGGTCGACCTCCTTTATTAGGGCTATCAAATACAGCATTGAGTTTGTTACAACCAAGGGATCTCACTAACAGCTTTAGTGATAAGACATCAAGGGTCTGTGAACTATTTAAACTGGTGCTGAAATAAAAACATCCTCAATACCCAACTCATGTTGCTAAACAACCATATACTGATGAACATATTTCAGATATTCAGGAACTGTATGCCAAACTCTGAGAAAATACCCTGTCACACAAGAGCAAAGTGTATGTGTGAAAGGCTGAGGGAACACATTTCAACTTCTTCCACTTGGCTTATGAAATGAATGTACACTATACCTTTAGAACCAACTCAAGCACATTCAAAAACCAACTAAGTATTAGTTGCCAATGTATTATAAGCAAATGTGGCACTGATCCAGAAATGGGTACTTTTTCTCTTTTCTTCTGACAACATGCTGCTGAAACAAAAACTTCCTGTTCAAAATGTTTTCAGGTAAATAAAGTCTCTAAACACAGTACATACCTTTTGTTGTCTCCTTGGTTTTGTTGACACCATTTTCACGAACTTCTTTTTCTTCTGAAAGCAAAGATAGAAACATATGACCCCATGCGCAGGAAGTGATGCAGATGGTACACACTTGGGATGTAACAATCGTGTAACCCCCAACCATGCACTGTGGGTGTGATACGATTCATACTCTGATACAGTAGATATATTTCTTATGTTGATATTTGGTTTTTAGCAAGATGTATCACAGCCCAGGATCATTTGTTTAGAAAATGCATGGCTCTCAAGTGTGTAACAGCCAATCACAGACAAAACATGGAGTGTTATTTTGAAAGGAGTCAATCAACCAAGTCACTGTGTTTGACCACGTCATCCTAACCACTGATGTGTCACAATTCTCACCAAGTTTCTCCCCTTCTTCTTCCCTCTTCTCTTTCTTCTCCTGGGCTTTCCGGGCCTGGTGTTCTTTTCTCCTTCGTTCTTTCTCAGCTAGTTTTTCAGCTTTCTTCTTCTTCAGTTCTTCCTCTTCCTTCAGCTTCTCTGCAGCTTCCTTTTCTGAATAATTGAAATACTTGGTACATGTACAATCTACACAAGGATATGTGACAGTGTCCATGGCCGTCCTGGCTGCAGACTAAGCAGGATCCTCAAGTATATCAGAGCCAATGAGTGCCCTAACAAAAGACATGATTTTCATCAAAATTGGTCATTTTCCTAAAACACATTGGCCATTTTCATAAAGGACAGGAAACTTTCACAACAGACAGGTTCAAATTTCATACAGGATTGTTATTTCCATAAACGACTGATCACTTTCTAAAAGAACTGGGTGCTTTCATAAAGGATCCAGGAAACTGCAACAGTCAGTCCATGCACATTGACTGTCGGAGTAAGCTTGATCAACTTGTATTTTCGCAAAGGTTGTTTTTTCAAATAAGTGCCTTAGTCTCTTGCCACCCTGTTACTTTAGTCTATTAACTGACAAAATAGTGAACACACATGAGCATAATTTTCACTCATGGTACCAAACATTTCCTAGTACTAGTAGAAGGGTCCAAGTCTCAGATTCATCAAATGACATCCAGACTGAGCCCCTGAAGGCTAATTTGTGTTTGAACACTGACACTGCATGTGTTGTGGGAGATAATTGTTACATTAGAAAAGAAAAATGTCATAATTCCAACTATATTTAGAGAGTCTAACTGCTGTCACTTGCTCACTGCTGAAGGAGGGGGGCCATTTGGCTCTTTACACCGGTTAAATCAAAGATGTGTTAGACATTTGACATGTTCATATTACTAGCAAAGGAAGCAGGACGGTGACCCAAGATGAAAATTTGACTACATGTTTTTACTGTTTTTTTCCCAATATCTAAAAAATATATATAATTTCCTCACTTGGAGGATAATAATAATGTAATTTTTAGAGTAAAAATGTAATTTTTAGAGTAAAATTGATATTTTATACTTATCCTGACTCATGCTCTTTTGCTTGTCTTCTTCTTCTTGCGAACATAGTGGAACACTTGTATCTCCTTATTTGAAGCTCCCTTCAAAATAAAATCACTAATTGGTACTCACCACGAGTTGCTCCCCTTTGTTTCCCCTGGCGGGAAAGGTGTCGCCACCCTCTGGCCATGTGCTCCACTCTCTCCTGATTTAGCGAGCCCAACACTTGAACTTACAGGGAAATCCAAAGTGTTATGTGGGAGGATGGGAGGGCTAACCTCATGAGTCAGGATAAGTATAAAATATCAATTTTACTCTAAAAATTACATATTTTTCCTTATCCTGACTCATGCTCTTTTGTTTGTAGAATCCTACAGATTGGAGGTGGACATATACATAACATATAGTGAGTGCTTTAAGTGAGTCTAAACTTTTGATGGGTAGTATATAATACTTTGGATTTTAATAATTAGTGATTTGAACTGTGATGATTGTAATAACCCTATGGGAACTTCATAAAGGCACTGAACTGATGAATTCCTGCTGCTAACTTATCAGCTGCCATATAAAGGTTATTACAATGTACTTATTATGATAAAGTATATATAACATTAATACAATGCTTAAGACTAATAGACTTAAGCTTGTTAATATGCTAGTATAAACTCCTTAGAGTTTGTTAGCTAAATTACTTTAAAATATAAACATAGTACTAAGCTTAAGATATGATTAAACTTAAGCTAATTATATAATAGCAAAACTCTTTTTAGAGTTTGTTAGTTAATGTACTTATATGATATAGACATAGTGCTGAGCTTAAGATATGAATAAGCTTTAGCTACCTATATAATAGCAAAACTCTGTAGAGTTTGTTAGCTAATATATTTTTACAATATGAGTATAGTACTGTGCTTAAGATATAATTAACTTAAGCTACATATATAATAGCCAAAACTCTGTAGAGTTTATTAGCTTATAGATTAATAATGTAACCATAGTACTAAGCTTAAGATAAGATTAGACTTAAGCTAAATGTATATAGCAAAAAAAAGAAAAAACTCCTTAGAGTTTATTAACTAATATACTTTTATGTTATAACCATAGTACTGAGCTTAAGATATAATTAAACTTAAGCTATATATATAATAGCAAAACTCAGTAGAGTTTTGTTAGTTAACTACATTTTATAATGTAACCATACTGCTTAAGATATGATGAAACTTAAGCTAATTGTATAATAGCAAAAACCCTTTAGAGTTTGTTAGCTAAAATACTTATATGATATAAACCTAGTATTGAGTTTATGAAGGAAACAACAAACTACATATATAATAGCAAAAAAACTCCGTGAGTTTGTTAGCTAATATACTTATATGATATAAACATAGTATTGAGCTTTGAAGGAAACCTTAAGCTACATATATAATAGCAAAAACTCCGTGAGAGTTTGTTAACCAATATACTTATATGATATAAACATAGTATTGAGCTTAAGATTTGAAGGAAAACTTAAGCTACATATATAATAGCAAAACTCCATTAGAGAGTTTGTTAGCTAATACAAGTTATAATGTAACCATAAAGCTTAAATTATGATGAAACTTAAGCCAAATATATAATGGCAAAAACTCTTTTAGAGTTTTGATAGCTAATATACCTATATGATATAAACATAGTACTACTGCTTAAGATATGAATAAGGTTAAGTTACATATATAATAGCCAAAAAAACTCCGTAGAGTTTGTTAGCTAATACATGTTATAATGTAACCATATTGCTTAAGATATGATGAGACTTAAGCCAAATAGCAAAAACTGTTTAGAGTTTGTTAGCTAATATACTTATATGATATAAACATAGTACTGAGCTTAAGATATGAATAAGCTTAAGCTACCTATATAATAGCCCAAACTCTGTAGAGTTTGTTAGCTTATATATTTTTACAATCTGAGTATAGTACTATGCTTAAGATATAATTAAGTTAAGGTAAATATATAATAACCAACTCTGTAGAGTTGTTCACTTATATATTGTATGATGTAATAATCATGGTACTGTGATGATAAAAAGAACTTAAGCAAATTATATATAGCATGTAGCTATTTAGTACTGTTATAAGATAAGTAGAAATCTGTAAGATTGACTTATCTTCTCCGAGAACTGTCAACTGTTGTGCGAGGACCATGGGATCGAATTGGTGGATACCTGAGGCGCCCCTCGGTGATGATATCTCTCAGATAATGGTTGGTAACCACCATATCGGATCTCCAGAAAATAAACCCTCCATTATTTCAAATAACATTGTGTAGATCAATTGTAGAAGTTAAGCTCTAATATCATGAGTATTAAAAGCTCATGGAGGGTCGGATTGGGTCCATCCGTCTTGTATGCACGTAGTATGACAGTTCTGATCCAAACGGAGATATAGTACGTGAGATTTCATTCTCGTAAGTTGATGATAGAGGAAATAATCTGTTGCATTATTCCCTTCTGTTTGGTTCGGTGGAGATAAATTTACAGTGCTCTTGCTGGCCATCGTGGATAGAATCATCGTATCATGAAGTCCAAGTATGTCATCCAAGCGTGTTCATAAACCTCACTTGTGAGGTGTTGGAGCACTATATTCAGATCCCCAAGTTGGAGGGTGAAACTTCCGTTTTAATTCTCCAATCAGAAAGTTTAAGTAGTTTTACTAACCATCTAGTTGTGTTAGTAGCTTGATTATGAAATTCAGCTGTAGTCTGAGGCGCTGTGGATTTAGATCCACTTGTATCCCGTCGTCTAGGTTATTCGCTCGCTAAGTCCTTGACTATGTGTAGGTGCACAACCAGGTGTGTCTGTCCTCGTTGAACTTTATGTAAAATTGCCTGACTGCCGTGCCTCTCGTCCTAACTTGACAGGGGAGGTCTCTAACCTGAAGAAAGCAGCCCAATCATGAAGGTTCAGATTAACTGGACTGTAAGGAGGCTTGCTCGATTCACTGATATATAGTTGTCACTTGTAACGTAAGTCTTGAACTGTGAACTAAGATCGACCTCTCGCGGAGTGCGTTGTCCAACGTGGTCCAATCAGAACAAGGCATTTTGATTCTGTAGAATACCCGCTGTGATGTCACCGGTGTAGCAGGAAAAAACCTTGTATAAAAATCTTGCCGTCGTTGATATTAGCATAATCGTCGGTCTTCACCGTAGCTTCCCGAAGTTACCCAAGTGACCCGCGTGTTTGAGGGTTAAAGGTAAACGAAACCTCGGCCTTGAAATACCTCGCTCTGTAATATTAATGCTGGGTAGGTTATTTTTCTGTCTGTCGTGAAAGTAACTTCAGTTTTGAATATCATTCCGACTTCCTTATATAAAGGTACAATAAACTTGCAAGTTGTCAGCTTGTAGACTGTATACATGAATGTATCGTCATAATTGTAGAATTAAAGCTGAACTTGTTGTACATATTTCTTCTCAGAAACTTGACGATTATGAGTTATACTCGCTGTAACAAGGCTGCTGTTCAATTTCGATATTGAATTGTCTGCAGATCTGCGTAATGGTCACGCATGTAGATAATCGTATCGTAGTTCGGGATTGCATATTCTAGCAATCTATACAGAAAGGTTGATTTCTGTGAAGATCTATGAAACGTCGTTGACTAATTAATATAGCGGCGCTTCTGTGTTGTAAATAGCCTGTGCAATTGTCTTTCGTGAGGCTTATAGGCGGCATATGGCATACAGTTGATAGACAACTTATGCGATGTCTTGAACGGACTGACGAGTAGCTATATATGACGAGTGGCTAATATATGGAGACCTTGGAGGAGATTTCCTTGTTGGATGCCGAGACTTCGCTAAGCTCGAAAGTATCCATTCTAGATTTTCTGTGTGAGGTAGACTTGGAGCCACTTAGCCTCTCGCGACCTTCGAAGGTATCGAGTCAGAGCCCCATCAGTATATATATAATATATGGCTTTGCTTCAGCGAATCGACCTCTGTGTTCAACAGGAGTGAGTGAGTGAGTGTTTTGTTTTCGCCGCACTCAGCAATATGTGGGGTCGGTGGCGCTACTCCTCCGTGGCGTCCCTTGTAACTGGTGAGGCTCTAGCTCCTTCGCTGAGGTGGCCTGGGACTTCCTTAGCGAAGTGTCTAGAATCCGATCAATATATGGCGCTAGCTTCATACAGGGTGTGGTTCTTGCTGGTTCTGCATAAGTAGAGCCGAGTAGATCATCCTATCATCTTCAGAAGTCGTGTCACCTAAATCTGGTGATAAGAATCTCATTGATCGTTCTAGATCTATTAAGGCCAAGAACATATCGCCTCTGGCGTTTGAACTGTTATGGCTTTATGGTAGGCTGTGTCCACATACTGTGGCACCGCAGCAATCGAAGTCGATCGGAGGTAAGGTGATGGCGTCTGCCTCGTCTTCCTTTATCAGGTATGTCTGCGCCGAAGTTGCCACTCTTGGAAGGTGAAGAGAGATCTAGGTTGTTCACCATCCAATATCGTGATCTCAGCGTCTGAGAAAAGATGCCTCCATCATTTTCTATCCCAGCATCGCTGATGAGAGGTTGATGCTCTTCTGATGGTTGACTGTGTATTTCTATCTCTATGTCGGGTGACGCTTCGGGAGACCTGACTGTAGACTTGTGTGCAGACTTGTGTGGTGACCTGTGAGACGATGTCGGCGTGGTGATGTGCGAGGAGATCGGTGAGCGCGGCGAACAGCGGAGATCGCTATGGGTGATCTGGCGACCTATGGGTTGACCTTCTTCGGAGACCTGTGAGGAGAATGTTGATAGCTTCGCTGAAGCTCTTGTGTAGTCAGGTGTCCTTCGCGAAGGCCTTCGCGAAGCTTCCTCTGCGTCCGGTCCTGGGGAACGGCGATTTGACCTTCGCGAAGGCTTCCGTGAGGTCTGATGGTCTGAGTCCGCATCTAAGGATGAAGCCAAGGAAGGTGATGATCTATCCTGCCTTCGCGAAGGCCTTCGCGAAGGCTGTACATCTGGGTCCTTCGTCGAGGTGGTCTGCGACTTCCTTCGCGAAGGTGGCTTCGTCGTGGCTGCTACGCTGATGGGGGTGCCTCTGGGGTGTCGTCTGCGTTGGAACCTTCGCGAAGGCTCAGGCCTTGGGCTGGCTGCTTCTCCAGTCTGTAGTGGCCCTCCATCATGATCATGATTTGCCGCAACAGTTCATCTGGGATGGTCTGCGGCCGAATTAGTCGGTGCCCTCTCTCGCGATGTTAGAGGCGGGGCCCTCAGGAAGTCATCTGACGTCAGTGTAGAGACCTCAGGCTGCATGTCGATCTCTGCTGATGTCACTGTAGCTGTCTCCGGTCGCTTCTTGTGGCGTATATCGGGGATGATGATCGGGCTGATCATCGTAGAGGCCCAGTTCAGCGGCTGGAACAATCTCGGTTGAGAAAGTCCTAGTAGACTTCGTTGATTTCCCCTCAGAGGTCGACACGCTGCCCTGGGGTGCGAAGTCTGCGCTTGGAGTGTTGGTAGCGACGGGACCCTCAGGAAGAATATCAGCGTTGGTACATCAGGCTGCATGTTGATCTCGCGCTGACATCACTGTTGTCGACATCGGTCATTCTTTTGATGTACATCAGGTATGATGATCGGCTGATCATCATACAGGCCCAAATCTCGCGACGGAACAATCTCGGCTGAGAAAGTTCAAGTAGACTTCATTGATTCCCCTCAGAGGTCGCGTTGAGATGCAGTAGAAACCCTCCAGTCTTCGGCTGCGACGATGGGATGTCTGGGGAAGCAGGACGCTTCTTGGAGGCGGGGACTCGTCCCCGCCTCTCCACCACTCTAGCGAACACCAGACAGGAGGGGGTCGACCAACAGCAGTAGACTGGCGAGGGGTTCAGGTTTATCAGTCATGGCTAGACTCTGCATACGCGACCTATCTGCTGCGCGCCTCTCAAACGCAGTAATATTTATTAAAGGCAGAATTGGATAAATTAGTACCGCGAACTGCAATGTGAATAACATGAAACATGGCAGTACAGCTAGGGCATATTAAATGCGGATCAGCAGCAGAATAAAAAGCGTAATGTGCAACAGTACAGAATTTTTATCAACGTAATCCACTGAAACAACACGGGCGTCCCGTGAATAAACAGTAGAAATACGACTAAATATCAATATATAATTGTTGAAGATACTAGCTAAACCTCTATAGATGTCTATAAGAGGTAACTAACTAAATATAATCAAAGGATATAGTGTGTCGGGAGACACACAGGCTCTCACGCCCAGCTCACTGGGCTAAGAAGGAGAGTGAAGGCACATGGGTAGGTGGGTATAGCACCTCGTTCAGCCAGTGGAAGGGAGGTAACTCTTGGTGGTGTACTAATTAGTGATTTTACATTGAAGGGAACTTCAATTAGGGAGATACAAGTGTTCCACTATGTTCGCAAGAGGAAGGAGACAAGCAAAAGAGCATGAGTCAGGATAAGGAAAAATAGTGCCTATTTATAGTGCGCACAAATCCACGCTCGTAAGCATGCTCATGCTCATGATAGTGACATCCCACACAAAGCTGGACCAATAACTTTACATATGATGACAATGGTGAGTGAAAAGCTCAACCCTCACCTCTAGCTTCCTGTAACTGTTTCTGTTTTCGCCTCTCTGCCTCTGAGTTGACTTGTTTCATGTACAGCAGAACCTGTAAGGAACAATACACCATCGTACACACAGCAGGAATGTTGGTCAGCCCACTGAAGATGATCCTTCGCTTTTTTCTCATTCCACACAATTACTGTAACTGATGTTGCATGATCAGTTCATAACTATTACATTTCATGAAGCTGCAGTATAATCATGATTATAACCACCACCTCAACTCAAAACCTTGAACACTGCAGAGAAACTGCTCACAAGTTCACTCAATGTAAATCAAAATGTTTTAGACATTCTGGACCAAAAGGTCAGTGATCACAGGACTACAGGCTTATAACCATCTGGCTTCTGTATCCCTTCTGGATGACAGAGTAAGTTACTCTCTGAACGATTACTCTCTAAAAACAAGTCATTAACTCTCTACAAAACATAAAACATATTCTTATGCTACAGAAGTTAGAAAGTGATACTCTGAGTGTAACTGATAGCTTTGTAATGGTATAAAAGACGTTGAAGACTAAACTTTCCCTCTGTTTTGCTTGAAATTTAGGACCAGCTACATTTTTTATCTTGGGCTATAACAAGGAGCTTATTATTGTCATGCATAATTTGCACACTGACATATCTGTTAAACCTGACATTTACAAATAATGTTGCTTTAAAAAATAGTCATATGTATACATTTCAACAAGTCCTGACTTACGCAACATAATGATCTCTGCTTCCAGACAAGAATATGAGAGTGAATGAGTCTGGGTTAAGGCACTTTGGGTACTCGTCCAGCAACATATCACAAAGGAGGACACCAGAAATGGGCTTCACATACTGTACAAAATAGTTAAATCAAACCTAGGTCTTCAGTATGATGAACAAATGCTTAACAACTAAGCTATCCCATCACACTATCAAAAGATGGGAAGTATACTTAATATGAGGTGAATTTTGGTTTAACGTTGTGCTTGATAATATTTCGCTCATATGACGACGTGCATGTGTGTGTATGTGCGGCTGCTTGTACTAGCCCAGACTGAAGCTGGTTTTATAATGCTAGCCCACTGAGATACCATGCCACAGTGAAGCAAGAATACCCCGCTCAGACACATAATACTGACTCCGAGCTGACAAGTCCTTGATGTACCCATTAATGCCAAATGCCAGGCAGGGACCAACAAGTACCATATTTTAACGTCTTTTGGTATGACGCGGTCAGAGATCGAACCCGCGACCTTCCGCTCTCCAGTCAGACACTCTAACCACTACACCACGGAGGCGGTCATATTTAATATGATGACTATATGATTGATAACCTACATTTTTAGCACACTTGCGACACTGTGTTTCATCCAGGCAGTCCCCAGCTGCTTGCTTCAAACCAGGGTCAAGGGGGGTTGTCCTTTAGGTCCAGCCATTTCAGTTTCTGGAGGTTGAAGAAGCTGATGGGGAGAATGGTCAGCTGGTTGCCTAGCAGGTCCAAATGTTGAAGGTGGGTCAGATTGCCAAACCGGGTTGGTAGAGAGGTCAATTGGTTCTTGCTGAGGTCAATCTTGACCAAATGAGTCAGGTTGCAGAAGGGGTCCTTGAAACAATTAAAACATAACCTCATGATTCAACCTCAGGTGAATTCACAGAGACATGATGATTGGTTTTGGACACTATCTCAACAGTTGGCCTTGGACACTATCTCAGTCATACAATTTATGTTACTGGCCTTGAGACACTGTCTAAGCAATGGGCATTGATTGTTTTTTCACCAATAGGTACTGAAACACTATCTCAGCAATATGCCTAGAAACACTGTCCCTTATCAGCACTGCTCATGCTTTTGTATCTGTATTCATATTTTCCATACAATACTGAATAAAATAAGTTGATTGATCATGGACACTTAAAAAGACTGCAAGTTAACAAGTGCATATTTTAGCCCTTTAATCAATAGTGCCACATTTGGAAACAACAAGGACCATCTTTAAAATGTCTTTTACAGTTTGAGTTCAAAGCAGAAGCTCTATCCACCAGACCATGAGACAGTCTGACACAACTGAAGAACTGGAACAACATGTGGATAATAATGAAAACATAAATCTTGTTGAACATACTGAAGAGTTGCTAATGTATTACTCACAGGTAATGACGTCAATACATTGCAGGATAAATCCAGATGTGTGGCTTTGGGTATGGCACTCTACAATGAAACAATGTTTACACAGATGAATACATGGTAAGTAATCACTCACACATTCAATTTAAGTGATGGAGTGTCTGGACGAAGCAAGCAAGTGGTTAATAATAATAGTGTGAATAGTGTCCCAAGTGAACCTGAGTATCCTGAACAGCACAATAACCATGATAACCAGCTTAGTCCCCAAAAATTTTTTTTTTCTTTTGAAGAAGGATTCAAATCATTGGATTCTCCATATATAAGGAAGCAAATATATGTAGCTACATATATATAATCAGTATATGCTCACAGAAGAAACATATTGAGATCTAAACTCCACGAATCAGAAAAAAACAAATCCAACTTGTGCAGTACAGAACTGAGCTTTAAACAATGTTAAGGTTGATGGAACATCTTCTATGTGGACACATCAGGCTTCAAACATCCAATGTTTAAAAAAAAGAGGCAATAGAGGCAAAGGTCCCTGCTGATGTGGCTAAAATAAACATTTGGAGCATATATTACAAATATATGACCAAACACCACTTTCCATTTGGTTTCAGTCGCCATGAACATGATGAATGTCAGAAAATGGAACGAACACAAAAACGTAATATAGCTGATATGGATGCCAAGGTTGGGTCTGGTAATGCTACATTGGCTACCCAGATAAAAAGTTTGACCTGTCCCAGCTCCATATAGACAGACAGAAGCACTTGGTGAACTGCAGCCACAACCAGTTTCATATCATATGGCTTCACTTGATGGCACAAGATGACTAGCAAACAAACTCTAAAACCTCTAAAACCTGGATCGGTTATGTAAATGGTTAGATGGCAAACCTCAACCATTTTCAAGATGCCATGACCATGATCATGTAACTGAATTATGCTGACTTGCATAATAGCCACCATTTATCATGTTTACGCACTGAAGTCTGATTGTAGATGGGTAATTTGAGAACTACCGCAGCAAAGAAATGCATGCACCAAAGGCAAGATGCAAAGCATACATGAGAATGCTACCCGGTTATTCAACAAATCTCCGTACTATAAATCAGGAAAGATCAAGCCGGTTGAAAATGGAAACAGCAAAGTGGTTTTAAATAGTTAAACAAATGAGCGGTTTCACTTTCAACTAGCATAAAACTTGACAACATTTCCTACCAGTTCTTTTACAGGGACAACGGACAGGTTATTGAGACTAAGATCCAGTTCATTCCCATCCAGATATTCTCTCAAATTGTCTTTCGGCATGGCGAATGTGAATATTTTCCTCGTACGTATTGCACCAGTGGCGAGTCAGAATCTGCTGTGTTGATAACGTGACACGCAAAACCGGAAGTTCATTCACCAATAAAGAACCGGGGTAAATTTTGGAAAAATGTTGAAAGAAGTGATCCCAGGATATTAAAAGCCAAACTATTTTTAATGTCAAATAATGATTCTGTTCTGGGCCTAAAGAACTCATATATCACCGAGAGATTAATGTATATCTACACTGTATCTTAACTCATAATGGTGTTGATGAGCAAACTCATTCGCAATTTCATTCAAGCGACCCCTCTTTCCGTGAAATACCCACTGTGAGGAATTTACGAACATTTAGTGCGGGAGGGAATCGCGTTGTTTCCGGTGTCAATAGAGGACATGTGCAAGGTCTAGCAGTATTACAGCAGATAAATGGTTAGTATGTCATGTGATTCAACGGGTAGTGCAGTTGAATATAATCTGTTTCGGCGTGTTGGAGATATGAGTACAACAGTTGCAGTAAGTAAACCTGCCCATGATTTAAAATGTCGAGTTGGCCCCCTCGAATTCACACTCTGGTGTTCCGGTGAGAATCCGTACCAGACATACTGATCAAATGACATTTCATCCGACGTTTTAGCAGTTGAATATTTTACGGAAAGAAAACCGTATCACGTATTGGGGATGACACGGTATAGTGGATGCGCCAATGGAGCTAATTTGTACTGGCTATCTCGCTTTACTGATCTGGGATTCTCAGGAATAGTTGCCCATTGCGCGTTATGCAACAAAGTAAGGTTATACCATGTACATCAGACTTCACTAACTTGTAACAGACATTAGAACACCAACGGTTACAGTTCATTTTGTTACACAACTTTTTCTCCACTTCATTACTGTGTCTGAATTAATGGTGTCCAGTTGGTATGGATAATTTTCATATCTTATGAGAAGAAATGATATTGTTGCTTTCGAATTTATTGAAAACTCTGAACACCAACAGTAGGCTTCCACCCACAACAGCAGCAATTCTGGCTATTGGCAGGCTCCGTTCTTGCCAGTTATTAATGTTTTCGACTGTTGATGTTTTGTTGAAGTGACATTTTAGATTTATACACTCAATATGTGTCAGAAAGACTGTTTTGATAGCCATAGCTCAAATATAGATCTTTGAATTAAAGAAATCAGAAGACAGACAATTGATGAAACAGATTAGTAAGCATGGCTCAAAATTAACATATGTTTGCCAGTAGAATTCTTTGTTGGGTAATATTTGTACTTTTAGGAGACCGCACCAATGTAGCGGATCGTTTTTGCAGAATATATTTTAATTTCTTACCATGATTATTGCACTGATTGCTTAATACTGTAATTGTAGTTATTTTCATGTGGGATTAATTTTCGCGCTTTTTGCGCAAAAAGATTGTGCGCCAATAATTATACCAAGGGAAATATTCATGGTCAAGTCATGACAAATACTCAAGTAGGAACAACATGCAATTTGTTTATTCTCTCAGACAACAACATCAAAACAATATATAAAGGAATAGAGGCATATATACCAGTAATAGCGATCACAATCAGCAAATGTTTGTTGTCAGTTTATCAGTTAATTGATATCTGATTACTCGTAATCCCAAAATGAACGAAGCTCACTTACTTCAGTCATAAATCACAATAGTCCAGCTTGAGTGAAACCAATCAGGTATTTGAAATGAGCGAAAAAACAACTGCGCTAACAGGTCTTTTGTGAACTTTCCGCGAAAATTGCACCCCGTGAAAATATATACGATTACAGTAATCAGATTCACAGAACATTAACTTACACTGCTAGTTTAATCCCTGAATATGTTTGACTATTGTTCATTGGAGTAACTGTAGTGTTACCTTTAATGATTGCACAGAAAAGCGTCATGGAAATTGTTCACTTATGCTTCTCTTGTTATAGGTTGGTTTGGTTTGTTTGTTTAACCCTTCGCTCCGCAATATTCCAGCTATATGGCGGCGGCGGTCTGTAAACAATCAAGTCTGGACAAGACAATCCCATGATTAACAGCATGAACATCGCTCTATGCAATTTAGATACGATGACATGTGTCAACCAAGTCATCGTGCCTGACAACCCAATCATGTTAGTTGCCTTGTACGACAAGCATGGGTTGCTGAAGACAAATTTTAACCTGAATCTTCACGGGTATCTTGTTATAGGCCAAGTATCTAGCACAGATCCTGGTCGCTGGGACACAGGTTGTTGGTCGAGCATTTGCACGTGCGCTGAAGCAGGAGTATGCAGCCAGCCAACAGGCAGCCCAGAAGGCTGGGGGAGGGAGACAGGGAGCTAGGAGAGCAGCTGCAGACACAGCTACAGGGATGACGTTACAGGTATAATGTTGTTGCAGGTGTGATGTTAAATACATGACACTTTATTACGGAGAACAATATCTTTTCAACTGTGTGACTGTTTGAGAACTACTTCTTGCCTCTTCATCTGGTATGATGTTGCTACTGGGGATTTCTTTGGCCTTACCAGGGGTGGAAATAACCCATTGCCCGACGCCCGAGTCCAGTGGTTTTTTCTGTCGGGCAAGCAAATTTGTATATCACACTGTACCGGTGTCCAGTTGACTTTCCAATATTAATTATGTTGTTTATTTAAAATCATATTGCTGTGAGTGGAAAAATTATCAGGGCAAGTGATTTACATCCCACTGTATTACACTAGCAATTTGAAAGTTATTTCCACCCCCTGCTTACAAGTATAATGTCGTTCTAGGTGGAATCATATTGCTGTGATAATGTTATACTATATATCCCTCATTGACAGGACTTTCAGTAATGACATGATTAAGGTCACATCCTTGTTATCTTGTTTCAGGATGAACCAGTATTCCATTTTGTTGACATAGTGTTTACAGTATAATAATGGCGAAGTACTAATAATATTTGCTAGATATTTAAATCAAGTCCTTTGTCAATACATGAAACTGAATACTGTTATGCAGGGATAGTTTAAATTGAATGTCCTGAACTTACTAAATTATCTGTCTTATATTCAGCCCATAGTCAGACAAAGTGGTGCTGTGAATGCAACTCAGACATAGTGGAAAAGTGATAGAATCTTAGTTTCAGTTTCCCAAGCTTTATATCATTTTTCAGAGCTTTTTAATACAGTTTGGAAAAAATAATACTTTTATGAAAGTACTGTAATATTCATCCTGACAATGTATGGTATCATCTAAGTGGTAGGTGTTTAAGACCGTTTCTTTCTCTAACATAAAACTGACACCCCAAGCATGAAGAACTGAAGTACTGTTCAATATGATGTTATCACTACCCTACTTGTTCACTCACTCACTCACTCATTTGAATATTGCAGGAGGCAAAGCAGGTACTTAATGTGTCGGAAATCACAGACAAAGAATTGATACAGAGTAAATATGACCACTTGTTTGCTGTCAATGAGAAGTCCAAGGGTGGCTCATTCTATGTGCAGTCTAAGGTATGTTATCTATCCTACAACAGAATGTCAATAAGAGATGTGTGGTTCTTATATACATGCTTGAATCCCTGTTTTTTCTGGTTCAGACTTGAACATATAGATAATGCCACTATTGCATTTGATTGGCTGACCAGGCAAATGTTTTTAAATTTAGACTTCCATAAACTAACAAAACAGGCCCTGCGTTTTACACCACTTTTAGCAATATCATGGTGAGGGACACCCGAAATTGGTTTACACACATGGAATCCAACCCAGGCCTTCGGCATGACACACACCGCCCCTGTGATAAATGGGCAGAACTTGCGTTGCCTAATTGTGTTGAACAATGTGACTGTTTTGGGTTCTTGTCTTAAGTTTATCATATTAGTAATCGGGGCGTGGGGGGGTAGCCTAGTGGTTAAAGCGTTGGCCCGTCACGCCGAAGACCTGGGTTTGATTCCCCACATGGGTGCAATGTGTGAAGCCCATTTCTGGTGTCCCCTGCCATGATATTGCTGGAATATTGCTAAAAGCGACGTAAAACTAAACTCAGTCAGTCAGTCATATTAGTAATCAGTTTGTGAGGTTATTATTGACAGTATTGTTGGAATATTAAAACCTGCAAACTTGGCAACAGTTCAGCAATATTTTCACTAACAGGGATGTCATGATTCAGGTGCCAAACACAAGACGATACATATGCTGATACTGATGTCACAATACGATATGTATCGCAATACTACATTTCCAACATTTTCCACGTAACAAGCAGCCATTACCTTGATGGCAAGCTCATACCATAGTTCACCATTTGCCAAATATTTTGGGAGAGATTACAAGAGAAGGGAAGACTGACCAACAGCCAAGTATCCACCAACCACTCACCAAGTCTAGTCACAATTACAAGAGAAAAATGTGTTAAGTTCACATTTAGTAATGTCTTGTTTGTATTTAACAAAAATGATTTATATGAAATATCACTGCAACATTAAAATAATAATTGATTCTTGTCAATATGAATCAATACTAAAACAAATCAATCATGTATCGTATCATTCGAAGCATGCCAGTGATGTATCAGTGAATCATGACATGACTACTCACTAGTATTTGAATTCTTGTGACAACTTCAGGTCGTGCGGGCTAAGGAGAGGATTGACATGGAGATAACCAACCCTGAACCTAAAAACAAGAAGGAAGAAACATGACGTCACCATCTCCTAGACAGTGTGTGTGTTTGTGTGGATGATCAGGATTGCAATCAGGGCCAAATTTGTACCCGCTGCAGATCAACCTACCATGATGACAGTGTTTTGGAGATTGGTTCAGTATGCTTGATTTGGAATTAAGGAGATAGCCTCAAACTGAAATTATCATTAAGATGTTGTATGTCTTGCACAGTTACCATGGTTACTTGATATGCAGGAAGTCTTTCTATTCTTCAGTCTTCTTGTGATACATTTACCCTCAGAACCAAAGATGCAAGAAGCTGACGATTCTGGTCCAGTTCTGGTCCAAATTTGTGCATAAGGGCATTAACCTACATGGTAATTTTCATTAGTACCCACATAGTTCACTTGATTACCTGGCATTTGTTGCTGAAGAAAGACAAACTGAGATATGCAAGTTATCAGTGGTTCGAGTTTCAAAGGGAGCCAACTCTAAATACACACTGGAGGTATGCTGTTTAGTTCAGAAAATGCATGATTGACCTGGCATGTCCATTGCTTGATCCATCAAGAACAATGATCTATCACTATACAATTTAGAAATCATGTATATGAAGAACAGCATTTGTTAACAATTGTAAAGATGTTTAAATTTTACTGAAAAATCAGAAGGTTGTGGGAAAATCAAAGTGAAAACTTTTTTATTTTTCTTGAAAAGAATTTTTGGGAATAGTGAATAAGTGACACTTAGATTGTATTTATGAGTATTTATTTCGGCAGACACTCATAACTCGATGTTGACATGGTTTCAAATGTCGTTTAGTTTCGAGTGTGGGCCCACATTTGCATGTATGATGCACAGAGAGAGTATGCTCCCTTGAACCACCATAATGCGGTCTTGTCCATCTGGGCCCTGCTTTACCAAGCTCTCAAAGCACTATGACTACCAAACTCCTATATTTCAACATTGGTTTACAACAGTCATAGAGCTAGGATTGCCTTGTGAATACAAGACTGGCACTGGCCACCATGGACCACCAAACATGAAACAGTTGTAGAAGATCTTATTTATGAAGATTTTGTGTCAAGCAGCATACATAGGAAGTAATCTGCAGGGTAAATGTCTGGCTTTCAGGTTGTGTGGAATTTTTTAACATCTGAGATGTACAAATTGTTCAAGAACTTTCTCAAGTACAAATAGTTAATTTTCAAAGAACCAAATATTTGTTTAGCCTAATTGTAATAATGCTACTGGCTGTTTTGTTTAAATATTATCCTGAATAATAAATATCTCTAAAGACAAATACCAGATGCATTAATATTTTAACATGTTTAACTATAGGAAGCAGTGTCAGTACCAAATTATCTTCTCCTGAATAGACTCCGTTGTGATCCACGTCTTCAGTTTGTCTGTAAATATGTACAGTGTACTAGTATGTGGAGTGTTCATGTTATTATATATTGGATAGCGCATCTCATCTTACATGAAGGAATAAACAGTGAATGATGTCATTAGCGTTTTGTCATGGCTGCTGAGTTAAGAGTAAGAATGTAATTAAGACGTGTGATTGGTTTGAAGCAGCCCACACAGCAAAACAGCTGCAGGACAAGTATCTTGTGTTTTCTGCATCCTGAGTGTCTGTGTCGAGATTCTCATCCACAGTTATCAAAGGTATCTCCATTTTATTGTGACAAATACCCTCAACCTATTAGTATTAGTTAAAACTGTATTTTGGAAGTGGAATCACCACCTCTATCAGGAAGTGAGCAGAGAGTTAAAATCACACAAAATGCCTCTTTCACTGGAATATACCTTAGATCTTCATTCAAAGCTTCAGCCACTTAAAAGGAAATCCTTCATATTAATCATATACAGCTCTAAAAAGTTAAAGACCATTCAGATTATCCATAGTAATACGAGAGAGTTGTTCGATCCTCCTTTTCAGTGGTATGTTCAGCTGGTAAAACAAATGAGCGGGTTTGGGCTGTTTTTAGCAATATTCCATCAGCAGGGGGATGGCATCACACATTGTGCCCATGAGGGGGACTGAGACAGAAGAATCTTACAGAATGCATAGCTGGAAACGATGTTTACCCCGAGTTTCTTTTGGCTGTTATTAGACATATTCCAACAATTTCACAGCAAGAGAAACAAAACTTGTCCGTTTTGAATCATTGTTGCTTTTCATCAACAAAAAACAACATTTGCTTGACAGGTTTTATGGAAGTCAAGTCATTCAGATTTGACAATAAGTGAAGTTATGGTGCAAGTAGGTCCATGGTCATCCTCGATAATCTCTAGGGTATACATTACGATCACTCTCCACTATATTATCTAACCGTTTAAACTTGGCAACACAATTGATGCAGAGGTACTCTGAAAGAAGTAGAAGGAGTTCTTTTATATATTTTTTTAAAGTTACAGATCTGTCAATTTGTATTATTTCCTAAAAAATCGGAGTGTCACTGCGAACAAACCTTCGCGACTGCGACCGCTATCTTTGTTGACACTGGCAAGCTCGGATGTAACGGCGGCTTAGCTGACTGGCTACTGTGAGAATGCGGAGCCAGCAAAGGGAGGTAATAAAATCTTTGGGCCAAGCCGTGGATGCATCAAGGGTATAGTGGAGAGTGATCGTAACATATACCCTGGAGATTATCGAGGATGGTCCATGGTATGAAATGGAAGAGCAAGGAGACAATTCCCATGATAACTGAGGATGCAAGATTCTGGAAATGATGTAACAACCAACGTGAAAGAGATCAACAAGTATTTATTTCAACAACATTCATTCAACAACCAACACTCTCAATCACAACAACTCCCGATGTATCAATGCACTTCATACAACACATTTCATCACCCATATATATAAACAAATATATTCAGACACATGACTATATATATGAATATTATCAACACTCTGCTTTGATACAAAGGAAACAATGCCATTTTGTAATCTATTCTGTGTAAAACTTCCAGGAACAGATGCCAGACCATAAACTATATACCTTGAAATAATTTATCCAAAACATGAAGTCATATGAATGACATACTACACAGTTGTCATATAACTTTGTTCTGCTCTATATTCACTATGAACTGATACCACTTAACATGGTGATACTGTATATAGTGATACCATGTGAATCCGGAGCCCTTACTTTCCACGCAATTCCTGTTAGGATGTGTTAATTTTGAAACTACATTCAGTAATATTCCAGTGATGTGACAGCAGCCAGTTAATAACCATGACTGGAACAGACAATCAAGCCATTGTATATTATCTGCAGTATCCCATGCCTTTTAGATACAATGACACTCAATCAAACAAGACAATGGGCCTGTCCACCTGATCAATTTCATCACCTCATACAACAGGCAGAGGTTACTTTGAACCTGTTCTAAGATGGAATCCCCACAAGGGCATAGATACTATTCCACATCATGCATGGTTTGTTATGAAGTGGATTTCAGAAAGATATATACCGGCCAACTCAGGTCACTACACTACAATGCATCAATGAGTGAATGCAATTCTACAATAAATGCTGACAACCAGGAACTTAAAAATGCATTTCATGCTAGTATTAACTCAGTACTGATAGTATGTTATATAAGGGGTGAAACGGTGTACAGCGCTATAAGTAGAACCGCAGTATTTTGTCTTCCTGTCGTTTAACCATAACGCAATCCAAAAAATTCATCATTTTCGGTTTTCGTCTTTTTCTTAACCTTTTTAAACTTTTTTTAAAAATGTCTAGAAATTGAATCATTTTGTCCAAATCTATGCATTTTCGGTTTTCGTACCATCATTTCATTAACCTTTTTCTAAAATGTCTAGAAATTTAATAATTTTGTCAAAATCTATGCATTTCTTTGCTAGACGGCCGCTATTTTCCGGGAAATAAGTTACCAAACCAAAATGGACCGAACCGAAGGCCTTGTACCACAATACGTACCGTACAGTAGTAAGAGTGTACCATTTCACCCCTAATGATATACATGTACTGACACTGACAAGTATATTAGAGTCTTGTTGAAAATGCCAAGTTATTAACATATGAATGGAATGGTAACAATATCTTGAAAGAAGCAGTGTGTCATTTATCAATATAAACGTACCATAAGTATAATGAATATTTGACATATAGCAAATCATGAAACGAATGTTGATGTTTGATTTGCCCTTCAATTTATGTTTTATATACATTATTCTTACATTCTTAAAAACAGTAATAAACACAAAACAACTGGCCACAGCACTTAAATCCAATGTGATATTCATATTCCATGAATAGAAATTAATTTGCCTTAGATCCGTGGCAGACATCCTCCATTCCCATTGAAAATACTAAATAAGGTGCAGAAAAGGAATCCTAACTTGTATTTGATGATTACAATATTGACATACATTGTGACAGTTGATACATATTTCTGAAAGGTCATGCTGACATTTGCACATCATGGCATTAAGTACATTATATTTGATTTAGGGGTTTTCTGTAGAACGAAAGATACAACTGTATCACCATAGGCAGATCCAGAGGGGGGGTGCAGGGGTGTGCACCCCCCTTTTGTCCTGAAAGTTTATTAAATGACCATTGAAACTTGCGTGAACATGAAGTGTGCATCCCCCCTTTCTCAAAAAGCAGTATCAGCCCCTGTATCACTGTAACAACTGGAATATTTCAACATAAAGTGAGTGAGTGAGTATGATTTTACGCTGCTTTTAGCAATATCATGGCAATATGTATTTGCTGTGTGGTTAATATGCCCATGTTCGTTTAAATAACCCATACACTACTAAATACAAAAAGTGAAGGACCACCAGTTTATTTACCTTACAATAGTTCATCTGTCATGGTCATCACATCAATCAGCTGACTGTTCAGACTTGACTCATGTATAAACTTTTCCTGTAGTATCGTACATCACTTGCTTGATAACGGTGTTAGCAGCTACACCCAAATGTTGCTCACATAATAATAAAGAAGCTGTACAAAGTATATCCATAGAACTCTCCCCGTAGTTTGTCATGACATTATTTAAATAAGCACTACTTTCTTCTAAACTTGCTGATTTGACATACAATACCATAAGGTCGGTTGTTGAAAAGTAACTCAATACAATTTCGTAACCATATTTTCAAAGGATATCTTAAAAGTCGGGTGCGATATTGAAGTGATTTGGGGATAGTCAAGTTATATTTATCATACTGGTTACCCTCATGAGCAAGGATATGATGTGGACAAACTTAGAATGAGTATGGTTTTACGCTGCTTTTAGCAATATTCCAGCAATATCACAGCCGGGGACACCAGAAATGGGCTTTACACACTGTAACCATGTGGGGAATCGAACCCGGGAGTTCAGCGTGTCGAACAAACGCTTTAACCATTAGGCTAACCCACCTCCCCGACAAACTTAGAAACATAATGGGGAACAAATCATCACATGCTCTACTACCATAGGTTCCTGGCATGCAGAAGGGATGCAACTCTGCATAATAATAGAAGACTGGTTAACCTTGCTTCCACATTCAAGGGCGAAGCAAGTAGACTTCCAGTACTTCAGCTCTGGCAATATGAATTGATAAATTATGCTTGATAGTTGAGGTAAACTTACAATGGTTATCATGTGATCTAATTCCCTGAGAGTCATCAATCCGTAATTTGTCAGTATTAATGAAAAGGTAGATAACTTGATTATATACATATGGTAACTAAAGAAATCGGAACAAAAGACTTGATTTACTCAAGTCAAACGATGGCACCGAAAATCCACTGAATGTGCAAAATCAAGCTTCCAATTGTACACACAGATTCAGATGGGTAAGGTAGCACCTTAACTTTTTTAAACGTACCAGTCAAGAAGTTACCATACTTAAAAAATAAACAGAATCATTTGTAGGCATGTTTCCCAACACAAATATAAATTAATTGATGCATAAACAGAAACAATTATTGTATAAAAATCAAATTATTAGCATTTATTTTGTATCCACGATTGGAAAACAAATGACACCGGGCAATGACAGATAGGAACAAGTCTCCAAGCCATGGCCATGTATGTTGACATACATGCTGGGATATTTTGTACCATGCATCTTGAATTTTTGTTAAATAAAACATTCTTTGAGGTCATAAATTAATAAAAAAAGGCTACTGGACAAACAAGTTTCTCTATCACAATATGCAGAATCACAGTTCAGAAAAGTAATGCAGATCTGAGCACGCACATTTAAATGGATCCCTCTCTGACTGAGACATCTAGCATGACCTCGGCTTTAACCTGCAGCCCATGTAAGATCAAAGAGACTTATTCTACAGGTGAGTAGATCAAAGAGACCATATGTTATTGTACAGGAGAGTAGATCAAAAAGACCAATACTTTATTGTACAGGTGAGAAGATCAACAAGACCAGTCACTTATTCTACAGGTAAGCAAATCAATGGGGATGCAAGTCTCAATAAAAATTAATCATCTCTGACAGTTAGCCTCCACTCCTGTAAGAAATGACTAGTCCCCAATTTGAAATTTCTTTCATAAAACTGAAATCACAAACCTCTGTAGCACAACCTGTGGAATTTATTTGATTATAGTTCATATTAAACTGGTAGCACTAATAAGCACACTTCAAGTTTCAGTTTCAACTAAAAACCTTCCAAAATAACTAAATTGGTAGTGTACACCTATACACCTACTTCAAAACACTTCACCTTAAAAAGTATATACATTCTTAAATGGAGCAGAATGTTTGTTAATAAACAGCAAAACAAGAACACAAGATAATAAATGAACAAAACAAAGACTAACAAGACTTCTGCCCATGCAGATAACGGAATGCCGCTCACTGAAGTACACATTCCACATACCTGCATCCCATCCTGTCCACCTAGACAGTGACACAGGATTATAATCGTCTCTGATAAATCCCAATACTGCCTTTCACCTGTCAGTATTGCCTGGAATAAGCAGGAGTTACCTCCCTTAAGTATATGTCTTACTTCAGTTAAATGCCTAAATGAGCATTTTGTTGAGTAATGTAACATAACCATAAATATAATCAGTTCAAACAATCTTCACAAAGATGAGAGTTAAATACAATAAATAAAACATAGCACTTATGTCTGACCACAAAGAATGATTGTTCCAGTCTGGGAGATGTATCAGTATCATTAATGTATTTTATAGGTATCCAGGTAGGCACACCAGACACACATGGTCTTAGCTTCAACTAGACAACCGAGCAGTTTCACTTATGAACAGAAAATACCTGGACTGATAGCCTCATTCAAAATGGGATTTGTCCAAGGTCATTCCAGTGATGAGTTTCCACTCCATTTTGTGATAACAAAAGACAAGGTCAAGGACAAAATGGCGACTGTCAAACTCATCACCAAGAATATCATAGTGACATACCGATGTGTTTATGAAGTCTACATCTCCCAATGATCAGTTGCTTACTATTAATCAGAATGGGAATCACGTGGCGGGCAGACAGATTGTGATATCTCTGGTTCCTGCTCTTTTAAAAAAATGTCACTAAATAAGTGATGAAAAAAGTAAAGTGATTTTCCAGAAATGGGAAAAAAAGGTATCAGCATGTAGAAACTTCTAAAACAAAGAAAAAATGAATTTGTTCAAATAAAATAAAAGCAGACCAAAGACACATCAAGGGTGTTGCTGATACAATCAGGACTTATTCCTACCTTAAATCATTTGCTGTATTTGTACCAACACATGAAAACAAGGTGATAAAATGTTCCCATATCTGTATGTGACGAAACGGAATATTCTGGGTAAAAATAAATATTTTATATCATACACAATCAGGGCCAAGCATTCCCCTTCTATGTCAGTCAACCTGGACATAGTCCATGTCTGATGTTTCATCGTCTTTGGCTTGCTGAGGTAATGGACTTCTTGATAGGTCGAGGGGACCATCTTGGCATCTTGGAGAAGGTAAGGTAGTCTTTATATCAACGGGACTATCAGTTTTTTCAGAATGGATGGATCGTGAGTCTGACACAATTATTCCTGAATGATTTGCTTGTATGCTGATACTTGATGATGATGATGAATGAGATGAGGATAAGACAGGTGGTGAGAACAATGAATGAAGAGATGACACGGGGAAAAGATTGGGTGATAGAGGCAGGAAATGGGGGGAAAGACTTCCCAGCATTCCACTGGAAGGCGTAAGATTGATGAGATTGTTGACTGTAATCGGAGGAGTAGGCACTGGGGAAGGGGGAGAACTCCGCTGCAACTTTGGCGTTACTGATCCATCACCACGGAAATGGTGTCCAATTGTCCGCACGTGTTTCCTTAACGAGCTTGGGTCAGTGTAGCTCTTATGACATCCTGGCATCTTACACACATACGGCTTCTCCTCCTGGTGTGTGCGCACATGCTTAAAACGGTCGCTGGAGTTGGAGTATGCTTTGTGACAGCCCTGAACTGGACACACATATGGCTTCTCTCCTGAAACACCAATCAAAGACTTTGTTGGTTTGTTGCTTAACACTGTAAGGAATCCAGCTGCCTGGAAAAACATCCTGACTGGACCTGAAAATGCAGTGGTGACTAATGTTTTAAACCAAGATCAACATTGTCGCGTACATTGACACAGAAACAACCAGTAGATTGATGCTGTTGATCACTGGATTGTCAGGTCCAGACTCAATTATTTACAGACCAGCACCATATAGCTGGAATATTGCTGGGTGCGGCATTAAACAAACCAACCAACCAACCACCCAAACACGCAACTAGCCAGAAACAACCAAGTCACTAAGTTGACTGTTTATAATTGTATGATACCATAAGTTAGTTGTCCTCAACTGGTTGCATCCAGAATTAGATGTTCATTACCTGTGTGAGATCGGTTATGAATCTTGAGGTTTTCCAGGCGTGAGAAGCACTTGCCACACAGACCACATCGATGAGGCTTCTCATTGGTGTGAGTCCGAATGTGTATCAGCATCTTGTATCTGTCAACAGCATCACATCCTATACATGTATATTATGTCACAACACTGCCTCATCATTAGTAACAGTTCTCTATAGTGCAACTCGAGCCAGCTATGTCAAGGTAGAGTCTTTGCTATCATGGGTTTGGAAGTCCTTTCTCTATTAATTAGCAATCCTGCACCTTTATCAATACAAAATGAAGTCTAAGCCATTGCATAATGACCAGTAATACCCAGCTGAATGGCACTCAGCGAACACCCAACCCTCATTTTGGTCCCCTGTCTCAGGGGTGGTAGAGTAGCCAGATTGTTAAGGCATTCGCTCATCACGCTAAGCCCCTGGTTCGATTTCTCACATTGGTACAATGAGTGACGCCAAGATATTTCCCTCACCAAGATATTTCTGGAATATTGCTAACAGCACTCTCACTCAGTCACTCACTACTCACTCACCCACCCATCCCAATAATTCATTCATGACTGTCACAACGTAGCTGAATGACACCAAGTGACCATCCAATCCTCATTTTCATCCCAATTGAGGGGGGTTGCCTAATGGTTCAAACATTCACTCGTCAAGCTAAAGACGGGGGTTATCATTCCCCACATGGGTACAACGTGTGAAGCCTATTTCTGGTGTTCTTCGCTATGATATTGTTGGAATATTGCTAAAAGCAACATGAAACCTCATTTGATGGCCACATCCCAGCTGAACAACACCGAGTGACCTCCAAATCCTCATTTCGATAACCCAAGGTTCATAAATCAAATTAAAGGCTTTTTTAGGGGCTTTTCCAGGCCCAATCATCAATTTTCAGGAACTATAGAAACACATATCACAAATAAGTATTGAATACATACAAGGTCAAATGTGCGACCGTCCAATAGAAGGAAATAACCCTTAGCTACATCGCTGCACTAGGAAAGTTTTGCTTTGCAATGGAAATTGATTAACAAATACTGTCACTGCGAGGTACTTTCAGTATGTACTAGTTTCCGGTAAAAACATAACTTGACAAGTTTTGCTAGATATACAAACTTTCTAGGGCAAATCACTGGCAATTAGGGCCTTTTCAAGGGTGAAACAAATTTAAGGCCTTTTGGGGTAATATGTCCAAATATAAGTTTTTTTCATGCCCGTGCGAACCTAGTACCCTCATGTGGCCAGCATTGGACCCATGCGAGGACAGTGATGTTGGAGGCTGAACCCACCTTGCATTGAAGCCCTTCCCCTGCCTGGGACATCCCGTCCATTTACACTGGTAGTCAATGTCTGGGCGCTCCACCTTTACATGTTGGTCATTGACGTGATTGACCAGGTCATCCAGAGCAGAGAACCGACGCTCGCACTGCATCCATCTACACTCCCACTCGGTTCCACCTGGTGGTGACATCTGCTCCTTGTCAGGGGGGAGATAACTGCAACTAAAATGACACATAATGTTACCAAATTGTCTCATGATGTTATTAATAATCAGACATACATTTGTCTCAAGCTTCTAACATTTAAACAACAAATAATTCCATTAGAGTCAAACCTTTCTTTTGCTGAAAACAAATTTCAGTAAAGCCAAATCCGTTCACTTCCTAAATTCTACAGGTGCAAAAACAACAAATCTCTATTATTTTATGCACATGATCTTATTGTATCATGCTCAGTCAAACACTACATCATATACCTTCAACATTTCATGTGATGGAACAGGGATTAACAAACTTGGCTAATGTCAATGTGAAATTTGAGACAAAACTAAGCCGGAAATAGCAATTGGGTGTTTTCTCCCAATCTACGGTGATTTAGTTAAACAACCAATAATACAGCACAAGAAAGGCTAACACAGTGGTTGTAATAAATTTGTATCTGAAACTAATTTGGTATCAGCAATAATATATTCCAATATCGTGTTGTTTTAGTTGCAGTGAAATTTTGAATGAAATTAATAAAATAGAATAAACATGATAAAATAGATTGACATGAGTAGATTTAGACATTATACCCATCCCGTTGATGTTGCATGCGAGATGATGGGCTGCCCAACAAACATCACATAGTTGTTGTCAGGTAAGTACTTTATATTTTCAACTGATGGTATTTAAGATCACTGTCCAGATCCAAGCAGGATTTCCCGCTAACTGAAGTATTTTATAAAGGACATATTTTGTTTCATGTAAATATCATCCGGTATGGAAGGTTTCTGGATATCTAAGGTCTTGGTTTCCACCGTATCCATATCAAAGCCACAATAATCCCATGGGACTCCCCTAAAGTAATCACCATAACCTGCACTGAAGACATTGTCGCCAGCCAATTCATTCATGCAAACCATTGTAATCAGACATTATGGGGTGCGGAGGGCGAGCTGGCTAAGGCGCCAGGCTAGTGATCCAGCGAGGTTGAGGTGACGGGATCGAGTCCACCTGTGACTGGGTGTAAAAACCTTGGAGTCAACTTTGTGTGCAGACTCTTTCAGTGTTGTCACAACCCCTAGTGTACAGTACACAACCCTGTGCACTTAAAACAACCTACGAATCTGTTGGTAACAGACCAGATGGTGGCCACATGAATACATGCAAACACCTAGTTGCGGGTACAGCAACGTGCAGTGAACTTGGACAAAGTACTGTGACTATGTGTCCCAGTCCACCCAGCTGTGAATGGGCACCTCATTAGGATGAGAAAACAACAATAACTTGGTGCGCCTAGTGGCAGCAAGAGTTGTATACATTGTACTCCCCAGGGAGTTGAGATTGATAATACGATGAGCCATTGAGATTGACATCCAATGATCGAGGGAAAAAATACCAGAACCTTGAGCATGCACTAGTTGCGTGGATATGTGCGCTATATAAATATCCTATAATAATAATCCACAATGGCTGCCACTACAACCACTAATCCCTTCTTACATGTAATGTTAAATTCAGTTACCTTCATTGATGAGAGGTCAACTAGAGGCGGGAGGGGGACACTTGATGGACCAATCACTGACGTCATCATCACTGGTTCATTAATAGGTGGCATGGCCAGTGGCATTGAGCAGGATGTGATGATTCCAGGCTGCAGTCCATCCTGGGAGATGATGACATCATGTTGTGTGCATGACCCACAGTAGACAGGAAGTGAGGGTGGAAGATCCTTGGTTGTGAGGCAGAGTGGCAAGTGTTGGGAAGACAGGTGGTGGAAGTGCCCGGTTCCAGGAGACTGAGCCACTCCAGGAGCCATATTGTCTGAAAATTAACACATTACGTAAAAGCAATGTTTAAAATAGTTGACTCGAAAATGTATATCTCAAAACCAGCAAAGAACACCAGGACCTTGTATCGATTAACTACAGTAATATGAAAGAATCAGCTGATCTTTAAGTTCTTTTGAGTAGCATTATACACTGAAATCTTAAGGAGACCGTCATCCCAGTTACATCTCCACTCTCCTCATTGGAAATGATTTGAATGACTCAATCTTAAAAGTAGCTTTCCTGCACAATATAACACAGAGCTACAGATAACATTTTGGGTCATTGAGTTATGTACTCGCTTGTGCTCATCTCAATTGGGTATCCTAATTTTCCTTTGAGTAATCAAATAAATTGTACCCACCTCATTCAAACTCAATTGGGTATTTCGTCATTTTCCATTAATTGTACAAATATAATGACGCTTAAATGTTATTTATATTGGATCTGTAATATGAGAAACTATAAGAAAGACTGCAAGTTGCCTAGTTCATGTGTTGAAATAGAACCTCTCAATGTACCTCAGTTATTTTATCTATGCACCTGTACGCAAACAAAGATTTGACATTTTTGTGTGTACGCATGTAAGATAAAATATATTGAGTATTTACAAAAATTCAAGCGTACTTGTACGCAACAGGCTTGGTAAGAATTGAGTTTTCACATAAATGTTTGCGTAATTTACGCAGATACGCAGCTTATCTGTACCTCTGATAACAATAAGTGTGAAACACTGTGTTCTGAAACAATCCCACTTACTTGATTTGCTGCCCAAGGAGTGAACCTGTTCCTCCTCCCCATGAGTTCCTCCTCCATTCCTGACTGGATGCCGTGTGGAGTAGCCTGGATTGCCTCCCTCCATCGAGGTGGCCTCATCCTTCACCAGCAGCGGATGTTCAGACACATTTAGCTGAATCTGCAGCAAACAAACAGGGAGACTAAGTCACATGTATGTACTGAGCTAGACAAGGCCCTGTAAGACAAAACCCCTGAAAGTCCAAATCCTGAAAGACCAAACCCACAAAAGTCCACACACTGAAAGAGTGAGTGGGTGAGGTGGATGCAACATTTAGCAATATTCCAGCAACATCATTGCAGGGGACACCAGAATGGGCTTCACACATTGTACCTGTGGGGAATCGAACCCGGGTCTTCGGCATGACGAGCGAACGTTTTAACCAGTAGAATACACCTTGTCCGCAACATCATAGACCGAACTCCTGCAAGACAAGACCCTGTCCTTACCAATTCCTGTGTTGCCCTGTTGTTAAACCTAACCCCTCTGAAAGACCAAATACCCTGTTAGACAAATCGAACGCTTGTCCACACCCAACTGGTGAAGAGACATCTTCTAAATGACTATTATCAGATCATGTCTTCTCAGTAACTAATGGACCCGTGAAGATCCAGGGTAGAATAGGTCTTCAACAACCCATGCTTGCCACAAACGGCGACTATGCTTGTCGTAAGAGGCGACTAACGGGATCAGGTGGTCAGGCTCGCCGACTTTGTTAACACATGTCATCGGTTCCCAATTGCGCAGATCGATGCTCATGCTGTTGATCACTGGATTGTATGGTCCAGATTATTTACAGACCGCCGCCATATAGCGGGAATATTGCTGAGTGCGGCATAAAACTAAACTCACTCACTCACTCAGTAACTGATGGATACATAGAGAAAGGAAACATTACAAAAAGTATCACCATGGTAACTTTCATAGTATCCATCAGACGGAGGTTTCTTTGTGACAAGGATTCATGACAGAGTATCAGTCTGAGCAATATTCATTATATCAAGTCAGGTGCAGGACTTAGCTCACTTCATATCATCTGAGTGAGTGAGTGGGTTTTCAGTTTTGCGCCACTTTCAGCAATATTCCAGCAATATCACAGCAGGGGACACCAGAAATGGGCTTCACACATTGTACCCATGTAGGGAATTGAACCCAGGTCTTCGGCGTGACGAGCGAATGCTTTAACCACTAGGCTACCCCACCCCCCTCACATCATCTGAAGGCATGTGTTGCTGCTCATGCTCTCAACCATTGGTTTGATTATTTACAAGCTACTGTGATACACTACATTAACATTTATTTTTAGATAGTTTGATGTAGTTTTAATGGTTTAATGATTGAACAAGGCAGACACTCAAATATACCCAAACAATGAAATGTGTAAATAACATGTAAATATTATTCTGCCATAAAAAAGGACTGCCTGAGAAGTCAAAACTTAAAATCACTCTGCATAAATGTACGGTGCTGCTTTCCTTCTACAATATGTGCACCTTAACAGGAAGACATTAAGGTATGTCATATATTGTGTTACTTATACTTATACTTATACTGTTTCCAGGAACTTCTTTTCTAAGCTGCATAGGACTATGATATTCAAGAGACAATGAAATACAATGACAACATTGTTCTACAATAAATGGGCCGGTGGGGTAACCTAGTGGATAAAGCATTCGCTCGTCACGCCGAAGACCCGGGTTCGATTCCCCACATGGGTACAACATGTGAAGCCTATTTCTGGTGTCCCCGAAATAGCTGGAATATTGCTAAAAGCGGCGTAAAACCATACTCAGTCACCCCCAATTTATATGGTAGCTTCCCTGAGGGCCGATAGTATTATTGAGTGAAATGCATTATCTACTTTTTAGAGAAATGAGGTGTGAACTAGCGCCTTTAAGTAAACTACAATTCTAACTAAATGCAGTTGTTTACAACCATAATTATAATCATACAATTTTGAGTAAAATACTTATAAATAAAACTGTTCAGTATATCCATTACCTTGTTATAAGTATGTTTGTTACAAACTGTTAACTGTTCTTTCAACCTGAGTGAAAATGTAGCTAGAACTCATTAACATTCTCTGTATACAGAATGATAAATTCAGATCATGTTGGTGTTCTTATTAAATGGTAGAGAAATATATACAGTATCTGATATGCATATGTGGCCCTATGCTATATTATCACCCTATTTACCTGTCCATATGGCGTGCATTATACAGTATAGACACTTCTCCCTATAGAACTGCATGCTGATTAGTGACCCTAGTGGTGGTTGGTGTAGGGTTACACACTGGCAGAGCCAATCAGGAATCTCTCTCCCCCAGTCTAAACAAATTACTCCACTCAGTTGCACTCAGTGACTGACAGGTCACTCTACCATGTAGACATGGCACTTCAGTCTGTCTCAAATATGTAATTTTTGGAGTAAAATTGATATTTTATACTTATCCTGACTCATGCTCTTTTTGCTTGTCTTCTTCTTCTTGCGAACATAGTGGAACACTTGTATCTCCCTAATTGAAGCTCCCTTCAATTTAAAATCACTAATTAGTATTCACCACGAGTTACCTCCTTTCCACAAGCTCGGGAACGAGGGCGCCACCTCTACCCATGTGCCTCACTCTCTCCTCATATACTGAGCCCAACATTTGAATTTACAGGGAAATCCAAAGTGTTATTTGGGGAGGATGGGAGGGCTGACCTCATGAGTCAGGATAAGTATAAAATATCAATTTTACTCCAAAAATTACATATTTTTCCTTATCCTGACTCATGCTCTTTTTGCTTGTAGCATCCTACGGAACGGAGGTGGGAATATCTAATACTTTGGATTTTTAATAATTAGTGATTTGAACTGTGATGATTGTAATAACCCTATGGGAACTTCATAAAGGCACTGAATTGATGAATTCCTGCTGCTAACTTATCAGCTGCCATATAAAGGTTATTACCATGTACTTATTATGATAAAGTATATATAACATTAATACAATGCTTAAGACTAATAGACTTAAGCTTGTTAATATGCTAGTATAAACTCCTTAGAGTTTGTTAGCTAAAATACTTTAAGATATAACATAGTACTAAGCTTAAGATATGATTAAACTTAAGCTAATTATATAATAGCAAACTCTTTAGAGTTTGTTAGTTAATATACTTATATGATATAGATATAATGCTGAGCTTAAGATATGAATAAGCTTTAGCTACATATATAATAGCAAAAACTCTGTAGAGTTTGTTAGCTAATATATTTTTATAATATGAGTATAGTACTGTGCTTAAGCTATAATTAACTTAAGCTACATATATAATAGCCAAACTCTGTAGAGTTTGTTAGCTAATATATTTTTATAATATGAGTATAGTACTGTGCTTAAGCTATAATTAACTTAAGCTACATATATAATAGCCAAACTCTGTAGAGTTTGTTAGCTAATATATATTTATAATATTAGTATAGTACTGAGCTTAAGATATAATTAACTTAAGCTACATATATATAGCAAAACTCTGTAGGGTTTTGTTAGCTAATATATTTTTACAATATGAGTATAGTAGTGTGCTTAAGATATAATTAACTTAAGCTACATATATAATAGCAAAACTCCGTGAGAGTTTGTTAGCTAATATATTTTACAATATGAGTATAGTAGTGTGCTTAAGATATAATGAACTTAAGCAACATATATAATAGCAGAACTCCTCAGTAGAGTTTGTTAGCTAATATATTTTACAATATGAGTATAGTATTGTGCTTAAGATATTATTAACTTAAGCTACATATATAACAGCCAAAAACTCTGTAGAGTTTATTAGCTAATATGTTTATAGTGTAACCATAGTACTAAGCTTATAGTACTGAGCTTAAGTTATGATGAAACTTAAGCTATATATATATAATAACAAAACTCCGGCCGAAGTTTTGTTAGCTAATACCTTTATAATGTAACCATACTGCTTAAGATATGATGAAAACTTAAGCTAATTGTATAATAGCTTAAAACAACCCTTTAGAGTTTGTTAGCTATGATATAAACCTAGTATTGAGCTTATGAAGGAAAACTTAAGCTACATATATAATAGCAAGAACTCCGTGAGTTTGTTAGCTAATACATGTTATAATGTAACTATAAAGCTTAAAATATGATGAAACTTAAGCTTAAATATATAATAGCAAAACCCTCTTTTAGAGTTTTGATAGCTAATATACCTATATGATATAAACATAGTACTGCTTTAAGATATGAATAAGCTTAAGTTACATATATAATAGCTAAAACTCTGTAGAGTTTGTTAGCTAATACATGTTATAATATAACCATATTGCTTAGAAATATGATGATACTTAAGCCAAATAGCAAAAACTCTTTAGAGTTTGTTAGCTAATCTACTTATATGATATAAACATAGTACTAAGCTTAAGATATGAATAAGCTTAAGCTACCTATATAATAGCAAAACTCCTTAGAGTTTGTTAGCCAATATATTTTAATAATATGAGTATAGTACTATGCTTAAGGTATAATTAGCTTAAGTTACCTATATATAGTAAAACTCCGTGAGAGTTTGTTAGCTTAATTAACTTAAGCTATGTATAAAATAGCCAAACTCTCTGTAGAGTTTGTTAGCTGATGCATTTATCATGTAACCATAATATTACTCTTAAAATATGAATAACTTAAGGTAAATATATATAATAACAAACTCTGTAGAGTTGTTAACTTATATATTGTATGATGTAATAATCATAGTACTGTGATGATAAAAGGAACTTAAGTAAATTATATATAGCATGAAGCTATTTAGTATTGTTATAAGATAAGTAAAAATCTGTTAGATTGACTTATCTTCTCCCGAGAACTGTCAGCTGTTGTGCGAGGACCATGGGATCAATTGGTGTATACCTGAGACGCCCTCGGTGGTGATATCTCTCAGATAATGGTTTGCAACCACCATATCGATTTCCAGAAATAAAACCCTCCAATATTTCAATCACATTTGTGTGGAACAATTGTAGAAGTAAGTTAGCTATAATATCATGAGTATTAAGCTCATGGAGGGTCGGAATAGGTCCATCCGCGATATGCACGTAGTATGACAGTTCTGATCCAA